AAAAAAAAAAAAAATAGTGTCGGGCATGGCGCGGGGTGGTGCAATCTTTTTCAGTAATCGTGGTAGGATCATCCAAGCACGCGTGTGCGAGAGACCTGCAAGACCTGCACGGTGTCGACCTTCCAATATCTTCGTGACTGCCACCCGTCATGTGGTAGCATACGGCTCGAATGAGGGTTCGATAAACTAGCCAGGATCTGCTCACTCATAAAATGTCAAAAGAAACCAAGTTGGAGTGTGCTGAGACACCTACCTCCGGGAGCCCCGCAGCGGGAGAAGCTGATGAAGGTTGACCCAGGTTGACCACAGTCCCGGGAACGGGATCAGCGCGTCAAGGGCGACCCGGAGCAGGCGATTGAGCTGCGGATCGATCGACCGGGCGATGCGTGGGCCCGAACTTTGGCCCGGGGGGCAGAGGCCATCCAGCTGCCAGAAATCACGCTGGTTGCCTGGCCGCCACATCGAGATCCACTTGCCTACTGCGGCCTTGTCTCCTGTTCGCTGGTAGTGACGCACGTTCCGATATATCTCTCCACTGATGACCTCAGTGCAGTCTTCATGATGCTCCCGACAGAGTCTCCACGCCTCATCCGAGAGGCGCGACGCGTTGTGAAACTCAACCACCCACCATCAATCTTTGACTGGAAGCCACTCGGTCGCGGCAGCATGACGTACCCGGCCGCGGAGACAGGGAATCCGAACCCCAGGCGGCAGTCGAAGGGGGATGATATCCCCAGGGAGAGACTGCAAGCCATTAAACTGCAAAATTTGCCAGAAGAATTCCAGCATCACAGCAGCCAGGATCCAGAAGTCCAGATTGAAGCGCTGGCATCTGTCTACATTGAACCTAGCAACGAGGCACTTCACAGCCGTTATTTTGATCTCTCAAGCCCCAATCTCACTAGGGTCCCCAAACTCCAGGTGGTCCAGATCTATCTTTGCACGGCCCAGGTGGATTTGATGCAAAGTCTCTTTGAGTGCAAGATCAGAATCAGATTCTAGCTCGATAGCCATCTTAAGATCTCTGTGATGCTGGTCAAGGCTAAAATGCGATGGTTGCAGTAGGATCAAAGATCCAGAAAGATGTGTATCGGGCGTATATCTGTGGGGGGTGCCTTGGATTTGGTTGTTCTCTAGTGTTTCCACTTTTAGAACAGAATCAGGATGTAGCCGCCGACCATAGATATGGACGTACGCCACGACTTTTGCCAAAAGGCCATCTTTCTTTTTGATTCTCAGCACATAGAGCATGGCGGGCCATAAATACGCCGTCCTCACGGTCTGGGAGAGGAAACATTCAACGCGACCTCAAGTCAGGATGAGCAGCAACACAAGTTTTGAATTCATGGTTCATTGTCCAGCTCCTCATCAGGGAATTGCTAGCTCAAAGTCGGTTCTGGTTAGACACTTCCAGCTCAAATGAATGCTCTCAGAGCAAGAGAGTGATCGCTCAAAGCTTCGCTGCATGATTGAAGTGAGGTCTCAGCTGAGCTTCCCATTGCTGACTGTGATGCCCACTGTGGCCATTCATCTAAAGACAGAGGTTGTGAACCCTCAGGATTGATATCAGCTATGTATCAAGTGAAAAAATGACACTGGGAAAGATGAGACTGCTGGGACCATTGTGCATGCCAAGAAGAGCATCTTTGATAAGAGACTTGTGAAAGAGATCAAAGTTCACAGCAAGGAGTGGCTGTTGAGGATCAAGCTGGCCGCTCGCAAGAATATTGTCAGTCTGCATGAGGCTCTCTATCACGACGGCGCCATCTTTCTCTATTACGAGGTTTTGAATGTGTCTCTTGTCCAGGTATTCACAACACTCTGTGGACTGCTTTGATATTATGAGGTGGCAGCATTCTGCAAAGAGATTCTTGATGGCCTGGACTACATTTACAATCATCTCCAGCTCACGCATGGTGTGCTTGGTGCTGAGAGTGTTCTTCTGGCGCCGGGGAAAGGGGTGGTAAAGATTGGTGAGTTCCCTAGAAAACATCCACCTGCTCTTGAGGTTAACAGCTGGTCAGCGGACATTGGCACAGCAATGCTGAGAAAGAAAGACGAAAAAGCAGCACAAGAGGATATACGCTCACTGGGTACAATGATAATTGAGAGCTTGAAACCGTGTACAGCGCTGTTCAAGTGTGACATTCTCACAGACAAGAAATGAAATGCGGATCTCCAGGAGTTTCAGATGCTCATTCATACAAAACAGGCAGCAGAGCTTCTCTGAGTAAGTAGTCTCAACTTGCTGGCTTAATAATGCAACTGACATCAAAGAAAGCATGATTTCCTGCAATGATTCCCTGGGCCAGAGTGTCTCATTCCCTACATAAGAGTAGCCTGGGAGACAACTCTAAAGAAGGTAGAGGTCCTGAGGGAGTAGTGATCTGTACATCATAGAATGAATGCTTTTGTATTTGTTCAGGAATCAAGCTATTGATGTATTTGATGTGATTGAATTCACTGAGATTCATGGAACTTTGTACTTTTGTATGTATCTTCAACGCGCTCGCAGGCTTCAGAGACTAGTTCTAATCTGGAAGTTGTTGTTGAAGTCAAAATACTGAGATAGGTGTTACAGTTCTTGTGAACATTAAGTTCCCAACCTTCTGCTCTCTATTCTGTTCCACACCATCAAGATTCATCTGCTGCTGGCATTTCTTAGGGTCCTCAGCTACCTTTGTCAGCTCTTCTTGAGGATAAGGATTTGGCAAGCACTATTCAACTTTAGCCCTGATTTTCAAAAGCTCTTCAAGGTTGAGCTGCTTTGATCTGTAGGGTTAATTTTTCAGTTGGATTCTAATATGCAGGTGCTAAAGGTTGGAAGGACTAGAATGTGAAGAATAAAGCAGTAAAGAAGTGTTTCTGATGTGAGTTATGACTAGCTATGAACCTGTCTAGCTATGAATCTTTCAAATTTATCTCTTGAATTCAAGAACTTATGAATGTATCACTCAATCAGCTGGATTCTGCACTGATGTTCAGTACTGACAGTAAAGAGATTGTAAAACGCTTGTGTCGAGGTTTTGATTCCAGCTCAGACTCTTTAGATTCCTTATTATGATTGCTTCTCTTGTGTGCAAAGTCCTCCAGGGTAGTAAATTCAGTTTCAGAATAATGCTCTTTCTTTTGACTGGTTAGATCTCTTCTGATGACAGGGACATTCTAGCACTCATCACTTCTTGTCTTGTTGAAGGCCATGATTCTGACCAGTGGCTACTGTAGGTAAAGAATTTGCCTGTGATTGTGATCAATGTTGATTTCCTGTCTTATAGAGGGCTCATTTTGCTTGTTGAAACTGTTCATGATCAGCTTTTACTCACTTTTTTGAATCAATGTTTCACACACAGCATTTGTTCACTTGTCTTCAGCACTGGTCTTCAGCCATTGTGATTGTGATGTGGATCAATGTATTAAAAAGGCTGATTCTGATTTCATAGCTTTTGCTTGCTAGACTATGCTCTTCAGTGGCATTTATATCTTCTTTTGCCTGATGACAAGAACTCTTCTACATGATCTGATGATATTTTTAGACACAGATGAAACAAGAATTGCTGTTTCAAGATCTAGAAATAGTACTGAATCTTGCTGGATATTTTTGTCAGTGAACTTGTTGAGTGCATTCATTCTGACTTGTTGTGACATCTCACTACATCATGGTTCTGCAATCCATGGCCTCTATGACCTATTTTTAACATTTCAGAATTGAGGCCATGAGTTTGAAATTCGTGGCCTTAATGCATTGTTTCTTATACACTCTGACTGTCTGTTGCTGGCCTTCCAGTCAACTTCATCATTTTGTTACTGTCTTGTCCCTGGCTGGCCAGGGAAGCACTCAGTCATGGATATCCTCACCATCTATGCCTGTACTGTCACTGATCTTGTGGTTCTTCTGCTCTTTCATTGCCATCTTTGATGGGGCCTCTGCAGCATCTTCAATGAGGAGTTCATGTGAATGTGTTTTCAGTGAAGGATGCGGCTCTATCTGCTCTGTTGTCAAAGGTTGTTTGAACTCATTACCTGTACCAGGATGTTTCTACATCTTCTTCATCTGGGAGGCACGCTTGCCTGCAATGCGTGGGCGTCCGCAGTGCCCGGGAGGCCAGCGCGAGAGTGGGCTCGCTTGCCCTACTTCACTTAGTCTCGCTCTACCTGACCCGCCAGTTCAGCTTTGCTGCTGACCTGTTTGGGGTCTCTTTGTGAACATATCAGCTTCTGCACCAGGCAATCGGCCTGATGGCTGTGCTTCAGACTGCTGTACATGTGGCCACTGCGCTGCTTCAGATGGCCTTTAGCCTCAGTGACAGGCCTTTGCACTATGGATTTATAGGCAGCATCATGCTGGCGGCAGTGCTTGTGGTTGTGCTACTGTGGGTCTGTACCTGGTCGCATGAGCTCTATGTTCACTGCCACTTCTTTCTGAGTGTTGCTGCCCTGGTCATGGTGTGGATGCATCTGAAGTGGCCATGCACTCTTCACAGGATTTGTCTGTTTACGGCAGCAATTCTTCCGGGCCTTACTTCTGCTGTTCATATTGTCTGGGTTGCATTCTGCAATCTCTGTGCCCACTGGTCACTTCCTGTCACCCATGTGGTGAAGAAGGCGGGTGTGGTTGAGCTGACCTTCCGCCCATCGCGGCCATGGAAGGTATGCACCGGCCAGTACATATATCTGATGGTCCCAGGTCTTGGCTTCTGGGTGGTCACGCAGGCCCATCTGTTCTACATTGTCTGGACGGAAGATGGGCCTGATGGCGAAGCTGTCTTGGTCACTGTTATTGTGAGAGTGAGGACTGGCTTTACACAGGCCTTATTTTTGACTCCTCACTGTCACCTGCGCCTCATCGTGGATGGCCTGTATGGCAGCCTGAAGCGCAAGCAACTTCTGAAGGCAGCATGGCTCTATGATGCTGTTATGCTCATCGCGACAGACATTGGTATTGCTGGCCAACTTCTCTATGCAAAGGACCTCCTCCGCTGCTTCATCACGGAGGAAAATGACATGAATACATGGGGAGGAGGCATCCGTCGACATCGCATCAATATAGTGTGGGAGATGAAAGAGGAGTGTAAGTTGACTGAAGCTACCATGATGTGTGTTGCCTAACAGTGCCATAAAGCCCATAACAGTTAAATTTCAGACCGGATCAGCCAGTTACTGGCAGAAGATAGCAATTCTCTGATAAGTCATCTACTCTCTATGATGAATCATTGCTAATTGTCTCTGTAGATTCTGCACTATACTCTATATATCATTCACTGCTCTGATGGCAATGATGATGCAACTGAAGATGGGGGCTGTGATGCATTTAATTATAGAAAGATGAATGTGAAGAATGTCCTTGCAAAAGAACTAGATGAATGGCTAAGAAAAGTGCTTATGATTGATAAGTTAATAGAACTTCTCTGATGTCTTTTATATTGGTTTCTCACTCTTATCAGTGTCTGCTATCTCAAATGCCTGTGATGAAGCTTGTGAGTTTGTTCTCCAACACAATGACAGGCTTGAATTTCAGGAGCTTGAGTTTCAATCAAGCTCTGATCTGATCAGCTTCTGGGCCCTGGATGGAATCATCAATGTTGTTTAGAATTTCTCAAGTGCTTCGGTTTTCTCCATGAGTAGTAACTTATGCCAACTCATATTTACTCACTGTCTTTGTGAATTCCTTGTCTCTTGATTTTATCAAGGTCATTTCCTCATTCTTACCTGCTCTCTTCTCATCTCTTGTCTTCTAGTACACTTAGTGATAGTATATCCTTTACAATCTCAATAGAAATCATGAGCTGAAATGAGGATTAGAGGTGATTAGAGGTATAAAAAATGAGAAATTTGGGGTTTGGCCTAGGGGTTATCTCGTTGCTAAGTGTAGGGGGTTGGGCAGGAGTAGAGTGTAATGAAGTTTGACCTGGCAAAATCCTCTGTTCGGGTGACAGAAGTTTGATTGTCGTACTGCATCTATACTATTTTCATGATTTGATTCAAACTTATCAAGCTGTATTTCTGTTTCTCTGGTACAGTAGTTGAAAGTTGCTCTCTGAGAGATAAGCATAGTGGCAGATTTTATATTTCAAAGTATTGATTGCTATACCTGGGTACAATAAAAGCTGTTCAAAGCACTAAAATCATACTAAACACAAAGACAACAAGTAGCATCAGATGTGGAAAAACAGCCTGGCTTTCATTGCCAGTAAATGGAACAGCCCGAGGCATAGACACTTCTGATCTTCTTGTGGTTGAGTGTCAAGTGCTGCTGATGCTGCTGCTTGCCCAACTCTCATAGAATCCTGTTGGCATTGCCATTGCTGTTGTTATGAAGCCTGTTGAAGCTAAGAAATTGCTGGCTGTCATAGTTGAAAAGCCAGTTTCACAGTATTCAGTTATGAGGCCCGCTGATGCTGGGAAATTGATGACTGTCATGACTGGAAAGCTAGTTTCTAGAACAGAGTTTGAGGTTGTAGTTTCATGCTTCTCTTTCACATTTGCCAGGAATTGCTCCATCTGATCACCAGGGTTGAGAGCAAATACCATGCCTGCATGGCAGTGAGAGGTTGGGTGAATCTGTCGACAAAAGAATCACTGGGAATTCAGAGAGTTGACAGTGAATGACATTAATAGGCCTGAGCGATTTGAGGGATTGAATCGGGTAAAGCCAGAATCAAATTGCTGCAACGGTGTGCATGGAGATTGAAGGCTTGACTGTGTCAAAGTGTGGTTTGACTGGTAGAATTCAAAGATCATCAGATCACCGATGTTGATGTTGAGATGGTTCGGTTCAAATTCAATTCCATCATGAACACTCACATTGACTTTGTGGGTAGTATGTGGGGGTTTTGAAGCATCAATGAAGACTGACTGCTCTAGCCTGTCTGCTTGTTAGCTCGGAGGCATTAACTGAGGGGTTGAATTGACATACTCCATCTGAAGAGCAAGGGTAGAGCTGATGTTAAGCAAGCTGAATAGAGCAAGAGCTGTGAGCATTTTGCAGTGACTCATCTGATCTCAAGAATCTTTTGATAATCAAGATGGTTTGATGAATTCATTTATCATCTTCAATCATCTCACTTTTTAACACAATGATATCTCTTGTCAGTATTGTGGCCAGTGGCCATGGTTTAACAACTACAATGAAAGGTGGCTGTTGGCCATGAATTATTATCATGGCATCATCGCAAATCTCGTGGCCCCCTTTTTTAATATAAATTGATGTTAAGACATCACTCTCAACAGGCTTTTATCATACACAATCAATTACTCAAAAATCAGTTGATCTGATTCTGCCATTGCTTATCTGAATCACACTGCTCAAATTTGAATCCAAGCATCTTTATACCTGAACTTGTTAAGATACTTCGCTGGTCGAAACTATCATCTCTTTTGCAAGAAGCTCCCAGTCATGCCTTCGAATTCGTCCAAGGGAAAGGCTCCTGAGCTTAACCTATCCACCTCACCTCCACTTTCTCCTCTGACTGAGAGATCAGAGAGCCCAGAAAACCCTTTTCCTGAAGGAACTTTTCAGGCAAATTCTTCTGCTGCAGGCCAGGACCTCACGGAAAGATTGGCGGCCTTGAAGCAAACTCCAGATCCCAGAGTTCCTCCTGGGAACACAAATTCTTCTGTTGCTGGTTCATCCTCATCTCAAACATCTGCAACGGCAAACCAGAATTCAGCGCCCGGAGGTATTCCTGAAGATGGGGATACAAACGAGGAGGAGTGGAATGATGACATGCTCGATGATATAATACCTGACGAAGAGATTGACAATGATGACTCTCTAACAGAAGAAGAGAAAGAAGAAAAGAAGAAACTTTCTCGGAGAGCTGAAGCCCTTTTCGAATCAGATACTCGTGACAAGAGGGCGGACAAGGATTTCCTTCCAGGATTGAATGTTTCCTACTTTGACCGAATTCACATTGCCAACTGCATGTACCGTGCTGATGAGAATGACTACTATCAACTTCTTGGGCTCCCTCACGACGCGACAGAAGAAATGGCGGCTTGGAGCATCAAGAAACTTGACATGATATTGGACGTTCATACCTGCTCCAATGAAGCTGAATTTAGGGTTGTTGCAAAGGCCAAAGAGAGTAAGTTTCTCCCATCATCCATGCGAGTCTTTGCTAACATATAATGTGGCTAGAGTTGGCAACCATTACAGCCAAGGTCATCGAAACCAGAGCGGGCATTGCAAATGAGCTTGAAAGAGTGCAGATACAACACCTGGGAGAGCCATTGGTGAAAGCGCATCGAGATGCACATATGAAGGCGACCACTCCCTTAAAAAGACTTTATACTGCATTCCAGCGTGGTGAAATGATCATAGGTGGTGTTCACAATCTAGAAAAGCCAAGCACAATGGTTCTTGCGCAACTGGACGCTATCGAGAGAATCAACCAATCTCTGACGCAATGGAACAGTGAACGAGGCTTGACCTCGACTTTTGGAACGATTGAAATCTCGAAACTACAGGCTGTCTGGAAACGTGTGAAGGAAGGCGGGTCTACAGATAACATACAGCTCCCCAATACATATCCTTTAGGCTGGACGAAGCTACCTCCGCAAGCAGAATACACATATGCTGACGATGCCGTTGAGAAGTATTGGATACCGGCCTGGAACCATGTCACAGCAGCTGCTCAGAATCTTTGGAGAGCTTACCGTGATAATGGGGATGTTGATGCAGCCCGGAGAGAACTGGAGACCAAGTGTTCCGATACATGGCCTGAAATTCAGAGATTGAATAAGGAGAACAAACAGCTTCTCTATGCTCATGGACTGGATTCCCAAGTCATTGATATGATATACCTGAGGCTATTCACTGCATACACGCAAGGTGACCGCGTCGCTTATGACAATCTCAAGAGAGTTCAGGAGAATTGGCTGGAGTCCAACGGCTTGGAACCAGTATGGTGTCCTGATTATCCTGAAGTGCCATATCAGCAACCAAACCAGAACCCTCCACCTCCTGAAAACCAGAGCCTTCCACCTCCTGAAAACCACCCCTCACCTCCGGGAAACCAGAACCCTTCACCCCCCGAAAACCAGAACTCTTCACCTCCCGAAAACCAGAGCCTTCCACCTCCCGAAAACCAGAACCCCTCGCCTCCCGAAAACCACCCCTCACCTCTGGGAAACCAGGCCCCCCAACCTCCTCGAGACCAGACTCCCCCACCTCCCAGAGACCAGACTCCCCCACCTCCCGGAGACCAGACTCCCCAACCTCCTGGAGACCAGATTCCTTCACCTCCTGGAAACCAGACCTTCTCACCTCCCAGAGACCAGAATCCTCCAGGCCTCAGAGACAGAACACCTCCGCCTCATGGTTGCCCTGTATGCATGTCAGGTTTGAATGGAACCCGACGTGCAAGATGCAGGCAATGCTGGCATGTAATGCACACAGACTGTCTAGAGCAGTGGTCTCAGTGAAGTAGTCAGAGTGGTCATATGCAAGATGCACACTGCCCACACTGGTGAGTTGAACAATCTTGTATTGAAACAGCTTTGCTAACTGATCTGCATAGTTGTGCCACCCAGGGGTATAATCTCATTGAACTGCTGGTTCCAACTCAATCATCATGAAATGGCCGGAGGGGTCAGAAGATCACTATTCATTCATGTAGAGTGACTTGAAATATTCAACCTGGATATACAGCAGCAGGAGAAAAAATCATCTGGATGCAGATGTACAGAAATAACAGTCATGCTGTGGTTGAAACTGGAGATGGTGGCCATGTGCTTCACACACAGTCAGAAGCCGGAGGGCGAACAGTTCTTGAGGCAGCAGAGAGAGTAGAAACCCCAAAGATGAGTGGCCCTAATGAGTGAAAGCAGTTGAAGGGACAGATTGAAAACATGAGAGAATACAGTGTCAAAGTTGTGGCTGTTGAAGAATGGGACAAATTCTCAAAAGCATTGCCTTTTGTTGTTTGTGTCTTCTTTCATCACTTGAAGGGGGTTTACACAGAGATTTGTGAGTCTCACTCTAACTTGAAACTGCTTGTGAGACAGAGGGCTGGAGAGCAGATGCTTGCTGAAGCCATGACCCCTGAGGGCTCAGATGTCACAGATGTCGAGGAGGCACTTGAAGATTTGCTTGGGATTTCTCACCTGGATAGACAGAGATTCCAAGCAGAAGAACTTCATTGAAGGGCTGAAATGTTAGAGATGAAGGTGGAACAGGAACAGTCATGTTTGACAATACCAGAAGACTGAGTGGAACTCAATCATCATTGAATTGCTTATCAGATTATATTTGGCTTCTTGAGCTTGTGTCTTATGACTAATCTGGGTTGATGAAACCATCTATTCATTCCTTTAGTTAGTTTCTTACACTGTTGTCTTGGAGTTTTGCATCTCATTAATCTTAATATTTTAAATAAATCTATCTCTTCTTTCTCCGCAATATTTTGCTGCATCTTAAACTTCATCTTGTGATGTACATTACCCTATAAGAGGGATGATGGTATTCACATAACTGCATGAGACTTGTTGATAGATAGAAAGCTGGTGCTTTGATTGAGCCAGTGTATTCTCTATCTAGTAACTCTTGATATAACCAGTGATATTCTGGCGACATGACCCACAGGTCATTGCATCAGAAGAAAGGCATTGTGAGCAAAACCTATGTCCACATAGAAGGGTTTTCCATTCCAGCGGGATAGTGTAACATATTGAACATTGACATCGATGCTCCAGCTCGCGGATTTTGGCCTCAAGCTCGCTGATCTGCTCATCTTTCCTAATCATTTCCACAAGCAGGTGTTGCACTTTTTCTTCCGGATTTTTCATCTTTGCATGCTCTGCTTCCCAAACCTCGTGGATTTTCTGGTTTGCTGTTTCCTATCCCAATATCAGCACAGAAAGATTTCTGCCAAGAGAAGAGGCTTACCAAAACCATGTCCAAGCTGGATATTTTATGTTTCTTCCGTGGCTGCGACGTTTCGGATGCTTCCAAGGATACTAGGTTGTCAAATAAAGCCTCGTGCGCTGGATAGCTGTCATCTGTGCAGGGTCTCTTCTCCCGTGGCTCTCGTGGCTCTCGTGGCAGGGACGGCGGCTCATCCACCTCTGTATCTGAACTGTCGATGATGATGATGTCGCGGAGTTTGTTGTGGGGAAGGTCAGGTTCAGCTGAAGCCATGATTGAATGATCGATGTGCACGGAGATACTGCTGGCTTGAAAAGGCTCATACAGCAAGCAGACAATTCCAGATCAGAAGTCACGCGAGCAAAAAAAAAAAAAAAAAGAATGATGGGGAACTCCAGGAGGGAACATGCTCTTTTATGTTCACTCTGTCGCCTTGGACTATGTATGCCCCTCGATAGGTCTTAATCTTGCAGTGGTAGGATGGGAAGTGGAAAAGGAATTGAAAGAAAGATGGATTCAAGGCGGGAGGGAGCCGATATATATACCGGGGCGGGGAGGGCGGGGAAGGCAGCGACGCAGCTTCAGCTGTCCCATTCTTCAAGAGTTCTTATTGGTAGTCAATGAAACCTGGCCATGCAGAAATGGTAGGCCCAAGCTGTGCTGGGAAGTTGTCATAGGCCTAGTTAGGACAAGGAGCTCTTTGCATATCATTGTGATCTCAGCTGTGGAGTTATCTTTGCGAGTTCACAAATGTCTAAAATTTTTTGATGTCTTTCTAGCATACAAAGTTAGCAAGAATATAATAAGAAGCTGCATGCTATATTGTCATGATCTTTGCAAACTGATAGGAAAATTATTTATGAAGAACACATAAGCAGTTGAGGATCAATGTTCTTCAGTGAGATTTTGTTCACAGAGAGTTTCAACCACTTCCCAGACTCAAGTCCATCTCCTGCTGGCTGCTCTCATTTTAACTTCTCTCGTTTTTGATGTTGAAGCCGTTTAGTGCGCTGCGAGCGTTTGTCGAGATCATAGGCATGTGTCATCCTGGCGTGGTGTAGGAAAGACAACTCATCTGGGAAAGGTTGTGGCTCACAACCGTCACAGGTGCATGGTAACTGACCAGAAGATTTTGCGAAATGTGTTTGCTGAAGATGCCGCCTCACTGAAGCAATGTCCCGGAATTTATGCGACGCTTTACCCTGCTGTGCCATCGACTTTCCATAACAAAGAATGCAATATTGAGTGGGCACCTCGAGAAGTCCAGATTGCGTGGTTAAGCTGATATTGTCATGGGATCCTCTGCTGTCTGGGTCCTAGTTGAATCTCTTTCCCCTTTGCGAAGGCTCGGAGAGCCTGCAGAGAGCTATAAGATCCTCGGTAACTTGAATTTGTCTCTTGCGCAGCTGCTCACCGTCAAAGGTTTCTGATTCAGGACCATAGAATGAATCAATAAGTCGTTTTCGTTCACTTGAAAAGTGCTTCGGAACTGGCTCTTCACTCTCATCAACATGAGAATCATCATACTCCTCTCCCGCAAGTAATCGTAAAATCTCCTTGTCCACCTCTTCTGCACCAATATTAAGAAAAAAGTCATCTCTCTCCTTCTTGTGTAACTGCCTCGTGAGAGTGTTTCTCTTGCTAGGCAGTTCTTTTTTGACTGAAAGATACTGCTGATAAAGATCTGGGCAGATGCTTTGCCCTCTTTGCACTTTTCCAGCCACTGATATTATTTGTTCCTTTAGTGCTCCTTGTCGCTGTCTCAGTCTCAGGATCGTAGGATGCTCGCGTACTGCTCTTTTCACGGTGTCCGAAGCTCTGCTGCCAGGTGCTCGTGTGTCCCGGTGTCTCATCTGGCTCATGGCTAGCTCAAGCACTTCGTTGTGGTGGGGTCGTAAGAGGACAAAAAATTGCATATCCCGCTTTACATTGTGATCGTGATAATTTTTTTCGTAAACATTTGAACCGTTATGACCAAGAATTCTTTTCCGCTCCGCCTTGGTGAACTTATCTAGAACCAATAAGTAAATATTGGCTGCCTAATGGAGTAAAAAGACGTACCGTTTGCTGTATTAGCCACCCAGCGTCTATCAGCATAGAAGGACATGTCCATGAAGCCCGCATCCCGAACAAGTGCTGTGTTGGCTTTATTGGCCACGCTGTACGACATTGATTGCTTTTCATCAATGGAGTGCAAGCCGGCATCGTCCGTTTTCATACATCGAAGCACAGGTTTGTTTAGCACCTTGTCCTTCCATCGAAATGGGAGAGATCCCCTATGGCGGGGGACTCTCAAGCTCCAGAACAGTTTCGGCGTGAGATGCTCATTTTGAAAGGCCTCATCTCGAAATGCCAGCGCTACTATCTGGGCGATGGGGCAGTATACCAGCTTGTAATCGCCATGAACAAAGAATCTAGTCCTATAAAATGACACATTGGTACTTGGTTCCTTCTCAACATATTGTAGGATGTAGTCTTACCCCTCTGCGCCCTCCGGCTTGCCTTTCAAGTTTCGAAAATCGATGATTGCACACGGGATACTCCCATTGGGTATAGGTAGAAGAAATAGTTCGATGTCTTTCCACAATACAGTTTTTGGCAGACTGTTCAAAGATGTATATCGCGGAAGATCACTCTTGAATCCATCGGAGGCCGCCTTGGGTTTCGCTGTCTGAGGGTCCTTTGGTAAAATCTCACCGGGTCGTGAGCCAGTTATTGCTAGCCACATTTTCAGGGTTGCAAACTGAACCTGATCGTTGCCGTGAGGGAAATGGGTGGAGAACATCCAATGATGGCGCATGAGCACAGAGAAGACTACAACATCTGTGGTAGGCTTGTCTTTGCTTTATTGCTCACTTCGCCCTTGCGTTCGACCTGGAATTCATGTTTGAACCACTTTCCTTAAGATTAGTATCCCATTCAAATGGAAGGAAAGTAGAGTACTCAACATAGAGATTACATACCCTCTCCATTTGCTGATAAACCTCATTATCGAATCCTTTCTGCTTAAAGAAGGAGTAATATTGGCAGAGCCACTTCCAATATGTTTTATATGTCTCCAATTCTTTGTATTGGTCTAAACCCTCTATGACTCATCTCTGAAGCCAGTCAAAGAAAGTCTGATAGACTGCGATTTCTGCTCAGAGAAGATACTTCTCGTAATCCTCCTTGACATGTTCACAGTACCTGTTTCAGTACATTAGCATGTTGTAAAGGTCTGGCATAAAGACAGGAAACCAACCGACGCCAAGAACGCTCAATCACTCCTATATTGATCCATGTTGTTTCTTTGTATTGTGGTGAAAGCCATCCACGCTGACGATAGTGTACCAGCCGGCGCCTTGTCTCTTCAGAGAAGACAGTCTCCCAGGCCTTTTCATCTAATTGCGCATATGCTGCACGTTTTCCCACCATGATGTATAGTACAGCATGCGCTAGGAAATAAGATACATAAGCAATTTAACCACACGGAAAAGAAGGCAGAAGGCATAGATATCCATAATGAGAGACATTCTTCTAGGGTATCCATTTCTCTATATTTATCACGGAACAGTCTTAGGGCATGCCTCTTGGTACCGAGTGACATGGACCGCTAAAATGCCACGAAAAACGGGCCAAAAACCACGGGAATCCGTGGCCACTTCGCAATTACGCCGCTTCTTGAAGATAATCTGACCACCACAGCCTGAGATGGAGGGACTGATGATATGTACAGTACATGTACATGTACATCGCTTTGCTGGCGAAATACACCCGTTTGGACCCTTTTTTAATTCTTTTTTTCTAATAAAAGAATGCATGCTTGGACTCCAGCCTCCCCCACCCTCTGGAGGTAAAATCCGCGGATATTTTGTGCTGGCCCCGTAGGACCGACCAATCGCGAAGATATTTCCCCGATGAATGCAGTTGGCTAGTCTAGCTTCGGCAAGATTGAGATCTATCCTATAGAGATGATAATAATGCAATATCAAGGTCGGAAGGAAGCAATCTTCCTGGCGAACTTGTTCGTTAGACTCGGGCTTCTAGTTGAATAACTATGGTGAGCTGAATGTCTAGTCAGATCAACCCCCATACATATAAGTTACACTATTATTCTCGTTTACTCAAAACCCTCAATACTCAACACACCTATTGAAGATAAGAATTATAATAATAATGGTCAACTCAAAGATACTATTTTTTTTTATTTTTTTTTAATATATACAGCATAGTCAGTACTCTGTATTGTGTTATGAAGAAATCAGTCCATCATTAGTGCAGGTGTACTCCGTATTTAGATGAGATTGACAAGAGGCCCTGGTTATAGCCATGATCAGGGTTGATACGTCCGACTAGTTTCCCCCGTCAGATTCCAAATGCTTGCTCCATGGTCAAGTTATGAAAGAAGAAGTTCACCGCATGCCCTCGCTCCAATCCTACCTCTTATTATTGCTCCCCCCCTAATAACTCTCTCTTCGCCCTACCACCCGCCCCGGGGCTGGCTAACACCGTTAGCCTTCCTTGGGCTCTATCTTTCCTGCGCTAACGCCAAACTTACATACGCCGCGGAGTAACTAAGTTAGTTAAAGAGATTTGGAGAAAAGCAAGCAGATTTTCCATGTTATTTCATTATTTGAACTGTGTTTTCCCCCTCAGCGGCCTATGCGTGCGTGCTGCGCCTGTTATCCTGGGACTCCACGATAACTCCCCGAGTTAATAATAGATATTTCACCCCCTTGGAAGCGGGCTCAGGGTCATGCTGAGGGCGGCTGCTTACCAGCCCTGGTGGAATGAGCAAAATGCATTCCTTCGCTTCTGATTCTCGATTTAGCAACAAGCCCTAGCGAATATGTTATTTTCAGCCTCCCTAATTTGCTGTACGGGGTATTGGGAGCTAGTTGCTACGCTGTATGTGGGCAGGGCTGACACTTTGAATCCTCTCCTATCTCCAGCCCTTCATTAGGGTCGACATGAAAATTCATATAAGATCCTGCCGTGCCCCTATGTTCGTCGTAGTATCATTCAACACAACAGATCCAAACCCATAGCTAAAGGATCAATACACCCTTCCCGCATCTTTTTCTGCATCTTTTTTTCTTTTTTATATTCAGTTTCCTTTCGGTCTTTCCAATGCATTTCTTCGACACCATTCTTCCACTCGCCCTAGTGGTACTGTCCACTGCCGATGCTGCAGCTGTTCTTAAAGTTCCCCGCAACAGCCATGCGGTTCCCAATTCATACATCGTCGTCATGAAACCGGGCACAAGCGACGATAGATTTGAGAGCCATCGGAGCTGGGTTTCCAATAAGCTGTCGGCTAGTGATTCCGGTGTCGATAATGGTGGTGTCAGACATGACTACAACCTCGACAGCGAATTCAAAGCATACTCAGGTATCTTTGGCGAGGATGTTATCAAACAGATTTCCAATGATGAAGATGTATGGACGGAACGCTCATATTTTCAAACCTAACAATTACCTTGTCTTCAAACAAAATACTGACCGAGGTGTAAATTCCCAGGTTGCCTACATCGAACCAGACATAGTTGTGAAACTTGACAAGCTCCGCATACAAAAAAACGCTTCTTCATGGGGACTCGGCCGAATTTCCTCGACCAAGCCCGGTTCCCCACACTATATCTATGACGAGAAAGCCGGCGAAGGTATCACTGCTTATGTTATCGATACCGGTATCGATGTGAACCACCCCGACTTCGACGGTCGCGCGACCTGGGGTACAAATACTGTTGACTCGCGTGACGAAGACTGCGGAAACCACGGCACTCATGTTGCGGGCACTATTGGTGGCAATCGGCACGGTGTTGCCAAAAAGATTAAGCTGATCGGCGTCAAGGTGTTTGGCTGCGACGAAGATGGTGGAGGAAGCAATGTCATCCGGGGGATGGCCTGGGCTTACGCCCATGCCACGCACAATGGTGACCCCAAGAAGTCTATCATGAACATGAGCCTTGGTGCGCCCTACAGCCGTTCATTCAACGAGGCTGCCGCGGCCATTGTCCGCGCCGGTATTTTCCTTGCTGTGTCCGCTGGCAACGACGGGGTAGGTTCGATTTCTCTGTTCTCTTGAGCTTTTTCAAAGAGACTCCTGCTGACAGTCTGTCTAGTTTGATGCGTCCAAAAAATCTCCCGCCTCTGAGCCAACTGTGTGCACTATTGGCGCTACCGATTCCGAGGACACAATTGCCAAATTCTCCAACTATGGTAGTGGTGGTAAGTCGGCAACTCCATTTCTTTTCATTCATTCAATTTTTTTTCTTTTTTTTTTTTTTCTCTCTTTCCTCTTCGGGAACTAACATGAACTTCACCATAGTCGACCTCTTTGCACCTGGCGTCGACATTGTTTCCACCGTCCCTGGAGGAAAAACCGATTCCTACTCAGGAACCTCCATGGCTGCCCCTCACGCCGCCGGCGTCGCCGCTTACCTCATGGCGATTGAGAACATCAGCGGCGGGGCTGTCTGTGATCGCCTGAAGGAGCTTGCAAGGGATTCCGTCAAAGGTGCCCCCGAGGGTACCACCCGCAAACTGCTCTTCAACGGAGTCCGCAGGCACTACAAGTCGAAGCCCAGGAAAAAGGTTCCCAAGAGACCCGAGGAATGTCCCCCTTGTGAGCGCAAGTATTCTTACTGAGATGTTTCCTATTGATGTATGTTAGCAACGACTATTTTTTCCATTTATTTCTTTTTATATTTTTGTCCCTTCCTCTGGGCCAATTCCTCTTGGCCGTTCATGCGCTCCTTGCTTTCCCGTTTCCAACACTTCGTTTTTTTTCTCTCATGTACTATACCATATATCATCCAGAATGCATATAGACTTCATTGGTTTTCAATAAATCAAACCCATCGTTGGAGCTATGTTTGATACACATTGCATGGGCTCCATACCATCTCTCTCTCATTGTCAAACCAGAGCGGTCGTCGTAGGGGCAGGACGTTTAAGGTTCATGTAAGTTAGTGGGCTTGGCGAGCTTAGCGCTGCAGGGCTCGCCCTACCCTTGCCAGCCTTGGCAGTTGGTGGCTTCATCCATCCCCCGCGCTTAATCTCCGTAGTGAGCCCTAGTGCTGCTATTTATAGTGTCCAACGGGAGTTTAGCAAGGGATATATATTATTATTAGTGATTATTATTACGGTTATGTTATTGTGCTTTCAACAACAGAGCATGTCCGTATATCACATATCATACCAACACTCAGATCCTCACAGCTATGAAAGATGATTGTTCTTAGCTATCTACCAAGGCACCGCGGCATATAAGATAAGATGTTACGTCGAGCGTCGGACATATGTATAAACCACAAGGTTGTGTGTGTTCAAAGATAAGCATGATGAAACAGCCAAACAGTTTCGCCAAGACCGACATACTGTGGAATATTTCCGAGTCCCCATCAGTCGGCTCAAAAAACACTGCCACTACTGAGGCCGGCCTCAAACGACCAGATCTCGATCACGGCCACTCACATCGATTAGTTCCCCCCTGGTTCACGTTTGCATGGGGGCCTTTTGCCCAACTGCTTTCTTGAGAATGTGCCCGAAGCTAATAAGTGTGCCCATTGCTTACAGTGTAAATTCCGGATGGCGGGATCAGGATACAGAATACCCCCCCCTCCCCCTCAGCCAACAGCTGCACTAACGTTGAACGCGTTTTTATTTGCTTGTCAAAGTGGGGATCTGCAGATGTGATGCCGCCATGTCGGCACGGCAGAGCGGCGGCTGTGCAGTCCCAGAGCATTTTATTCTAGGGTGGTTCTTATCGATAGGTTGGTTTTTTCAACTAAAGCAGCTAACGCTGCAACTAAGAAAATATAGAGCGGTCAATTCGGCTGGTGTGTTGCCACATCGATCCATATTCATACAATTAATTGACTACTCCTTTCTCATTATTTAGTTATATAAACTGATTCAAGTAAAAGAAAACCTTGCTATCTATTGGTATTTCCTGCCTTGCATTTCAACTACACAAATGACATCTGAAAATCTATCAATATATGCACTCAGAAAAGCGGCTTGGAGCAACAGCCGATCCAGCAAATTCAATCTGAGAACTAAAGGAATGAAGACACGAAAGATGGCGAGAAACTAAACAAGAATAAATGCAACAGAATTCAAAGAGAGCATAAATTAAAAAGGAAATAATAGTTAGAGGAACCAAAATAGGGCTAGTATCAATGATGCATGTAATTATTATAAAGATATTATTAGTATATATGTATGCGTACGATTGAGAATGAACATATTCATCTCATATTGATAGCGGACGTGATGTGTTTTTGACTTCCTGAAATTCCTGCTTTCCCAAAACATTACAACAATATATGACAGGCAAGGAAGAAGACATACACAAGACACACGCGCGCTCGGGGCGAACAAAAAAGGGGGGAAATCGAATAAACAAGGTGGAAAATTAGAATAAAATACCACAAAGACATACCAAATAAGGGACAAACTAGTTAGCACCCACATTACGGTAAAAAAAAAAAAAAAAAAAAAAAAAAAAGAGAGAGAGAGAGAGAGAGAGAGACCAAATAGTAATAAACATATAAAAGATGAAGTAAAATAGCAAAGATAGATGGTAAACCTCCGTCAAGACATGAGAATAATTAAAGTAAATCCAAGAACAAAATGAATTTAACGGAGCAGAGTCGTTAAAAGCGGGCATGGACCCGATGTGTCCAGGCTCGAGCCCGAAAATAAATCGACGGTTCTGGTTTTCACATATTGGCAAGTTCGGTATCGATCTGGCGGTCTAAGAATGACTTCTTATCGCCGGTCAATGTCGTCTGCAATCGTTGTTCAACAAGAGCACGAACTGCAGTCACAAAATCGTTAGATAAACAAAAATATAGACGAAAAAAGAAAGAGGGGAATCGCGAACGTATAGTTAGCAATACGAACCTTGTTTTTTGGTCACGGTATCCAAGTCCACCTCGGACAGACAGTGTTGAATAGCCTCCGTAATAGTTGCCTCATCTGGCCCTAAACTTGGTGGGGTTCTGAAATCCACCATGGTGTTCACTGGTCGAGTCATACCCAGTGGGCTGCGCATGCTTTGCCGCTGAGGAACTCCGAGGTGACTCTCGGTTCCCACTGGCCCAAACCCGCTGAACCGGCTTGCGCTTGCTGGATTATCATGGTAGCTGCTAAGATTGCCCATGGACAAATGGTTTTGACTGCGAGCGCCAAGGGGCTGCTCCGTGTACCGTGAGAACGATGACATGTGCGAGTTTCTATTGCCAGGTATATTGCCGCCAAACGGACTTGTGGAGTGCGGAGTCATGTACGGTCCATGGGGTCCTTGGGTAGGGAAGGGGGTAAGGATAGTTGACGCTGGTTTCACTGAAGAATATGTTGAGTGCATATCATCCATCTCCATGGCAGCGTCATCAGCATACACTGGCTGGTAGAACTTTTCCTGCCCAGAAGGCAAATTTCCCCGGCGACCTGGGAGGTTGTTGGCAAGCGCGTAATCATCCCAGCGTTGCAGAGGAATGCATCTTGGATCGAACCCTTCATCCTCAACGGCAATGACGCGTTTGTCTCCCTTCTCGCCGATAACGATGCGAGTACTTCCCCACGAGAAATTATCTTGATTCCAGAACGAGTAGAGAGGTAAAATGAAACTGTAGATCGGGAAAGCAAGGATGTAGATTATCATCCACCCAATATGTTGCCACTGGCGTTTTATAATAAAAATAATTGCCTGCAACCCGTAAACACCGGCAATGATTGCAATCGAAATAATCGGGAATTGGCCACTGTTGGTTGCAGCAAGGTAAATGATATAGACCAAGTAAGCACAGGTCGCTGGGAGGATAATCGTTCCAAAAAGATCAATAAACACCACGAATCTCATACTGAAGCAGCAGAAACCGCACAAGTCTGGAAGGAACATCAATTCTGCTAAATTGTGTATGGTGGAATTGATCCAGCGACGTCTCTGGGATAGCAAAACGCTCCATGTTTCTGGAGCTGCAGTGCTGGCGTATGCGTCCGGGATGAATTTATACCTCATGTTCGGGAAATGCTTGGTCATTAAGGTTGTCAGATATCGATCCTCTCCAAGGGCCAAAAGATTCTTCTTATGCAGTGTATCAACGTCTATGTCAGAATATTCACTCAGAACCTTATCCGAAATAATCAATGGACGACCTTTATCAGCAGTCCGAAGACGATACATGCAGAAGCTAAGAAAAGTTAGCGAACCAACGCCATAAATAAAGAAAAGGGGAAACGAAGACATTTATCGTACCATCCAGGAAGACAAGTAACGCTGCCAAACAAAGACTCGAAAGCCTTTGCCAGGTGGTGGGAAATATAGTACTCGTAAACTTGAATCATTGTCCACCAACTGCGCTCTTCGTTCTCCAAACTAGTTTCGCCGCAGATACCGGCAATTTTCGAATCATTCGCACAACTTGCCACAAGTCGGTTCAAAGAATCCTCTTTCACACTTGTGTCAGCGTCAACCATGAGGAGATACTCGTAAAGCTCAGGATCAACTCCGATAACATTGTTGATTTGGTGGAATATTTCAAGTTCGAGTGGTGACATTGCTGAACGATGGTGTACCCGGTTTAGGAAACTGAGAATTAAAACTTGAGAGTCTCGCTTTCCACGGTTCCCTGGTTTCGACTTGGTTTGTTCGGACTCCTTTCCAACCTTGACGACAACAATGTAAGGTACAACATTGCCTTCGAATTCATAAAGGCCGGAATACACTTTCCCATAGTTGAGTTGGTCGCTTCCTACGCCCACAGATTTAAATGGAAGGGCAGGAGGATCGATCTTCGGATCGACACCCAAAATATCCAGCACAATTTTTGGGGTGGGTCGGTCATTACCCCCTCCAACAATCATACCATCGCAAATCACAAAAATAAGCTTGCGTTTATTGTCATACTGGAGAGCTGTAAGGGAGTCAAGGCCTTTCCGCAGTTGATCTTCTCCCTCAGTGTATGCCGGCACCTGACATATGACAAACTTGTCTTGCATCGTAGGCCGTCGTTTAGTACCAAGCTGGAGCGCAGCAACGAATTTGATGAGAATAACACCAGCCAGTATGCAAGTGAATGCAAGCAGGATGTAATTGTTCACCTGGCATCTGGCTGTCTGTCGGAAGTCGGTTCTACCAACATAAAACTGGTGCCTTAGACACCAATAACTGTTCTGGAACTCAACACTATTCTCCCACTTGTCGCTAATATCCTCGCCCGGGTTATTTAAGAACAACTTGGTAACTTTCTCTGGTAGGAAATCGTAGGCTGCGAGATTGTTCATCGCCTTAAGGGTGTAAAAATAGTCTGTTAGGTCAAACACTTCATCTCGGAGTACAACCCATCGCCGCTCGTCCTCTTCTGCTTGTTTCCGTAATTCCTTGTTATTCCAGACCACATCTCCTTTGTAATACTCCCTGATCCTCGGTGAGAATTCTCTGTCATACCAGTTGATATCGTGCAATTTGGAATTGGGGTCACGCTCATTTAGAGGACCAGAGGCGTGGAGTGCATTTGGATATACAACGGCATCAGTTTTGTTGTTGCGGAGACTAACAGTGTCGGCTATGTTGAAGCCGCGACATGCCACAGTCAGTGGAATAGGAAAGTAAGCATCCAGGTTCAAGCCGCGGAAAGGGTCCATTCTAACCCTGGAAGTGTCTCTCGTTACAGCGTGTGGAACTCTCCAAAACCTGCTAATGTCATACACCACCCCATGGATACTGACGTAGTAGTCATTATCCCCTTGGTGAAAACTGACTTCTCTCTCAGACCATACTTTGTCTTTATTGGGACAAAGTAGATTTCCAAAAGCGACAATCCAGAAAACAATCGTGGCGTTTAGGAGAAGGATTAAAGCCATGAGAGTAACCTTTTCTCTCCAGGCCATTCGAACATCTGGGCGTTTCATACGGCCAACGTACCGAAGGACAAACGAAGGAATCCAGAAAGTCACCGCCCAAGCGAAGCCGGCCCAAGCACGCCGAGACAATGGAATTTTCTTCTGCTCGATCTTTTTGGGGTCACCATATTCTGCATCAATTTGACCGGTGAATGTCCCAAGATCTTGATCGTAGTATTGGGCATCGTGTTTTCGGTCATCTCCCTTTGGACCAAGACCGTAGTCCCCAGGTGCGGGTTGGCCAGGTTGGCCAACAGTAGGCGCGATGGAACGAGGTCCTCCAAACGCACTCGCGGGCATAGTTGCCACGCTTTGCCGATGCATAAGATTTTCATGACTGCCACCAAAGCTTGTCTCTGGTTGAAAAAATCCGCTAGCATTGGGTGGTGGTGGTGGGGTTGAAGAATATCCACTCTCAAAGGGAGTCATCACTGGGTTGAAGGGGTCCTGTGGGATATCCTGTGGTTTCATATCCAGCATTGATTCAGCCTCCCACCATGCAATTTCTCTCATCCAAATTCTCTCGTTGCCGATAACCACATCACCATTGCTCCACCCTCTTTCAAGGATCCAGCTTTGTACTCCATCCTTCCCTTCCTGGCACCCGAGTCGAGAGTACCTTGCGACAAATTCCTCTACGTCGAAATCTGCCGTGAAGTCAAGGTGCTTGTTCCGGCGGTTGGCCCATTCAGGAAGCCTCCATGCACGAAGCTGACGAGAGACAGTCCCAGCAGACCACGAGGACGTAACGGATGGTAAAGAGGCCAAGGTAGCAGGCAAGTCGTCTGTGGGGTGCAGTGCAAGGTGGTACCAAACTCTGCTGCTTCCTAGAGTATCGCTGAGGTCAAAACGGCCCTTCTTGCCAAGAGTGATACCTTCGTTTTCAACAGGATATAAAATCTGTCGAAGAAAGGCGCCCATTTCAAGTTCCAATCCAACTTTCTCCAGAACCCCCCCTTTTCTGTCGTATGCCTGTTCTCGTTCACGGATGGCTGCGCTTCCCTGTACCCCCATATCGGCCTCAACCTCTGCGACTGCATTGTGCATTTCCTTGATTACAGAATGTCCTGGGGCAACAACCTCAATTCCATCTTCCTTCATTTCAGCATTAATACCGAGAGAGTCGTCGAAGACTCCCCTAAGGGCGATGGCCTTTCCCAAGGCCGGATCTGGAACTTCGATAACTGTGATGCCAGCCGTATCGCCCGTTTCTTCATCCGACCAGGGAGTCCTCTGGCCATGGCCACCATCACTGGAGTTGCTACCCTGGGTGTTATGAATCTCATTAAAGATGGCCTCGTTAGCTTTTGATATCACCCAATCAACCAAAGCTTCGTAGATGCCCGCGATGAGGATGGTACGATCATCTGTGGAGCACTTGTGAAAAAGGACTTCCGGATCAAGGTTTAGAAGACCTCCAACATCTTCACAAATTTCCTCCAGTTCCTCCTGGTCGATTAAAAATCCCAGAGAATTACCAAGTTTTAATAGAGCAGCTAGTATGGTAATAAGACTTCGATGTGCGGCGCCTTTGATACCAATTGCCCTGAGGGAAGCTCTAAAATCTTCGGCAGAAGCTGCATCATCCGCGGTTGGTAGATATGCTGGTGGGTCGAATGTGTTGGATTTGTTCAAGAGCGAATATGCCGAGGCATCTTTGAGGCTGAGAAACTCCCTTTCAGCCGGGGTCGACGCAGATGTAAGTAGGTAGTAAAACACATCAAAAGCACGGTAGCCAGCTTCTGCAGGAATATTAAGGAGGCCGCTGGAAACATCAAGGCCGGCGGTAGATAAGGCCAGTGATACCTCTGTTACGTTGCCAGTGAGGGTGAAGGTATAAGACACGGCAAGTGCGGAATAGCGAGATTGCGAGGGACTATAAGGAGTAACATGAGAAACGAAGGGCTTAAGGACAGAGAGCGCAGTGTAAGTGGTCGATGGGGTCGACAGTGGCAGCTTAGCTAAGAATGGTGCAAGCAGGGAAGGCGTAGATCGGTGAGATGAGCTATCAACCTAACCGTTAGCACGAATTCATGATATACCAATGCACCTTTCGCAAGGGGAGGGTGAAAAAAGAAAAGAAGGGAGGAGGGGGACGGGGAGGGGGGGGGGTTTCCAACCATAAAACGATACACCCATCCTCAGCTCTTCTCCGAGCATGCTCCCAAGCCCGTTTCGCGAGCTCTGCGTCCACTGTTCCTCCTACTTCACCGTTCGGCCCAGGACTTGCGGCAGTAAGCCATGTGTTAACTGTCAAAGCCGTACCGGAGTCGAGCTGGTATGATTGACCTGAGGAGTATATGGTATGTAGGGCATTGAGGAGAGTTGTGTTGGACACCTGGGCAGCTGGTTGACCAGTCGAGCGGGCGCCCAGGGCGGCAGAAGACGTCGTCGAGTAAACTGAGTACCGGTTCGTCATAATTGCTTGCAGATGGCTATCTCAAAATGGGAACAAGGTACGGCAAACGCTCAAAGAGGCTGTTGTTAACGGCGAATTAGTGACCAGAGGGAAGTTTTCCCGCCATCCAATTCTTGAAGTGTTGATGTGTCTCCAGCCCTTGGAGCGGGCAGCAAAGACGAGGGGAACACGTCCTGCTCGAAAAAAACCGCGACCGTTGCTTATAATAGCCTTGTCGTCACTGCACCGGCTGAAATTACAAGCGGGGTCTTTGTTAGATAGAGAGAGGGCTTTGATATTGCGAGAGACCAAAAATTGCGGGCAAAAACGAGGAATAGGGAGGGAGGCGTAAGCAGAAAGCGAAGGACGAGGACAAGAAGCCCGAAGGCGAAACAAGCAACTCGTCGCTAACTCAGATAAACGAAAGGAATAGTAGAAGAAAAACCAAGCGAGAGAGAGCAGGAGGCTCAGCGATGAGGCCGTGAGGTTGAGGTTTGGCTAAAGAGATGGAGTTGGTGGAGGGATAAACAGACAGACAGACAAACAGACAGAACAGATAGGGTGGGTGGCTGTTTCAAGGGCCTGTTTGTGTACGGTAAACTGTAATACATGTATTGTTCTCTAAACCTAGCTAGAATACACAGCCGTAATACTAACTGATCGTCCCCCCAAGAATTCTTGCCCGTCCGTGCTGAGGCCACTAAAAATATCGCAGTTAAGCAAGGAATCGATCAGTAGGAAGGAAGGATACATAAGCGACAGCAGATGTGATACACAAGCCTCTTCGAACAGGGACAGCATATGTATCACCATGTCTCAACTTGCCCTCAGGCTCCGGGTTCTTTTTGCCTCCTACTCTCCACCCCCTTCTCTACGCTGTATTATTTGGATGACGCGCGAGAGCAAAGTTGCCTCAGGGACGACAACACGCGCTCCACTCCACTACTGCCAAATCAATTCCAATCAACGGGAAATGGTTCTCCTCCAGGCTAGGGGGAACACCGATGATCCGCCAGCGAAAACCATTGGCATGGGCTTGCCATCCATCGACCTGTATTTATAGTATCAGGTGTACTATACTCTACTGTACTGTACTGTATTGTATTGTATTCCACATTCTACATCAAGGGAAAAACGGAGTCTGAACGTTCGTAAGGCTGCGCATGAGGTTAATCAGGCAAGAATGCATTCAGCATATCCCGAAGATTCCCCGTAAAGCGAACGACGCTCACAAAGAACTTTGGTGATTTCGCCACAGGTAAGGGGACACCAGAGGCTAAGTTAATAATAAGAGAAGAAAAGAAGCCCCGGAAAGAAGACAGAAAGAGTTTCTGCATCATGTCACTTAACATCTAAAAATGGAGATCGAAAAAACTGGCTGAGGCTCAGCAGCAGTACTGGCGAAGAGTTTGGGTTATACTTGTAGGTCTGTCCCTCGTAGTTCCTCGATAGTTGCACGCACTGACTGATACATTTAATATTCATCGACATCTTGTGCTGAAGTTGGAATCATGATCGTGAGGGAGGGGCCTCCAGCACATTTTGTCTAAAACAAAAGACCAAAAAAAAAATGGGAGCAAGATCCACCTCCATCTTTGACCTTTTGAGAGCCTTCCAAAGTTCTTCCTAAAAACAGAAGATTGGCATGTCAGCAGCACGCAACCCGGAGGAGGGAAATAATAGAATCGCTATTCATGGATCTTGGGGGCCATGACTCGAGCATCATTGATTTTCTTTCACTGCAACCCACATGCACAGCCTTTTTCATGATATCCTGGCCCATACCAGAACTGCCAAATGAGGCGGGCGATTTTCTGAAAGAATGCTAGTGCTGCGGGGTGATATTTCAGAGCAAGCATCGAGGGCCCAGCCGAAAGGTCTCAGTTGGAGTCCCCACCAAGAGGGTGGCAAGAAAACCATGTCATATCGTGTGTACAGACCGAAATATCATCATCGACACATCTCCCCTCTCCCATGTATGTCTTACCCCATGTCCATGGAGCAGGTTAGTAGTAGGTTGCCAACGGTCCGAGTATGTTCAGAATCAGCTGAAATATGTACTCGCAACCGTAATGTAGAGTTTGCTCATGGGGGTTATTCCTTTTCTCCTTCAAGCTTCAGCTCCCTTCTAGCGTCAGCTGACAGGTGGGAAAATTTATATATTAATAATTTGCTCGAACAAGGGAAGAGTGGGATCATATTTTTTTTAAGCTCTTTCTGTCATGCTCTAGACTGAGCCTAAAATAGATTTGGGTCTGGCACTTGTTTTGGATCACGAAGGACGTGAGTTTGGGCGAGACGAGACAGCGCTGCGGCATGGCATGGCATTGGCATGGCACGCATTGCACTTGGGCTTCTTGGCCCTGTCAGTACCGTAGTTACCGCGGAGAGGAAAATCTTGCACGGGCGGATCCCAGCCGCCTTCCAAGTTTCCAAGTTCCAATTTCCAAGTTCCAAGTTCCAACTCGCCTGTTGGCTCAGCGGAAGGGATCTTATAATAATAATAATAATAATAATAATAATAATAATACGGAGTAATCATAATAATAATAGTAATAATAGAATAGTCGCCGTAGTAATCCGTAGCCTGGGAATATTTGCTCCCGGTCATATATGTAAAAAACGGTCACCGTATTTCATGATACGGTGGTATGGTGGTACAGTAAGAAACTAAATCAAAGAAATTTTAAGAATAGAATACAGATTACACATTCAAGAGTTTACATGTTTCCCCTTTGGGCGGCTGCCAGTGGACTCGCTCGCTGTCTTTGCTGCAACCTCAACCTCGTTCACTCGTTCACTCGCTCACTCGTTCACTCGCTCGCTTGGACATCATCATCATCATCTTCTTCTTCTTCGCCTCTCACCACTGTTTTGAAGCCAACTCAACTCCAACTCTCGTCCTGCTTGAGATACTACCCTCTGTGCCACTCGCTCGTTTGTTTGCTCCTCCCCTTTCGTGTTTCTTGCCTTGGCTTCTCTCCGCGTTTGGGAAAGGTCATCGTTCGTTTTTTTTGACGCTGAGGAGGAGAAATCTCTCACTTGACTGTCGACGTTGGTATTTCATTTATCCGTCACGAAACTGAAGGGTGCAAAATTATCGTTCTTGGTTTATTGGCTATTTTGTGTGTTGGTTGCATTTCGTTGCTTCTCGACGGACATTCTTGTCCCCTTTCGTTATTATTCCCAATGTCCGAGTACGGTGCCAATCGTTAAAAAGAGATATCGCGCCCTTTCGACTTGATAGCAGAGAGTAGTCGCCTACAGTCATTATCGCTTGATTGAACCCTTTACCATCAGCCTAAGTGGCCTTCGTGCCCCAATAGCAGCTGACCTTGACCATGGCCCTCCACTCATTGACGGGGACGGGATCCATTCCCGCTCATGCACAGTCCTCCTTACCTTCGCTTCCTTCGCATCTTCAATCGGACACACATCTCACGGCTCATCTGGCCAGCAGGTAGGGATTTCTTCACCCGTCAGATTTCATAACATCTTCTAACAATCTTATCTCTCTTTCTCGTTTTTAGATTTCATGTGTCTCTACCAACAGCCCGGTTATCCTCTCAAGGATTGATATGCCTGAACACCTACACATCTTCCACCCAGGGCCCCGATGGACAAAGGGAAGGAAGCGCAATGGGGGAAGCAGACGACCTGGCTAGGCGTGCTTGGGCTCGTTTGGGAGGAAGAGGAGAAAACCAGGCCATCATTTTCCTGTAAGCCTCGCAATTTCGAGAATGACCCCTCCTGTGAAGTTTGAATTGGAAATGCTAATTTCTTTACCACCTGAAGGGGTGAAACTGGCTCCGGGAAGACAACCGTTCGCTCCCATCTTCTTTCTTCTTTCCTTGCACTATCATCCACCCCTCTTTCAGCTAAGCTCTCCCTTGCGGCCTTCGTTTTCGACACTTTGACAACCACCAAATCGGTTACTACCCCGACTGCGTCAAAAGCAGGTTTGTTTTTCGAGCTTCAGTATGATGGCTCGTCAACTGTCAATCCAACTTTGATTGGCGGCAAACTTTTAGATCACCGGCTGGAAAGAAGCCGTATTGCATCCGTTCCTACAGGTGAACGAAGTTTCCATGTACTATATTACCTCCTTGCGGGAACCAGCCCGGCTGAGAAGACCCATCTGGGTTTGGACAGTGCAATCGACATCCGCACTGGTGGAGGCTCTGGCAACCGTTCGTCCGGTACAGTCTCACATAAGAGGTGGCGGTATCTTGGCCATCCGACACAACTGAAAGTTGGGATTAATGATACGGAGGGCTTCCAGCAATTCAAAAACGCTCTACGCAAATTGGAGTTCCCCCGGAGTGAAATCGCCGAGATCTGCCAGATTCTTGCGTGTATCTTGCATATCGGACAGCTGGAATTTACTACTGGTCAATCAACTACAACAGGCCCGGAGGAGAGCGGCGGATATTCGCATGAAGGTGGTGAAACTGTTACGATTGTCAAAAACAAGGATGTTTTGGCAATTATTGCTGCATTCCTCGGATTGAGCGTGGATGATCTCGAGGCTAGCCTTGGGTACAAAACGAAAACTATTCATCGGGAACGTGTGACTGTCATGCTCGACCCTAAAGGAGCGCGGAATAATGCTGATGAGCTCGCCCGGACCCTTTACTCTCTGCTGGTTGCATATGTAATCGAAAACATCAACCAGCGTGTATGTGCTGCTGAGGACGCGGTAGCCAACACGATTTCTATTATTGACTTCCCCGGCTTTTCCCAAGCGTCCTCAACAGGCTCAGCATTGGACCAGCTCCTGAACAATGCTGCTACCGAGTCGCTTTATAATTACTGTTTGCGAAGCTTTTTTGAATACAGGGCAGACATGCTCGAAATCGACGAAGTTAGCGTCCCTCCAACTAGCTACTTCGATAACTCGGATGCTGTCAAAGGCCTGCTCAAGCAAGGTAATGGGCTTTTAGCTATCCTAGACGACCAGACGAGGCGCGGACGATCTGATATGCAGTTACTCGAAAGCTTGAGAAAACGATTTGCGGACAAAAATCCGGCTATATCTGTCGGGAGCGCCACAGCTACGCTTCCCGGCAGCAACTTCGCTTCAAAAAATCAGGCCGCTAATTTTACAGTTAGACATTTCGCAGGGGAAGTCGATTATCCTGTCCAGGGGTTGGTTGAGGAAAACGGCGACTTGGTTTCTGGCGACTTAATGAACCTTATCACTTCCTCCAGGAGCGCTTTTGTGCGAGATCTCTTCGGCCAAGAAGCACTCCAAACAATCCGCCACCCTAAGGAAAAGTCGGCTATTGTGCAAGCCCAGGTTAGCTCGAAGCCTCTTAGAATGCCCAGTATGGCAAGACGCAAAATGGATAGACCTGTCCGACCTACTGCTCGTGCAGCTCAGGCGGATAATGATGATGTCGATATTGCGGGCAGCACGAGTTCCGCGTCTGGATCCAAAAAGCGTAAGCAGGGAGCTCTTGCAAGTGGTCCTAGCCAGGGTGCTGCTGCTCAATTCCTTGTATCATTGGACAACATAAATAAGTCCCTGGCTGCAGGCAGTGTGAATCCCTACTTCGTGTTCTGCCTGAAACCCAACGATCGTCGAATCGCGAATCAATTCGATAGTAAATGCGTGCGAGCACAAGTACAAACCTTTGGGATTGCCGAGATCAGTCAGCGGCTTCGAAATGCAGATTTTACCGTGTTTCTTCCCTTCAGTGAATTCCTTGGCCTGTCAGATGGAGAATCGATCATAGTTGGCAGCGAGCAAGAAAAGTGCCAATTGGTGGTTGACGAAAGAAGATGGCCAAAAAACGAAGCACGAGTTGGAAGTACTGGAGTCTTTCTAAGCGAAAGATGCTGGGCGGAGGTTGCGAGGGTTGGTGAACGAGTTGTCCCCAGCTATAGCGCAGGTGGCACCGATGACGGCAGAGATGGGCTACTAGGGGTTGGCACCAAAGGCCCATACGGAGACTCGAAGGTTCGGCTTCTAAATTCGCCCGACATATCTCCGTCGCCTGGCGCATATATATACGGAGATGATACCAAGCAGGGATTCTTTGGGGGTCAGGAGATAGACGGCCGTTCTGACGCGGGTGCATCGGCCTTCAATTCTGGTGACATGTTCAAAAATTTGGAGACGCGCGAGCAGATGGCCGAGAAAGGCAATGAGAAGAAAATGGAAGAAGTTGATGACGTTGTGATTTCTGGTAGCCGTAAACGGTGGTTGGCTCTCGTTTATATGCTCACCTTCTACATTCCTGATTTTGCTATCAAGTTCTTCGGACGAATGAAGCGCAAGGACGTGCGAATTGCCTGGCGAGAGAAGTTCGCGATTAACCTCCTCATTTGGCTTAGTTGTGCTTTGGCTGTCTTCTTCATCATCGGCTTCCCCCAGTTAATTTGCCCGAAACAAAATGTCTTTTCGCCCGATGAACTCTCCTCCCACGACGGAAAAAATACCGATGCTTATATAGCCATTCGGGGAGAGGTATTCGATCTGGGCGCTTACATACCTTCACACTATCCGAAAATCGTTCCTCGAAGTGCGTTGGAAAAGTATGCCGGCCTCGATGCTACGAAACTGTTCCCCGTGCAAGTTAGCGCTCTTTGTGATGGCGTTGATGGCAGCGTCGACCCATCTGTCCCCTTGGACTTCAGGTCTGTCAATAGAACGGGCTCTGTCAGAGTTTCGCGAGACGATGATCCAAACGCTAAATACCACGACTTCAGAGCCTTCACCGAAGATTCTAGGCCGGATTGGTATTGGAATCAAATGAGGATGTTGAGAGCAAACTACAGGAAGGGATACGTTGGTTTCTCTCCGCAGTATCTGAAGACACTTGTGGATCAGGATCAGTCAATCGCCGTCCTAGATGGCTATGTGTATGACTTGTCAAACTATGTCATAGGCGGCCGTAGCCCACGCGCACCTCCTGGTCAAGATCCCCCGAAAGATGTCAATGTCAATTTTATGGATCCCCTCGTTGTGGATTTATTTCAACAAAGACCTGGGCAGGATATCTCGGAATTATTTAGGCGTCTTCCTCTTGGAAATCGAGAACGCGCCATGAGAACCTGCTTAACCAATTTGTTTCAAGTTGGGAAGTTGGATACTAGAAATTCTGTCCAGTGTCAATTTGCGCAGTACTTCATTCTCGCGATATCACTGCTCTTAGTCACCATCATCGCCTTCAAATTCTTCGCCGCGTTGCAATTTGGAAAGAAAACTCTACCGGAAAATCTCGATAAATTCATTATCTGTCAAGTGCCAGCGTATACTGAAGATGAAGAGTCTCTGCGTCGAGCCATCGACTCAATGGCTCGGATGAAATATGATGACAAACGCAAACTACTTGTTGTCATTTGCGATGGCATGATTATCGGTCAAGGAAATGATCGGCCGACGCCCCGGATCGTCCTAGACATTCTGGGCGTTCCGGAGACTGTGGACCCTGAACCGCTAAGCTTCGAAAGTTTGGGAGAAGGAATGAAACAGCACAACATGGGCAAAGTTTACTCCGGGTTATATGAGGTTCAAGGCCATATCGTACCGTTCTTGGTTGTCGTTAAAGTTGGCAAGCCTTCGGAAGTATCTCGCCCCGGAAATCGTGGCAAGAGAGATTCGCAATTGCTCCTAATGCGTTTCTTAAACCGTGTCCATTACAACCATCCCATGAGCCCCCTCGAGCTTGAAATACATCACCAAATTCGCAACATCATTGGTGTCAACCCCACGTTCTACGAGTTCATATTCCAAGTTGACGCAGATACCATGGTCGCTCCAGACGCGGCCACTCGAATGGTTGCTTCATTCATGCAGGATACGCGCATCATCGGGCTTTGTGGAGAAACAGGACTCAACAATGCCAAATCCTCCATAATAACCATGATCCAGGTTTATGAATACTATATCTCTCATAATTTGACAAAAGCCTTCGAGAGTCTATTCGGGTCAGTGACGTGTTTGCCTGGCTGCTTTACAATGTATCGTATTCGAGCTGCCGACACAGGAAAACCTCTTTTCGTTAGTCGAGAAGTGGTAGATGCCTACTCTGAGATCCGCGTTGACACCCTTCACATGAAGAATCTCCTCCATTTGGGTGAGGATCGTTATCTTACCACGCTTCTTCTGAAGCACCACCCGAAATACAAGACCAAGTTCCTCTTCAATGCTCATGCCTGGACTATCGCACCCGATAGCTGGGCTGTGTTCATGTCCCAGCGCCGGAGATGGATTAACTCAACTGTTCACAATCTTATTGAACTCATTCCTCTACAACAACTTTGTGGATTCTGCTGTTTCAGCATGAGGTTCGTCGTTTTTGTCGATCTTTTGAGTACGATTATCCAGCCCGTGACAGTTGCATATGTCATTTATCTCATCGTCCTTATTGCCATCAACCCAACACTCATCCCGATTACGGCATTTATCTTGCTTGGTGCTATCTACGGTCTACAGGCTATTATATTCATCCTCCGGCGCAAATGGGAAATGGTTGGCTGGATGATCATTTATATCCTCGCCATGCCTGTTTTCTCCCTTGGTCTTCCGCTTTATTCTTTCTGGCATATGGATGACTTCACCTGGGGTAACACCCGTATCGTCACGGGAGAGAAAGGCCGTAAAGTTGTGATTTCAGACGAGGGCAAGTTTGACCCTTCATCCATACCTAAGAAAAAGTGGGAAGAGTACCAATCCGAGCTTTGGGAAGCGCAAACCCATCAAGACGATCGTTCAGAGGTTTCTGGATTCTCATATGGCACTCGATCCTACCACCCACCTGCGTCTGAATATGGGTTTGCCCCCTCCCGACCTCTTTCTCAAATGGAACTTAATCGCCTCGCCGGGTCTCGCATGTCCGTCGCTCCTTCGGAGATGTTGGGCCGCGGCCCTGAGATGGAGATGGTGGACCTCGCGGGACTTCCGAGTGACGATTCGCTGCTTGCGGAAATCCGCGATATCCTTCGTACCGCGGATTTGATGACTGTTACGAAGAAGAGTGTCAAGTTGGAACTTGAACACAGGTTCAATGTCAATCTCGACGCCAAACGGCAGTATATCAACTCTGGTATGTTCTTCCTTATTCCATTTTGTGATCCTATTTTTCATTTTACTAACATCTGTGACTTCAACAGCCACCGAAGCCGTCCTTTCTGGGAACCTTTAAAACAAAAAATATAAACCATCTCTAATCTATCATTTACCCGGAGTTTTCTAATGTATTCTTCTTCTATATATTGTGCAATCTTTATTTACATTTGCCTCGTCCTTTCTATTTTCTGTTCAGTGCACGTGAGGGCATTTCGTGGTTGATAAATTATTTTTGGTTTCTCTTCTAAGCGTTTGGACTTTCATTTTGCTTCTTTTCTTCTAATTAATAAAACAAAGCACTAAGGAAAGTTTGGCTTTATCAAGCTTATCATTTTTAATCTTTATGGAAATTTCTCTCTCTCCCTTGGTTTTTGTAGGACTTTTTATTTTCCTTTTGAATCAGTGCATATATGTGTGGCCTATCTATCTTGACTCATTCCCTCTTAATTCTTTGCCTGCTGTTTTTCAGTCCTATTGAAATGATTTGAACATGGCAACTTCTTGTTCTTCTATATCTTTGTTTTAATAAGTTATTTATAAATAGCTTGATCTCTCATGTTGCTTCTTTTGTTCTAAATTGTTGATTTTCTGTTTCTTCAATTCTTTCTTTGGTTTTTATAGCTGTGTCATAGTACTTACTGTAGGTTTATGTATGCTGTATTTTTGCAGAAACATTCTTATTCAAAAAGGCTGTCCCCATGCTGGTTTAACTAGTTCTTTTGCTGCATATCGCTGCAGTTAGAATCACGTGCAATTCAAGCGATTACTACTCGACTCCCGAGAGCGCCAGAGACATATAGTATATATATATATATTAGAAATTAGATCTTGCTTTTCATCAGTGAAGAGCACGGCCATTGGGTGGAGTCTATCACCGAGCCGCTAGCAGCGGACGCAGTGATTTATTTAACAACCAATTGCCATTCGCAAGGTATCCAGGCTCTACGCGCTGGCTTTGGCCAGCTACAATGCCACGAACTCGATGCCATTTCTACACGTTTGTTTTTTGTGAAGTGTTCTCGCGGCAGCAATTCCATGCAAGGCAGAAAGGCAGAGAAGGCGGGGTAAAAGGTGTGGAAAGATGTGGAGAGTTGCTATTTGATCTAACCTACTCTACGATTCGAAACCAGCCGATGCGGGAGGATCAGGCTGCGACTGCTACGCCGTTGATTATACTAGCCTAGTTGTGAGGCCTGGTTGTGAGCAGTTCCCTACCAGGAAGTTGAACCCTAGGCTTAGGGCGTTCGTTCATATATGGACGGATGTCCAAATAACTCGTTCATCACGCTGCTTTCTCTCTCGCCCACCCGTCTTGTTACTTTATTTTCTCATGGTATTCCGACGCTTGTCATGAAATTATCGAGGATTATATGCCTACTGTCCCACGCTGCAGCTATCAATTGAATGCGCCCACGAAAAGCAATGCGCAAGTCTCTGCTCCACCGCGTCTACGGTGCGATCCTCCTCCTCAATACCCTCGGTCCGGTAAGGGGCGACCGTCAAAAGGCAGAGATAGTCTCCGATGAACCAGGGCTTCATGATACAAAACTTCGTCAACATTTCCGCAATGCCCTTGCATACGTTTGTGCCTTTGACACAGGTTCAGATCAAGTCACCGCCATCGCCCTCGATGCTCAGCCGAGCATCACTAATGTACTTATTGCGGCAAATAGAGGCGTTCCCAACGAGGTAGTCGAGTTCCTGAGAGATATTTTGTCTATCCTACGTTGCGTTGCGCTGGATTCTCCTATTCAGGACACCTCCCATGTCCAGGATGTTATCCTTCGAAAAGTTGTCACCCTTGGCCAGCCTCGAATCCGCTATTATCATAAACTGGCCGTCGAAATGTATGAATCATGCCTTGAAATCATGCAAGGACGACAGCGTGGGTATACTAAGTCTTACAGACATAACCTCACGGAACGTGCCTGAATCTGACAGATATGTGATAGCTACATCCTTGGCTGGCCCAAGGCCCACCACCGAGCTGTATCGGGTGCAGGCGTTTTTAGATCGGTACTTCAGCCCTAACAGGCCCTTAAAGGATGAGGATGACTGTCTTGATTTAGTGAAGCAATGCCACGGCGTTCGAGGTTCTGGCATGATTGAATTTTTGAACTCTTTTGCCGCTAACGGCCAACTCCGTCACTCAAAGTTTCAACGTCTTCAGGAGCTGCTGAAAAAGCTTGGAAAGCATGTAACCTGTTCTAGAAGACTCGTCAACGCTGCAAACAACCTACCTAGAGAATTTACACTCGGTTTCGAAGTCAAACACATCGGCCCATCCCCGCTGGTTCCTATCTGTCTCCCGCCAAAAAAGTCATCTGTAGAGGGCATCATTGACCGTATGATATGGGACAAACAAGAGCAAGAAACGATTAAAGAACAACTCAAACAACGCCGTCTCCGGGGTCTAGATGAAATCGCGCAGGAGATAAACGCGCTCAGATCAGTCAAAACACAGACCCATGCCGAACTTCTCCTGATAGATTACATTGAGCAACACGAGGAAATTCGCGTGACTAACGACAAGTACATTGGGTGCAGCAAGCCGGCGTGTTACCTCTGTCATTTATACATCCGCCACCATCCGGGGAATTATTCACTGCCGGACACGTCTAATAAGCTCTACGTCAAATGGAGAATACCGGATATCGATCCTGGCGACAAGGATGTTAAGACTGAATTGACTGAGCAGGCGGAGGAGATACTAGATCTGATCATTCAGGATATTAGGAGGGATTTCAGGAATGATTTGAAAAGGTCTAGGCCTAGAAATATGCATGCCGACTCGTCAGCGGATATGACGACCACCGTTGGCGGTCCTGATGTCGGTGCTGGCGTTTCCGCCGGGTTGCAGCCGGGAATTTCCAGATATTTAGAATCGTTGACGTTGAATGATTCTCCATCGACTCAAGGTTAGTATATATATGTACACTGCTTCTTGACACCATATTAGATGCCTTGAATTGACCGCGCGCAAATTCGAACTAGAGTCCACCCCTACGCCCAGCACCCCCAACTACAATTACAGCCAGAATCCATTTACGCAGCATCACCAACCATACCTCCCTCTATATGGATATCCACCGGCCCGATTTGAATATCCCAATCCATATCTCCCCCAACCCTTTTACCCACCTCCTCTCCTCATGACCTTCGCCAGACCAATTCCCGAAATCCCCCCTAGTTCTGCCGCTTTATCTCATGCCCCAATTCCCACTCCGTCATTTCCCTATAACAGGGGAAGAGACAACGGCTTCAACAATAATAGAACCAGCGGCAGTATCGGTGAGAGGACCATATCGCTGCCTACCAGCAACATCACCAGATTCAGTAACGACCAAGAACAACAAGTCCCGAGCTCTCAAGGGACAGGAGAAAGACCGAAGTGGCGGGGCCCGCCAAGTCGACGCTGGGTTTCCGCACGTCATTGAATGGTTTCGTTGTTTGAAAGGGGGCAGAGAGCGGAAGGTAGGTAGGTATGATTATTTAATTATCTTATTCGGTTTATTGTTTTATTTATTTACGACTTTCTTTCCTTTCTCTTTTTCTCTTTTTCCTTTTTCCTCTTTCGTCTTTCCTCTTTTTTATTTATTTGATTTCTCTGCAATTTTTCAATTTTCATAATATGCCCGTCCTCATGTGTTTCTCTCTTCCTTTCTTCATTCCCTTTTAACTCGACATGGTATGATCTGGTATAGCCTCCGAAGCGTGGTTGATGATTGATTACATGCGTCTCCAAGGAGAGCTGGATCCCGCTGATTTTGTTTTATCTTATTTCTCGCAATTCTCTTATGTTATTTTTTGAACTCGTCTTTATTGCATCGTGATCTCATTTTTGCCTTAACTACCCTATCAAAGGGTTGCCTACTCTACTTTCAAATGCACTTCATTCGTATGATCAATATCAAATTAATTATTCCTACACTGCTCCGCGACTGCAAGCTCTTTACAAGAAAACCCAGTGCCAATAAACACGTATGGAATAGAACTTATAGTCAGTATAATATACACACGTACATATATTAGCGAGTAATTATCTTACAATGAACTAGAGAATCTTGCAATGAAATAGCAGTAGCAAAGAAGTTAACCTGGCGTGTTACGGATGACGGAGCTAACGAATGGGTAGAGAGAGAGAGAGAGAGAGAGAGAGAGATCTGAGTTTTGTTGGGGTTGAAGAGGGCGTTTATACAACCCTATTCATGGCAATCCTAGATATTTTTTTCTTTCGTTCGCCGCTGGAGAAGACGCAGAGATAGGACGGTATGTATGAGTGGTAAAAAGAAGATCGTTAGAAGAGTCTGGAGGTTGCTATGTTATTGATTTTTTTTAATTTCTTTTCCCTAGTTGGGACAGGCAAGGATGCAGGATCCAAGAAGACAAGAAAAAGAAAAAAAAAGAAAAAAGAAAAACAGAAAAACAGAAAAAAAACGCTCAAAACTAAAAACTGCTTTATACCCTGTTGGGCGGAATAATTAAATAGAAGTCTTCCTTGAAAAAAAGGATTTTTGTTTTGTTTATATAGGTTATCTTATGATGAGAAAAGGCGAGACAAAAATAACATTTCGAGGGGAAAAACGGAAAAAAAAAAAAAAAAAGAGAGAGAGATAGGAGAGGCATTTTCAATCAATTCAATTCAATCAGTCAATCCATCCATCCATCCATCAGATCAGCCAAACCCAACCAACCAACCCCAAGCGAAGCCAATTCGAGAGCAAAAGAGCAATGAAAATGGGAGAAAATGGATAACGATAATAATCAACAAAACTCGAATGAAGTAACACAAATAAAAAGCAGGGGAAAAAGGAAAACCGAGAAAAGAGGAAAAGAAAGAGGTATCAACCCAGTTATCTCGCGAAAACAACGCCGAATCACTTTTTTGTTGTCAGGGTGGAGAAAAATAATAAATATCAAAAACCCAGGACCAAAAAGAACAAAACGAAAAAGACATAACAAGCTAACTAAAAAAGAGTGCTCTTCCATCCCATCCAGGGGTATATGGTTAAATAGGTATATAGTTTGTAGGAAAAAAAAGACAAAGCAACAAAAAGGTTCAAAACTCATAGTGTAGGATGCGTTTCTTTTCGATGATATGAAAAAGGGAGAGAAACAGAAATATATAGCAAAACAAGTGAAAGATAAGGCAGAGCACAAAGGCAAAGTAAACAAAAGATGGTATTTTTTTACTCCTTTGGTATCATAATGCGATTGCAGTAGACTGGTATTTGTGGAATGGGGTATATTGCGAATGACTTCTGAGGGACTGTATGCGGGGGCAGGTATCATGCATATATATGGGGTTTAAAATGTTCATGAAGCAGGGAATTTTGACTGGAGTGGCGTGTGGTTATTTTTGATTTATCCTTAACTGTGGTTTTAGTTCAACGGGGTGGCCCGATAGGAGCTGGATATCCAGAAGTAGAATTCGAGGTACTCGGACGGCCACTGTCGAAAGATGCGCGGAGGTCATGTTTGGGGGTCATGTCACCCAGCGCCGTGCCGAAGGGGAATTTGTTATCAAACCGAGAGGCCCAGCCGTTGGTGTGCAGGACGTCGTCCTCAGGGAGGTTCACGCCAGAGTCGTTCCAAGGATTTCGATAACCACTATCACGAGACTCCATGGAGACGAGGGACGCTTTGGAAGCGTTGCTGGAGGCGTGTTTGAAGAAAGAACCGGGTGATCCTGACTGGTTCTTGCGTCCGATGAAGGACGAGAACGATGAGATGCTGCCTGGTTTACGGAGGCGTTCAAAGATGGAACCGCGGTCGCTTGCGACGTCTGAGAAATTGTGGCGGGTCGGGGAGTCGGTCACTAGAGGAGCTGGGGCGTGTTGTAGCAATTTAGAATCGAAAAATGGCAAGGACTCTTCAAAAGAGTCTGATTTTGGACGCTGGATGGCTCCCTTGACGGTGGTGGCATCAAGCCCATGGGACACGAGTCGAGAAATGAGGAAGTCAATGGCATCCTTGAGTCCGCCAGCATTGTTCCGAGTATATCCGAGAATAATGCGGTCCTCTGGAGGAGGCTCGTTCTCAGAGGAACACTGTGGTTCCGCACTCATATCTACAACTGCATCGACTTCATATTGCTCCTTGAGTTTTTCTCGGACATCGTTGCAGAACTCGGGAGACTTGAAAAATTCCCGGAGCTCTGTAGAACTTTGGAAGGAGAGCTCGTGGCTTTCGGGAACCATACCCTATTCAAGAATTAGCATATCGTAAACTTGTGGGATGAAGATGGCGCGGAATCGTTTCAATCTTACCAAGAAAGCATCTACAGCCTGAGGAACTTGATATTCGGGCCCAGAAATGGTCACAAAATCGCTGGCCAACTCAGTGCTTGGGAAGTCAATCTTGCAGTTCCATTTCTTCTCAAGTTCTTCAATCTCAGACATGCGGACTAGTAGTTCGCGGTGATATAGGCGGTTGATAACGACGGTCTCGGAGACAAATTCCGCATCCTAAAGCTTTTTGTTAGGGGTCTTGCAAACTCACAGCAGGGCATTCCAGCTTCTTTTAAAACTTACCACTTTCTCGACCATGTCCATAATCTCCTGCTTGACCAAGTCCAGGTTCTGGGCATTCCTAGCAGGGGTCCGACAGATTACATTGTCGACTTTCACGTCATCGTCTTCCTTGCCGACGCCTCCACGGTCCATTGCGTTTGAAAATTTGACGAAGACAGAATATTTTTTCATAATGCGTTGGATATGTTGCCCCCCAATGCCAATGATTCGCTTGTGGTACTGGTCAGGAACATGGAACGATATTGATGCAGGCATTTCCTGCTCAACGAGGTCAAGCCCATTCCTAGTAGCATCATATTGAGTTCCGCAGACGTCAATGTAGAAATTGTACTCGTTGAAACCGTCGAAGATAATTTGAACGTTGCCTACACAAGCATAATCAGCATTCTGCAACGAGAGATGGTGCACCTAAAAGGAAGGATGGTCGCTTACTTTGGCCCATGATCTTATTGATCTTGCCATTCTTCTTGCCACTGACGAACTCTTTATGCTCGTTCGCAAGCTCGATCTTAACACGCATCTGGTAAGGTGTTCGCTTGACGAAAGGAATTTGTTGGATCACCATCATAGCGGCTTTGACAGAGTCATCCGAGCCGTTAATGGTGAAGGTTAGCTTATCGAAACTGACCTCAGCGCCAGAATTCGTGCAAATATCAGAAAGCATTGTCCTGACATCAGCCGGGGACGGGCCGCGCATTGAGCTAGATTGCGTAGGGTCGGGGAGAATGAGCCACCAAGATGCACTGTAGAATTGTCCAGCCTAGGTGGTAGGGCAAGTCAGTATACATATGTTACCCACTTTTAATATGTAAACATGGAAGAAAACAAAAACTCACCAATGCCATGATTTCCCTGACAGTTCGCTCGATGTGCAAGACTTCGGACCCTTGAACGCGAACAATACCATGCTGGCTGCCTAGCGATGGGAAGAGAACGTATGTGCCATTTGCTTCCATCACTTTCCGAACTTTATCCAAGCGATCTAGGAGAATATTGTCGATTTTGTTTGATGATAACTTAACGTTCTTCATGAAAATCTTGACTCCGCTGACTAGGTCGTGCAACTTTTGCTTCGCGAGGCTAATTTGCTCTTGAGTTTCACCGGTGATGTAAACTTCATCTTCGCTCCTTCGGCTACCTCCAGGCGGGGTGTAGCCAAAAACTCGTGGAAACGGTGGTGGGAAGTAGATGGCAGTGTTTGTTGACGCTTCGATAAATTTGATATTCTTGCGGGTACGGCCACAAACCAGCGTATGCATTGATAGCTCAAGCTTCATTGCATCGACACGACGTTTCAACTACCACAGAATGTTAGCTTCGAAGGTTCGGTAGTGCAAGAAACTTTAAGGACTCAGGAACCTACAATTTGATCGATCATGATCAAGACTCTAGTTTTGGCGTGTTCCGCACTTTCTACATCGCTGTATATGGCAACACGGAACCGGTGATCTAACCCGTTTTCTGTCGAATGACCATATGATGACACGATGGCGCTGTCCGCATCGAGGACTTTGGGGCTTAGTAAGAAGATATCTGCTCCGGTATACCGCGCCAACGTGTCGAGGTGTTCGAGTACACTTGACCGGACACCATTCGTATTTTTATCCATAACTAGATTGACATCGATGTCAAGCGTAGCGCATTTCTTCACTCACAGTTAGTGAAAAATACAAAAATCTTATATAGGGACGGTACCAGGGCCGTGGTAGCGAAAGGGCTATATATATAGACATATATACTCAACGGGCACGTACCAGAGCTATTGGGGTTTCCTTCAAAATATTCTGTCGTACTTGTTGAACGGTTTCGCCATCGCCGGAAATGCACACATTCGTTACGAGTCCCTGAGGGCGACGTTGTAACGAGGCGACGGCCTTGGGTTCTGATGAGGTCACGGTAGCTTCGATTCTGCCATGGCTGGACTCGCTAACATTTCGACATAGCTTTCTCAGGGCATCTAGGTTGCTTGCGTGGACTGGGAGCTTGTGGATCGGGGTACCTTCCGGGGTTCCCTCAGGGAATGTCCACCTTTGGAAAGCGCCTGGACTTGAGTGTAGGATGTCTTCGGGATCAGGGCCGGGAAGGTTCGAGGAGAAGGGGACATTGAAGGAGAGAGTTACGGTGGTATCGACTCCAGGGGGGACTGTGACTGGAGGAGGGCCGTGGGGTCGTCGAAGGGCTTGATTCGACATGTCCTGATGGGGACGGGACATGCCAAAGGTCGGGGTCATCCTTTCCCATCCATGACGGGCCTGGCCCGTGAAATTGGTGATTTTGTGCATGATGATCAAACGGTAAAATCTGTCCCCTCAAAAAGAGCCGAATTGGGAGAGAGGGAACAGATGGCGGACGGAGAGATGGGTATTCGTGGTTGAGGATTGGCCAGGATATTTATCTAGGTAGCCCTGAAAGAGATGGTAGGAGATGGTAGGAGGAGGAGGAGGAGAGATAGAGGGAGGTGGAAAGGTATTGGAAGAGAAAGAGGGAGGGAGAGGGAGGGAGGGAGAGAGAGAGTTAGTTGTGAGAGCCAGCAAGCACTATCACAAGTATCACTGCAAGACTCCAAGGTTGGCGGTGGTGGAGACGGGAAGCAGCGGTCTCGAAGCTGGAGTCGGATGTCTGGGATGGGCTGGGTTTTAACTTGGGCCTGGTCGTGACTCTGGCGAGGACAGTGTCCAGGGCTCCAAGGGACGAGAGATGCTAAGAGGCTGAGCGCCGAGTGCTAGGATTTGTTGTTTGTGCACAGCAGATCCCGGCCTGAGGGCCTGACAAGAGCGGATTAGGCGGCTAGCTAGGCTAGGAGGGCTGGGCAGAGAGAATCGAGGTCCCGGCCTTCTCGAATCAGCTCGCACGATCGAGTGGATCGAGGGCAAAGCAGGATTGGTGTTTAGTATCAAGCACTGCCGTTGGACGGGTGAGGAGCAACAACTCTCATCGTTCTCCCAGTCAAGGGTGTGTCTTAAGGCTTTGCTGCAAGGATATGTGGACAGCAGCGAGCGGATGGGAGGACAAGATCCAAGACAGCCAGCAGCAATAATGACTAGCAGGAATAGCAACAGAGCAGCAGCAACAGCAGCAGCAGCAACCAACAAACCAAGAAATGCAGAAACAAGAGCCGCACAGGGCGACGAGGAGCTAACACAGGAGCAGGAGAAGGAGGAAATAAGGCGACAAGAAGCAAGTCTTGAGTTAGTTCCAGCAGTAAAAAGCACAGCGAGATAGAACCTTTGCCGGCAGAACAAGATGAGATGAGGTTGGGGATGCCCGGAAGGTCACGTGAGAGCTGACTCAGCCACGGCGGCGAGTTCTCGGATACAGTGGAGATGAAGATGTCATAGACAAATGTCAATTCAATGTCAATTGAGTGCCAATTATTCAATGTCAACCGGAAGGAGATTCCGTGTCGTCGCTTTGTTCGTATATCAGATCTGCTGCTTGCTGAACAATGTGAGTTGAGGCCTCTGCACACTGGACTAATTCTGCTGAAAAGGGTTCCTCCACAGCTATTAACTCGTCTCCACACTTCGCCATGAAGATCAGATTATACACTCTTGGATAGAGGGAATTATTACGGTTCTAGACTCGAAAAAGTGGATGGGAAGAAAAGAAAACTTGTTTGGTTGCAAGTACCATTTCCACTGAAACTGTGTCATCGTCATACTCATTCATCATTATCATCATGATAGTTACTATGATGATATTACTAACTATTCTCCTCTAGTTATCATCATCTCCAAGTACCTCAGAAAAGAACCTATCTATCGTCGACGAGCTTAACAAATCCATGGCTGTGCCTTAAATCTCAATCCCTGTCCAAGGTGAGCTCTCCTGGTGAGATTTTGCCCCAACACCAGACCAGCTCTCTCCATCTCCATCTCTTATTAGCCAGTTGGCCCTTGCTTGAACCCATGGATCCTGGATTCCCCCCCATATCTCCTATTATCCTCTCGGAGCCACACGGCGAAGTCGGGTGGGAGAAGCAAAAATTGATCTTAAACTTTATTGCCGGTTGTCCGAAAACCCTCTGGGCAGGCAGTGGAGAAGCTAAATGAACAATGACGAAATTCCGTAAATCCCCAAGAAGAGCTGTAGTTAACTATTCCGTGTCTGGCCTGGGCAATCATACGAAGGTTTGAACTAGCTATACTTTTGCCTTACTTAATAATATGGACCTCATACAATGAATGCACACTAATGAGCCAAAGCAGCCCTCTTGTACTGAATCATGCCTCTGAGTATACAGACCTCTACTAGTATATGAGTAGGTGGGACATATGTATTTATCTCTCATGTGGGAGAAGAGCTCCTTCCCACCTCCCTCCCCTCCCGAAGATATATATATAAGTTCTTGAACCCTTTCTAAAGTCAGCTTCAGTGATCTAAATTTGACCTGTGAAGAAGTTTGAAATGTGAAGAGTCATGCACAATACATGTGTAATATGCACCAATATATATTGCTGAGGAGGCAATCGATTATCCAAAGTAGTCAATCTTCGACACAAATCCCAGTCTGTGATAGAAAGAATCTTGATCAGGATATGAATGCGCGAGTTAATTGTTAATAATGCATGACGATTGCGAGTTCCCTGGTACGCAAATGATTTAATGCAGGTACACACAAGAAAGGCGGGAATGCCATGTAATGGCATTGAAAACTTGTGGGTGATTTACATAGATAGCCTGGTTTGCCGGATGCTCGTGGGAGTTTACATGTATGTTTTTTATACTTGCTTAGGAGATATTTAAAATCACTTTACTCTCAAAAATATGGTGACGAGTTGTTCTCCTACACACTGGGTGAAGGAAAGTTGGACTGGGAAGAGCAGATGGGGGAGGAAACACGTACGTAGTTACTAGCCAAAAAAAAACAACCCAGCGCCGAAATGGGTAACGGGGCACGAGATACCTATGCACGTATAAGAAAGCATGGATGGGAGCAAGAGGCAAATGGCCCATAGAATTTGCTCTTCCTAAACTTCAAAGGCTGTAAAAGAAGCATAAGGACCTGGGTGGCTTTGAACAGAAATTATGGAAATGATAGATAGACCCTTGGGGAAGGGCTTCATTCATGTTGTGTTATTTACTATAATCAATCTATCTCTAGAATGTGGGACGCGTGACAGACAAAATGGGCCAGGTTGGCCACCAAGTACGTATAAGTCAAGAAAAAGAAAAAGAAAAAGAAAATAATAATCAGACTCAATCCACCCAAGGAGCTTGCCGATGAAACCCAGGACGTAGGCATCGACGCCTAACAGGCAATGCTCGAGGAAGTATCGGCCGACTTCCTTTAGTTTGGGATCTTTGGCCCAGGGGCCAATTGGTGTCTGTAAGAGTGAGTATGAAGTTTAACTACCTACAAAAAAAAAAAAAAAAAAAAAAAAAAAAAAGAGAGAGAGAAAAAATAGGGGGGGACAAAACGTATTCGAGAACATTTGGATGGAACAAATGAATGCCTTGTCCCTGACATCCACAGAGCCCGCATCAATCAGATGCTGCTTGTACTTCCGGCCCATATTAAGCTCCTTTCCAAACTGGACCGCTGCCTTATTAGACAGATCCAGAAATTCATTAGATGCCGTCGCCTTGCTGGCCGTGTCATCGTCAGATGTAATCAGCGTCTCCGGCTCCTGCAGCTCTATCCAACCCCCCGGTTTCAAATTGTCAAAGCATGATTTAGCCAACTTCTTCCAGTCGCTGATACTGCCTCCCATCTGCCGTGCATGGATAACGTCGAATGCCTCATCAGGCCCATATGTCCAGTCCTTCTCCACATCGTCAGCATAGAATTTGATGTTAGGTGGCACCTAGCTGGGCTGGATGGGACTTAAATCCAACCCAATAACCTCGGAGGAGGAGGGATAGTGGTCCGCAAAATCTAGTGCCCAGATTCCCGTGCTGGTTCCAATATCTAGAGCCCTTTGGGGGATGAGGCCGATGGGTGCGCGTAGGAGTTTTCCATCGTTTAGGAGAAGAAAGACATGGTGGAGCAGATCTAGGCGATCCTGCTCTGTTTCATCGTTGGGAAGGAGATACTCGCCCCGTCGATAACCGGCGTATCGTCTGCCATTGGCGTATTCATAGTTGACGATGGAGGATGTTATCGAAGCGCTCACGGCAGAATCAGAGTCATCATCGCCATAGGCGAAGCCTGCATCGTCTGCGTCGTCGACCTCTACAACGGAATCTGCTCCGACACCGTTGACTGGCGCGGGTGTTGAAGTTTCCACTACCGCTGGTTCTGTAGCACTCATGATTGGACGCGACGAGGGGTTATTAATTAAGCGGTAAATTGATGTGTCTGTGAACGTTGCAATGTCCTGTTTTCGGCAATTATGCGCAGCGATGAGTTGTCCCTCTGCTTCTGGGGGGATTCCATGGGGCCTTTATCCTTCCATGGCCAACGGAGAAAGTAATCTGTAGCAGGGCTGACAGACCCATCTCGGATGTGTTAACCGCATTCCCCGTTGATCTACGGAGTAGCTGATCTGATCTAGCTGCTCGCGAGGCTCCGCATAATTTGAACCCGCTTCAGACTCTCCGCCCGCGCCTCCACGGTATGGTATGTGGTTGGTAGGTTGAAGCCTTGAAGGAGGGACCCGGGCTCGGTCGCGGATCCTCGACGGGAACAACATTTCTTCAGGGCAAGTTCTGCTCTCCACAGCTGGATCGGCGACCGAGAGCCATGAAAGAGTCGAAACTACGGAGTAGCAACAGCCCATATGCTGACTGATTCTGCTACGCTGCTAGCTGCCGGGATGTTTGGGCTTCCCGTTCCCACCGTCCCCGCTTGGCTCATTTTGCTTGTCCACACGGCTTCCTCGCTCTGCCGTCTGGTTGAGATGGAGGGATGGGATTCTCCAGGTGGGGAAGGTGAGGGACTGCCGAATAATAAGCCCGAGCAACCTCTATAAGAGTACTAGAAGTTTATGGGGGAAAAAGGGTGTCCTCGTCCTCAGTGCTTGAAGGAGGAAAAAAGAAATTTTGCATGGTGATTTAAAGCAAAGGGGCGGAATGTGAATCTGTACCAGTTCAAAAATGCCGAAGAAAATATAATTCAACTCTAGGCATCTTCTTTATAGGTAACTAATGTAAGTGTTAATGATAATATTGTCCACGACCATGTAACTATAGAAGAGTTACAGGGTAAAAAATGTTAAAAGTAACTTTAATACGAAAAATAGAATGTCCGGTAGAGCCATTTCAAAAATATTACCAGGAAACCGTAATGCAATCAAGCTTTCAATAAATCAAATAATAACCGATGTAGAAGGCCCGCCCGCTTGCCAGGTAAAAGATCGTTTAAATCCCACTCTCCCATATATGCGTTACTGACACGAACATATACCCCCCATAACACCACCGGACAAACCCCAACAAGAACTCATCAACGCGCGCACGCTCAAATAAAAATATCAGTATATACGAAAGAACGAAGAAAATCTTCAGTTGGTAACACCGCGGGACCCGCTGTACATCACACCCTGCACTCCCTCCATCTCCGATCTCCCTGCCTCCTAATCATCATAATACTGCTCCTCCCTCATAGGTCGAGCAGCCGCATACCCAACCCGCTCAACGGGTGCATATTCCCGACGAGGACGGGACTCATCATCCACATATACACTTATCTCACGCCCGCTGGGCCTGACACTCTGCATGCGCTGCAGTGGTTGGCGTACGGGTTCCTCGTACCGTGACGGCTGGGGCCGAACGCTGGACATCCTCACCATATCTTCCCGGGGCAAGGGTTCCTCGAAATAGGTTGCATGCCGAGGAGGCGGGGCGTAATCGATGAGTCCTCGCTCGTCGACCTCACGGGGGTAGGCAGGCCGCTCACGAACGACTTCGCGCGGGTATTCTGGCGCTGGCGCCCGTCGATAGGTTACAGATGGGGGCGGCATGTCTTGGGCGTAGCGGCGGTCACGATAGGGTTCCTCCATTACGGAAGCGGCACGGACGCTACCAGTTGCCATGCGGGGAGGGCCCTCGTACAACTCCATCCTTGAGAATCTGGCCGATGGAGTAGACATCGGTTGGAGCCTTGGGGCGGGAGTTGCTATTTGTTCAATATATCGATTTCCGTCAGCGTCAACGACGACACGGCGTTGAGGCGGGGCCATAACACGGGGCTCAGGCTCCATCTCTGGATAAGGTTCACGGAACCTTGATGGCGGGGGAGGAGAGACGTCCCCCGTGATATATCGTCTGCTGTACTGTTGCCCAGGTTCTTCATAATACTTAACCCTTTCTGGCTGGCGGTCGGTTACGGCATAGGAAGTGGCCCGTACGAGTCGTGGTTGGTAGTCAACGGGCGACTCTAAATAATCATGCATATATTCAGGTTGCCTAGCACTTTGTAAGCTTGCAACACGACGTAGATTTTGGTCATCGCGGGCAGGTTTCCTGTAAGTAACTCTGGACGCAGACCGCGGGATACTCAGATCAATAGGGTGTCCAATATCATAGCCTCTATCTGCATGTTCCTCGTATCTTTGTCCACTCTCCCGACGATTCTCCACAGGGGAATATCGTGGAGAGGAAATATCAACATAAGCAGCCCTTTCGGGGTGTCGCCGTTGTCTTGATGAGCTAGCAAGTGGCAAGTCGGAAAATGGGACAGGAGAAATTGGCTCGGGCTTGATGTAAGGTTGATCGGGGGAATCTGCCACCCTTCCTTCATTGGCAACACGAGCACGAGGTCTATCCCTATTCTCCTGGACACGTCGGCGCTTTCGGGAGTGTATCGGCTGTGGAGCAACTTCGGGGCTTGTACGTCCAGATCCTTGGGTCGTGGCTACTTTATCAATCGGGCGCGGGTGCCGCTGTTGTCGACTTTGGGGAAGCGACGGCACCTTTGTTACAGCAAGCGGCGAGACTCTCGAGGGCTGGGGAGCAGCTGGAGATGTTATATGATTCCTGGCGATCCTAATATCATGGCCTGGTGGCGTGATACGTCGTGTATCTTGACCACGGTCCACTGGCCTGCCATAGCTTCTCCTTCTATAGTTTATATCTGGTTCTGGTTCTTGAATATACTCTCCCTCTTCGTCTCTCCGACCACCTGAAGGAATATCTGGACCCGGTGGGGAGTATTCTGGTTCATCATACATATCAGGCTGCTCTCGGGCGGAGTATCGGCTAGGACTGGGGCGACGAGGGGTTAGGTTTTCTGGGCTCCTCGACAATGGTCCACGTTTGGCAGCAACATTATACGGTTCCTGCATCTCCACATCCATCATGTCGCGATCGCTATCAACATGCTGCCGGTCTACATGGCCTTCATAAGGAACTTCATCAGCTTCCACCGGGCGAGCCGGTTCTGGTTGGACGGGGGATGACTGCTGATTCTGGTCGCTAACTTGAGGGGAATCGGGGGCTTTGCTCGAGTAAAACGAATTGTCCTCAAAGGAATCACTGGCTGCGGTGTTTGCATTAGCCCCATCCATATCAGTTGTTGAAATAGGCTTAACAAGTTGCAATGCCTCCCTCAAGACTTCCGAAACATCGAAGTCAGGTTTTGATTCTTGGAGACACGTCTTTCTTCTGTACTCAATCTTCTTCTGCTCCAGCTGGTCACGTAATGTACGCTCAACCCGCTGACGTTGGAGTTGTATTTCGGCTCTAATCAGGTCGTCAGACTTGGTAAGGAATATAGGGTCAATTTCAGACACTGGTTTTTGAGTAGTTAGAGGGCCACTGGGGCCACTATGACTGGAGGGGGCAACCGCCTCCGAAGGAATAGGAGCAATAGCAGCAGCAGCAGCAGCAGCAGTATTAGCAGCAGAGCCATTCGCCAATGCCATTGCGTTGGGCTGTGTGCTGGAAGAAGGGGGATACGGTTTTGCCTGCGGAGCCGCTGGAGGCTCAGGAGGCATTGGATGAAGACCAGGGAGTGGAGGGGTCTGGACAGATCGGGGGGTAACTTTGCGGATGACATGCTGGGGAACTTTTAATCTTGGGTGATGTCCAGAGAATATCTGGTCGTGCAAATTCACGATTTTCTCGTACTCTAGCATCTCCCTCAGGTCTGGCTGATGGCCACGATGGCCATTTATCGGGGCCATAACACTCTCAGCTGCAACCATGACGATAATTCCACACCAGATGTGACTCTATCCCCAAAGGCAAGTCTCAGAAATATTATGGCAACCCTACAACTGCATGCATTCCCGCTGAGTGTGAAGCAGACAACCCTGATGAGAAGAGATGAGAATGGCCTGCTCTGCTGTTGTTAGTCCCACGTCGAGGTAGAGAGTTATTGAAGGAAGATTTATCCTCCTCGCTTACCGCTTACCTTGCTACGGAAGCCGCCACGGACCTGCATTAGGCCGTTTGGGGCTTAGCGTGCCAGAGCCAGCCAGCAACAAAGGTTTCCATCACTGGGCATTATGTAAGCCGGGCTCAGGGATAACGTAATAAGTCATGGAGGAGGGAGGGATATGTCTAGTATTTTATTATAATCTAGCTAGCAAGGTTTTCTATAAATGTGGACACTTTTTGCAGTAGCCGGAGCAACTATCAACAAGTTACATGCAAGTTATGAGAGAGTTTGTTGGAAGCTCCTACGCAAGCCCGATATACCTATCGATCATGTTTCAACCAAGACAGGCTTCGCTTTCTGGCACGAAGCGCAACATATAAATAACCAACCCACCTACAACTCTCTCTTACAGAGTTCCAAGGTTGGACTCTAGGCCTGGTTAGTTGTCCTGAGCGATTAGAAATATATTCATTTCTCAAGGGATACAATGCACAACTGGTTTAACCAGCAACCAGAGTACCGGAATATCGTTTATCCAGGCCATACTTCCGCATACCTCTAGTTATCTGTTTTGGGAACGAAGTTTATGATGATAAGTAGTTACTATGTATCGACTTTACTTTTATCTAAGCATGGAGTTATCCATTAACTACCACCCATCTCACGTGGCACTAACTACTTCTAGCGCTTAACAGAAAGGGCGGGCAGTCCAAGCTGTTTTTGAATGACGACATTCTCCAATGCTCCTTAACGCCCGTGGATATCATTTTTTGAACAAGTATACAAAATAAGTAAAGGGACATCCATTAGGTCTTCTGCAATAGAGGACCTGTTGCCAGTATGGCGCTACAAGAGAAAACCCTCGAGAATAGCATTAAGCCTGAACCAAGCATAACGTCTCACGACTCACGGCCTGTATTCTTTTTCGATATTGATAACTGTGTATGTATGAAACATTAAACTGGTAGTTTGAATGGAACATCACTGGACACATACCTTGGTTTTATTATGAGATTGCGGACATTGACTAACGATATACGCATATTGCCCGTGATAGCTCTACTCTAGAAGTATGTCTGCGCTGCGACCTTCCTGAAAAGGGATACTTCTAATATTCGAATAACCATACTAAAAACCAACCAGGCAATAGAATTCACGACTTGATGCAAGAACTCATTGGTATGCGTTTCATGCCTGCTCGTTACCAAATATTACCATAATAATAACCCTCTCCCCCCCAAAACAAAACAAAAAAACAGACGACTTCTTCGCCAAGCACCTCTCCCTCGACCCTCAAGATGCTGTCATGCTTCACCAGAAGTACTACAGGGAGTACGGCCTCGCGATCGAAGGCCTAACCAGACACCACAAGATAAACCCGCTAGAATTCAACAGCAAAGTCGACGACGCCTTGCCGCTCGACTCAATCCTAAAACCGGATCCGCAGCTGCGCTCCCTCCTGCTGGACTTCGACAGCTCCAAGGTGAAGCTGTGGCTCTTCACAAATGCGTATTGCACCCATGGCAAGAGGGTTGTGAGGCTGCTGGGCGTGGAAGATGTGTTTGAAGGGCTTACCTTTTGCGATTATGCGGCGCCGAAGCTGGTTTGTAAGCCTGAGGCGTCCATGTTTGAGAAGGCGGAGAGGGAGGCGGGGGCGACGGTGGCGGAAGGGTATTTTTTCATTGGTGAGTTTTAATAGATATCAGATTTTGTGCCCTGCAACAAAGTATCCCTTTTCTGAAAAAAAAAAAAAAATTTCCCTCTAACTTCTGCGACAGATGATTCCGCCCTGAACTGCAGAAGTGCCCAGGCACGTGGTTGGGAAACGGTGCATTTTGTGGAGCCACATCTTACTCCACCAGAGGTGCCAGCGTCGAAGTATCAGATTCGTCGTCTCGAGAAGCTTCGGGACCTCTTCCCGCAGTTTTTCAAGTCGAGGAATTCAGCGGCTTAAGGAAGATTTATGCATTCGGGCGTGTTTGGTTTAAATATACGGTCTTGTAGACTTTTATGGTTATGTTATCAAACTTTATAGATATGCATATATTAAAAAAAGCTCAATTTGCGCGATGCATATTGGCACTTTCTAGAGTGACCGAATAGCTATAATTTATGCTCGTGAGTATGGTGTAGTTCGGAATGACAGGAGACTGTTCAGATAAAAAACAGGGTATTGGCTAATAACAAGAAATTATATATACGTTCCCAAGTAAAAACGCAAGCAACGCCCTTGGGCTAAAGGGGCCCAACGAAAGATAAAAGAGCAAAACTCGTGAGATTATACATAATAGAAAAAGTTTATGGATCAAAAAGCTACCTCTTCATCCAGGGAGAAATGAAAGAAAAAGAACAGCCAATTGGGTGATACTCTATAGTTTAGAGCCTCCGGGATTGGGAAACGCTAGGGGCCTCGGGTTCCCAAATGTATCACACGGGTTGAAGCGCCATCTACCCGAGTATCGCCATTCGAGAATATACTTCGACAAGTACTTAATCGGGGCTGGGATCGGGGGGAAAAGCCGAGAGTCCCCGTCCATTTTGAATGTGGAATCGATGCAGCCGAGCATCAGGGGTGCGTCTCTGTTAAATCGGAAAATCAACATCGGGATAAAAGACCGAAAGGGATATTCATATCATAAGAGAGGGGCGGAAAATAAAGGAATCTGCATACTGGAATACGTCAAGATCCTTCTGCGCTTTCTTCCCAGTATCGCTCCACCATTCCTCCAACTTTTTTGAGTCATATTTCGCAAGATCAAGAAGCGTCCGGATCTCTCCGACCAGATGTTTATGAAGCACCGGAAACATAATATCCATGATCTCCTGTAATCTCTTGCCATCGTACGATTTGGCATCCGTCTCGAAAACAAATTTGCGGAACATCTCAAGGCCTTCATCAAAGTCCTTGTGTTCCTGTATATTCTGGTCCATGATATCTTGGACCCCCGTCAACTTTACCAGGCTCGGGAATGAGATCTCCTCTTCCACATCGTGGTGAGTTTTGATGCTTTTATATAAACCGCGGTTATATAGGAGGAAATCGCTCGCGTCGACAGTGTCCAGTTTCACGGCGAGGCACTGGTTATACGAAGCGTTGAAGCCGCGGATGATCACGTTGTGTAGGTTGGCCATGTTTTGCGCAGCGGTAATGGCAAAGTGGCCAGGGGGTATATCAGAGCGTTCCTTGTAGCCAGTTTCTGAAATCAGGCTCATCGGTGTATCTGCCCATGGTTTTGCCATGTTTGGGTCGTCTAGCAAAAATTAATTCAAACAATCAATAACTGAGCTTGAATAAAGCTATAAAAATGAATTAAATATCCAAGTGGTAAGCAAGGGAGGCCAAAAGATGGGATTAAGAATTTTCAATGTCTTGTTATTCGAAGTTGAGACTTTCGAACAGACATATTAACAGGACATATATTTGCACGCGAGAAATGCGTCTCGATATTTATTTCTCAAAGCTATTCAAGCGCATCATGGACTTTTAATCCAGCCAACGCCTGGATCTGTCTCGCGGGTGTTGGGTCGAGAACTGGCCGATTTGATGTCTGGTGCTGGATGATTGGTGCAGATGTCGGAGCTCACGTACAAATTCTGCCGACCTTGCTCGGCGCCGAGAAAGCACGATTTGCCGGGGGAATTGCACACGGCCCATTTTGCTGCTGCCTACAATTTTTCGATGCTGTTGAAGCAGACTCAGAAGGGTTGGTTCGATTCAGGGCTCTGAAGGAAACAGAACGGGAATTCCTGGATGCCTGAAAACGTGGCGGAGTCGAGGTCGAGGTTGGCAGATTGAGACAGAGATGGGACGTTGTCATCCAGACAGCGGCACGATTTGAAATACCGAATGGCTGCATTTGGAGACAGAGAGCTCGATAGTACCGTGTCATTTTGTTCTGGTTCTTCGGTTTAGGACCCCCGTGTGCCCGGAAGACGAAATGTTGAGTCCAGTCGTGAGGGGTAAAGGGGCAGTGATGTTATGATGGATCATTCACGATTCGACACTTTCGTTCTATGGCAATCTCTCTCCACTTCGTCGTCTTTTACTTTGGCTGGATGGTTTTGGGAGAGTTTATGAAGCAGCAAACGCGTGAGATCTTCGCTCCTGTTGGCTTCTTGTACATTGCTGATACGAGAATTTAGCGGGAAAGTTGATTCAGCCACAGGACAACAAAGCCGCCGACATGCCGATGGAATAATATTTGGCTGCCAGGGGCCGTCAACGCCGGGTTGCATCATTAGCGTAAATCCCCAAGAGTTTTGGGGATGCTCATCTGCACAACTTTTACGGGGTACGGAGTAGTTCCTCTCGAGATGTGCATCCAAGAGGCTCAACGGGACAAAATCTATCCATGAAAAGGCATCCATGAATTTCTTTTCGCGATGCCTGCACGCCCCTCTGCCGGCGTCTTCGGATGCTAGTATTCCTTTTGATGGGCCAGGGTTACGGATGACTCTCTAGTTCCTCTGGGGCCCTACTTTGTAACATATATTTCAATAATATCATCCGTCATTCGACACCCTCCATTCCACACCATGCTAATCTGTACAAACGCCCTGGGTTTCCTAGAGAATCCACGGCCGTCGCCGATTTCCTTCCTATTAAGGACCAACTTTCTGGGCGCTCCGGATGGGGTTGCGTTTGACTCCCCTTGAAGCTGTTGCCAGGACATGATAGTTTCACCCTCTGAGGATCTTCAACAGGTTGTTCCACATCCTGTGTTATTTTGCCTTGTTGGGCATGGTGGGTAGCTCGTCTCAGGCGTGTCGATATAGCAATGGACACGCTATGGATAGCACAAGTATCGCTTGGTAGTCTTCCAAAATGAGGGAAATATGCATATGTCTGGTGTTTTTTTGGCCATCGATAGAATAACTGAAAGCTAGCTAAAGGGATTTCCTCTGGTGGCACGAGACAGAAACCCCATACACTAGTATGTAATGAAGCTCGGAGGGTTGCACGGAGTGAAATATTTCGCCGCAGCCTTGCTAGAAACACTTGCTGCTGGATAGGTAGAGCATTTGAAGAAATGCGCACACAATGCCATGCCAAGGGTCAGATTCAGAAGAGAAGAGGGCTGCCCTGTAACCATGTGTGTCTGGTTCCTGCGTTAACTGACACAGATCTAAAGAAAAACCGACATTATTCCCTGATGTCATATTGTTTCCTCCGCCCAGAAAGTTTTGTCGTTGCCCGCCCATAGTTGTCATACATCAGCGTAGCGGCATGTTTAATTTCGGGTTGGGCTTGAGCTAGAAGTATAATACCTCAGCATGGCCTTTTTCTTCTTCCTTTTTTTTGTCACTATCATGTTACTCGACCCGTAGAGTACCTGAAACTAGAAAATCTGGTCGAACCCTGCTCCCGGTAGAAGGGGTTTAAATGATGGAGAACAAGGTAGTTCTTGAGCACAACTCCCGCTAGGTAGACATAGATAACCCCTTCCCGGTAGTACCTGGAAGGTTGTGAGATGGTTTAAAATCCAGTTGTTATATAATAATTGCATGTAGAGGCATCGTGTTCAGTCTCTAGACGTGAAAGAAACATCAGGTCCGAACCAAGATCTGTCATACGTATGTGAAAGGGAAGAAGAACCAGTCTACAGTTGACAAGGTTGCGTAGTAGGCCTTGAAGAACGGACCAGGAGTAACTGTCCTCGGTGTGGTGCTGTTTTCTTGGAGTTTGATATGTCTCGGTTGCTGTTCTCCTTGAGAGATAAAGTCACATATAGATAGATAGTTGTGACCCCCAGGTCCGTGCCAAGCTGTGTTTGTCTTGTTTGTCAGGTCGCGAACCGAACCGGTTCCTGAACTTTGTTAAGGGGCCCAATATAGGATCTAGAGACGAGACGACAACATTCTGCAACAACGACAACTCCCGGAACATACAGCCCGTCCAACAGCTGCGTGTCTGCTGTCCCGGGTCATCTCCGTCTTGCGTTTGTTTTCTGATGCACAGTTGGAAGTTCCGCCTCAAAGATGGGTGATCTTTCCCCTGGCCAGCTCGTCTGTTTATCCGATGGCCGACACGCTGTAATCCGCTTCATCGGCAGTACCAGCTTCGCTCCTGGAGATTGGATTGGCGTGGAACTGAATGGGCCAACGGGTAAGAATGATGGATCTGTCCAGGGAGAACGATACTTCGACTGCGAACATGGCTTCGGAATGTTCATCAGGCCCGCTGCTGTTGTCAGTGTTTTGGAACAACCCAAACGAGAGGAGCGCAAGCCGACACCGAAAGGAGGACTAAATGGAGCTTCTCAGAGAAGCAGACCGCCGAGCGGTGCTCCTGGTAGCGGTCTCGTACCGAAAAGACAAAGTGCACTTGGGCCGAATGCTGCTAGGACTCAGAGAACCACCTCCAGCCCTTCGCCAGCCCCAAGGCCTGGGGCGCCTGGTCGAGCTCTCAGGGTAGGGGAATATATCCTCCATCCCGTTTCTTTTGAATATGTTTTAATAAGTTTTATAGTCCCCTACAAAATCACCGACAAAACAATTGTCAACCGCCTCGCGACCGCCCACTACTGCGTCGCGGCCGTCCGCAGCCGCGTCAAGACCCAGACAGAGCTTGAGCGGCCGTAGTTCAATGGCCCTTACTCCTACTCCCACCGCTGCCAAAGGTTCTCGACAATCTGTAATGGGTACAGCAGGCAAAACTTCTCGTCCTCTTTCTCAACCACCACGACCTACCTTTACCGGTCCGGCGAAACGGACTTCTCTGAGACCCACAGCTACTAGGACAGCTAATGCCGGAAAAATCGGGAGTGCTACAAGCGAGATGAGTGAGGAGACGGGTGATACAGAAACCTCGAATACGCCCTCAGAGTCAAGTAAACCGACCTCCGCCCCTCGAGCTTCCTTGGCTGCACAACGATCGGTCTCTGGAACCAATCCTGTGCTTAAAGAAGTGGAAGATCTAAAAACAAAGATAAGAGTGATGGAGAAAAAGCGAGCGGAAGATAGGGAGAAATTGAAGTCTCTGGAGACATTGCGATCCGAAAGGGATAAATTCGAGGCGATAATTCAAAAGCTACAAACGAAATACCAGCCGCAGCAACAGGAGATTATACAGTTACGGAAACAGCTAAAGGATGCCATGGCAAGAGTTGAAGAAGCGGAACATCTTCAAGCTGAACATGAATCAATTGTCGAAATGGCTGCGCTTGATAGGGAAATGGCTGAGGAGATGTGTGAGGCCATTAAAACCGAGTTCGAAGCCCTGAAAGAGAAAGCAGAGGAGCTAGAATTAGAAGTTGAAGTCTTAAGAGAAGAGAATGAGGAACTGGGCCAAGTGATGAGCCCGGAGGAAAAGTCAAGCCAAGGCTGGCTCCAGATGGAGCGAACAAACGAAAGGCTTCGCGAGGCACTCATTCGTCTCCGCGATATGACACAGCAGCAAGAGACCGACTTACGGAATCAGATCAAAGAATTGGAAGGCGAGCTGGAGGATTTCGCTGCTATCAAAGCTAACTACGAGATCGCAAAGGAACAGCTTTTGATTACCGAGGCGAACATGGAGGATCTTAAACAGCAAGTCGAAGCTCTTGGTGCTGAAGAGATGATTGAGGAACTGGCCGAGAAAAATATGCAGTATCAAGAGCAAGTGAATGAGTTGAAAGCGGTTATTGAAGACCTTGAGAGTCTCAAGGAAATCAATGACGAGCTCGAAATTAATCACATGGAGACGGAAAAGCAACTACAAGAGGAAATTGATTTCAGGGAGAGTGTCTACCTTGAGCAGGCACGAAGAATGGCTCAACAAGACGAGGTTATAGAGGACCTGGAGTATACTTTGTCTAAATTTCGAGAGTTGGTCACAAATCTACAGAGCGACCTCGAGGATATGCGGGTATCGCAACAACTCACAGAAACGGAGTCAACTGAGCTAACCGCACGCTCGAGAGCGATGATGGATCTGAACATGAAGCTCCAAGCATCTGTTTCTAAAGCTCAAACGAAAACAATAGAAGTGGAACTAGGTCGTATGGCCGCAGAGGAATCCGCACAGCATTTAGAGATTATGAAACTTTATCTTCCTGAATATTTCGAGAGCGAACGCAACCCGATTCTTGCCTTATTACGTTTTAAAAGAGTCAGTTTCAAGGCAACTCTGATGGCCACCACAGTACGAGAACGAATATCCGATCATACATCCGCATCGGCTGGTCAGGACGTGTTTACGGCATATGAGGTTCTTGAGAAGTTAACATGGATCGCATCCCTTTGCGACAGATTTATCAATTTCATTAACAGCTGCTCTATTGAAGAATTTTCGACTTTCGAAGGTGCTTTGTACGAACTTGAACCCGTGGAACGCATTCTCAATTTCTGGATCGAGGGATTGAAGAAAAATGAGCTCAATGAAAAGAAATGTGCGACTGAGCTCCAACGATCGATCGCGCTGCTTTCACACTTAGCCGAAACGCTCATTCCATCCAATTTAGAATCGTACGCCGATGAAATTTACATGCGCTCAGTAATGACGCAGACGTACCTGGACTATGCTGCTCTATCCTTTTCCCAACTGAGATCCACGTTACAGGCTAAGCTACCGCCACCTAGCGATGATGATGAGGAGGGTCCCTTCTTATATCAAAAAATAGATGCGCTGGGTAACCAAACTCGAACTGGGAAACTAGTTGCTGGGAAAATTACCCGGTATTTGGATGATTTGAAATCAAGATGCCTTGCATTGACCGGAGACTGCGCAGAGCCCTTTGAGAAATGCGAAGAAGCAGCTAAGGAGCTTGCAGAACTCGCCAGGCAGCTTGGAGAGAATATAGTGTTACTGACGGAGGAGGAAGGGCGAGCAGACCCAGTCACCTATACTGAAATTACTTCCAATATGTCACAGACAGCGATGTCTCTTCTTCAGCCGTCCTCTGCTGCGGCTGAATCGGACGATAATAACGCTCTCTCCATAGCTGCCAATAAGCTTCGCACTTTGGGATCATACCTCGAGGAGGCCTCTAATTGTTCGTCCGATCTGACCCAAACTGTTGAGTTTGAACGCCATCCCGCCCCGTGGGTTCTACGGGCGAAAGAACTTAAGTCGAACAAGGTAATTTCTCCAGATGCAGATGAGGAGATTCGGCGATTAAAGAATGAAGTTCATGAAACCTCTACTGCACTCGGCGTCAAAGACAAAGCTTTTGAGGAACAGACAATTAAAATTGAACTTCTTGAATCGAGAATGCGTGACGCTGGAAAGAAAGCTGCTCTAGCCAAGGATCTCGAATCTAAGTTCGAAGCGCTGCAAGCGAAGGAACAAGAATTAATAGGCATTGTAGAAAAACAGTCAGCCGACCTACAAAACATGGAGCGTGAACGAGATGACTATAGGGCTCGACTGGAAAAAGCCAAGCGAGCATCGGGATCCACTGGCGTCGTGCTTGGTGCAGATGGTGTTATGTCTATCGATATAGCTGCTTCTTCCGCCTTGATGAAGGAAAACGAATCCCTCCGCGTAGAAGTCGCAAACTTGCAAGCCGCAGTGCGTTTTCTCCGCGAAGACAATCGCCGTGCGAATTTTATGGACCCTTATTCTGTGCAACGTACAAACCACCTGCGCGCCTGGCTAGATACTCCCCTTTTTCGACGCAAAGTCGCTACCGAGGACAAGCGGGCGGAATACAATGCCGCATCTGAATGCCAGGATGTGCTCACGCATCTACTGAAGCTCACCAAAGAATCCAATTTCGTGGATCTCAAGACCACGCTTCCCCCAGATGAAGCAAGTCGCCTATCATGGCGACCGATCAAGTCAACAACTAGGTACCAAGTTCTTCAGCAAAGAGAGGAGTACGAGCAATGGACTCAATGGAAAGACGAAGTGGTGCGGCGTGAGCGCCTACGAGCGCGGAAAGAAGCCAAAATCAAAAGAAGAAGTTCGCGTTACCCGGATACAATAGGTATTGCTGCCGAAATTTCATTGACCCAAGTTTCTGGCTCGCGAGAAACAACGACGACGACGTCGTTGAACGACGCTAGAGAGCAGATTACTCCTACCAAAGGCAAAGGAGTCATGGATCGTGCATGGAAAATCCTGGGGATTCAGGGAGATGACGACTCTAATGATGAGTCTGAATACGGGGATCCTGGAAAAGTTAAAATTGTCAATCATTAATAGAATAGATATTTCCCTTATTGGCGTCAAGTCTACCCGCCCGTCTTGAAGACGTTCAAACCCTAATTTCCTTCTGTTACCTGCTACTGCACTCCCCATCCCAGGACCTTCATGGCCGCCACTACCACGCCACAGTTCGGCATTGACATTTTGAATATTGACTGGCTCTATCTTCCCCCTTGTTCCATTTTCCTTGTTTCTTGATTATGCATATTGCGGACGAGATTATCTACCCCACTATTTCAAAAATATATCTCTTCTTTTCCGCGCCTCCATGGCCATTATTGCTCACCGATTGCACCTGCAGCTTGTTCGCTTGCCAACCGCTATATTTGCTCGTTTTTCCCTCACTATCGCACCCGCCGCCTACGTACGTATGTAAGATACCCATCGAGAACCTTCTCTTGTTTAATTGTTTTTCTGTTCTCTTGACTCTTTCTTGTTCTGGTTTGCGGTGGTTGTTTTCTGCTCTGCTTCTATGTTTTTCTTCATTTTGGGAACTTGGTGAACGCCTTCCCCATTCCCAAATGAGGCGCGATATACTGTATCATTAGATTATACGGACAATGGAAGATTAAACAAATAGATGGATATTTTATTTATGGATGATATTACGAAGATGATATTTATTGTTGATAGCAAATGGAGTGAGATTGAGGCGCTAGCTAGCCCGCCTGCCCCCTTTTCGTAGTACTTATTTGTCTTCACTGTGCTTGATTGTCCGTGGGTTTTGGTATTGTGCTCGTGATATATTAGAAATAGGGCCGTATAGATAACTAGTCATAATATTTTGAACGAAGGGACAAAGCTCGCAAAAAAAGGGGTATATTTAATCGCTAATTAGCTTTTCAAAGAGGTGTAATCATAAAATCATATACAACAGACATCTTTGAATAGAAAGAATGGCAGTAAAGGATAAATTAATAAAAAATATAAACTAAAAAATGAAAAATGAAAAAATGAAAAAATAATGAAAAACATGAAAAAAAAAATAAAAGGTAAAGCAGCCAGAAAAGAAAATCGCGAAGTTTAGCCCTCCCCAGACCCAATCCTACCGGCCCTGTCCAACCAGTTGGTCATCCATCTAAGACCAATGACCAAACGAACATGGGGATTATACCACTAAAACATATCCCCTCCAAACCATAATGCGCATATGTGACAAGGACGTTAATTAGGATAGGAAGACTGTAGTAACCTAGCGTAGGGGGAGTGTGATCACAAGTTTGGCCTTGTAGCCGAAACCTGACGCGATATGAGGATGTGAACCGGTAAGGGGTAGAGAAGTATATTGTTCCGGAATAAAAAAGGGTGTACTTAAGGGGTATGTTAAATAAACAAGGGAATCGCATGATACGGAGAGAATGATGTGGCTTGTGTGGTTTTCATAAATAATACGTTTCGTGCAAGGAAATAAACAGTCTTTTTATTTTTCTACTTTGGATAAGGTGTAGCTCGGGGTCTGATAAACCGGTGAAGCCCCCCAAAGCGTAAAAGATTAGCTTCATGGCTGGCTGTGTGTTGTTTCGACACAGATAGGCGTTGTCATGAAACCGATGATGAAACGAAAATTAAAAAGCCATGCCGATCCGATCCGGTTTAAAATCAACAGGGCACGTATGTTCCGAAGTGACGAGGAACTTGTCATTCTCATCAAAATGGCATTGATGATGGAAGTGGTGGTGATCAGCTTCGTAGACTGTGGGGCAAGGTTCTTCCAGACGAGAAGCAAACAACTTGTTGCTGTTGCCGTGGGACATGTTGAATCCGATCGTTGTTCTAGTTGCCTCGGCCTCGTTGTCTAGCGTCCCTGGAATAGATGGTGGGGGATGGACGGTTGTCGCGGTTATGGCACTGGAGAGCGATGGGGTCCTTCTAGAGCACGCGGTCATGGACGAGTTGTTTGCTGATGAAGCGGTCGAGCCGCTGAGGGTGCGGGAGTGTATTGTTGATTGGCTTGCTTGCCGAGGACGTGAAGTCAATGGGGTCCAGGCGGCTTGGGATGTTGGATCTGAGGTAGAGGATGGAGGTTTGGGGAAGAGCCATTGGGCGACTTTATGAGATCGGGGGTTGCTTCTCTTTTTTGGTTGGCCGTTGAACGAGATAAGGTCTATCTGCGATTCCATTCCGATAGTATTTACTGGCGGAGAGGGGAATGGTAAGTCGCCCATCTCCGTTGAACTGCTTGTGACGGGTGGCTGTTTCTCATGTTCAATTATGAGGCTATTGTTAGCATTCAGCGGCTCACTTTCTGTTCGTGACTGCCGCGCATGAGTATTGTTGCGAGCCTTAATATTGTCTGCAGAAATCCCCGGAGCAGGGTCGAGAATACGCTCAGGAGGTTGAGGTCGATGGTCGTGCACTTCGATGCGGTCGCTGACTGACAGTGGCCTGCGTGATATGGAACCAACTGGCTTTCTAGGGACCTTGAACGACGGTACGGGAGCGCTATGGATGGAGGAACTATCGAGAGGCGAGAAGACCTTCGGTGGTGGTTTGGGGCCAGACGATTCAAACTTGTTAGGGATGTTAATATCGAATACGTCGAACTCCGGTAGATCTGATAGTCGATTCCCTGGCTGATAGATGCTGAGTTCTAGGGGACGGAAAGGTTCAAGGCGAGAAGTGGGAGGGTTAAGTCTTCTGAAGTCCGAAGGGCCGCTGATTGTGGGAGTGTGGGAGCTGCGCTTGGTGGATTTCCTTCCGGTAGATACTCGATCGGTTGCTTTGGATGCGAGGGTCCAGCCCTCAGAAACCCAATGAGATATGCTTGATGAACGAGAGCGACCTGGGCCTGGAAGGTCATCATAAAAGACAAGCTTCATTGGCGGGACAAGATGAGGTTGATCGTGACATAGTTTCATCTCTCGCGCGACTCCTGTTGTAAATGGTGTTAGTAAGTTTGAACTTCGCGAAGAATGATTCCCAAAGAGCGCGAAACATAATCCTACTTACCCATATCAGCAACAGGACGCTCATGAGCCTGCTCATCGCCCTGATGCCAGATACATGTCAAGCAAGCGAGCCATTGCTTGAGCCCCGAGCCCACTTGCTCCATCGACGCTGTTGTCATTACTCGGCCACTTTCATGGTAACTGGGTCCGGAAACAGACAGAAAGACCCTTCAGTGGAGCGTAGCACTAAGTGCAGAAGGTCGGCGCTTGAGAGGGACATCATTAATATATATACATACATAGAAAGACTACACTCCCATAGGGCTTATCTGGGGAGTGTGGGTCGGTAGAAAGAGGGGTGGTGGTGATGGTAGGCCACTAAGTCCAGCCTCGAGGGCTTGCAGCATGGAATGAGCGGTAGTAGAAGTGTTTCTTAGGCTTTCGTTGTCATGCATGGATATCTCATCCTCATCCTTGAACATTTTGGATGGAGCGGAATGCGCGTTGAGGTTAGTGCAGCGTTATCGGGAAGAAAACTGGTCTGCAGCTAATTGTGATCAGCCAATTGGATCCATAAACATGCAAGCTCCAGCAATATCAAAAGTTCTGGTTCAACCCAATTCGCCGACGGCAATGTGGGGGTTCGAAGGGCTGCGACTGCATAGTTAGTGATGTTCTTCATGCAGGCCTGTTTGTAGGTTGTGGTGCGCCCAACCCAACCGTGTTCAGCTGCACACTATGCGTAGTCTGATGTGCGCGATATGGGCGCTTAGGGATTGGCTCTGCTGCTCCTGTCCACCATCGTGAGGGGCTAATTGTTTTTAGCACGCTGGCCCTGCAGAGAGCGGACTTGATTCGATAGTTAAATAACTGTCAGAAACAACCTTGTTAGCCCTTCTGCCAAGCCAAAAGTAAGGGGCGGCGGAGATAATTTGAAATGGATCAGCTGCTGAAGATGTTCCTGGCGTTCTTCCGTCCACCCCGTACCGTACTGTGTAATCTGTACTCTGTACTCTGTACAGATCATGGAAATGTATCCAAGAACATGCTGAAGCTTTTGCAGTAGATAGCACGCGGTGCGTTAATGGCCCATTGAAAGGTGCCCAAAGGGTTTGAAGTTCAATCAAAATGTTATGGATTGTGAAATTTATTGCTGGCTTTCGCTGCTCTGCGCATCCGAGATAATTTCCGCCACCAGGGGTCAACATCCATTATGAATTCTTGTAAGCATTCGCTTCAATATCTCAGCACTTAGCCTCTTCTACCTTTGAAAGCGCAAGGTCCAGATGCCCGAATTCAAGACGGACGAACACACTGCATCCAAACATCCTAGGAGCGACTGTGAGGCTGGTTCGAGTCTCCTATTTCAAGCCCGGGTGACAGGGGCAATTCCTGTGCCAGTTTGGAATATAAAGCAAAACCTGAAAGCAAGCCGAACGGAGAAGTGTGTATGTCATCCAAACCACGAGGGCGTTGGGGGATGTCGGAGATTTTAGCGGAGTGCGCAAGATGATATCCTTGAAACGCCGCAATAAACACTCGCGAGTTCTAGGCTAGGCCTTTAATGGGGCTGGTACCCTGTACCTGCTTGATGCTTTAACACAAAGCCCAACCCCTATTTTCTCGATCTGATATCTGACACCTTCCCCCTAATACCTCGGCGGTTCGCTCTGATTTAGCCGGATGAGCCCAGGGGATTTATCAAAGGACCAGTGTTCTTCAGGGAACGGGTATGTTTCATCTCAGGCTGGCAGAAGCAGACCAGGATCGATCTTTTATTAGAGGCCCGGTGGATCTAAGTTTATCAGCCAGTTGTCCCTGTGCGTCGGACATTTGGCACGACTAATGATGCCGTTCAAGCACGTACTCAGTTTTACTTGATCTGTCTGTGGTAGGATGAAGGCGATGACGACGAATGCGCGGAATTTTTAAAGGATATTATGGGATGATGAGACTTCCGGCTTCCCTTTCGTCGTCGTCGTCGTCGTCTTCCTCCATCCCCAACAGCCCTCTCGGTCCGCTTAAAGCTAATTCCTGTAGAGCAGTGGGCACCAGAATCTATGTCACCATCATAACTTAATAATACACATACTGTTAACATTCTAGCGAGAATCCTAATCTGAATCCTGGTTTAAGTACCTCTACCCTGCGCTCCCGTCTTATCCGAAGGCCCCGTTGCCATTGTGCCATCTCGCGAAGGGCGAGACGCTCGAATATTTGCCTTGGACTTTTCGGCTGGTCTCAGGGAGCCCATGAACGTGGAGCCTTCGGTCGGTGAAGACCCTAGTATTACTATACTCTAGGGAATATAGTAGCTCAACAACGTCGAGAAGCTCGATATTGTGGGAGTGACCTCCGTGAAGACAAGGCAATCCATGCCAGACTCGAGGCGGCTTAAACCCCCTGGGGCAGGACACGTCCCGGACACGTCTTGTATTCCTCAAGGGGGTCCGTAGACAAATTGTTAAAAATTGCTATAATGCTCTTTCATTCCATGGACGGTAATTATTAGCAGTTTCTTCGCGCATTGTCTGCCCACCCCTGAGAAATCAGCAAACCGCCTAGAAGTGTCCCGAAACTCGATGAAAGTCGGCGCCAATTAAATCAACGTCGCCCTTCAGATCCTTCACTGGTGGCCATTGGCCCCATTGGATCTCTGGTCGCCCTTCTGGCGATTACAGGAGATTGGCCTAGGGTTTTTCCATTAGGTAACGTGGTTATAAGCAATGCGAAGCATCAAGAGATGTAGTAGAATATGCTGAATGCCGGAACGTAGTTGAGTTATACATCAGGGCCGCCATTGACGGATGGATTAGTGAAATAGGACAAGCGTGTCTGTTATACTCCTGGTCTTCTGTAGCCTTGATTGCTGATACTAGGCCTGTATAAGAACTTTGGGAAGGTTTGGGAATTTAGCTGACCATTCTCTGGGACTCTCGCTGTACGAAAGAGAGCTCTAGTAAAGGTCATGACAATTGGATCTATGTAAGAGATGCCATGTATATCCGAGAAATTGCAGCGGTGTCTCCGATCCTCTCAATATCATGTCAACCTGACATTGGCGGAGGCCCGGACATATACAATGACCGTGTCATGCAAATAACGTGGTGAAACTTTCCACTCTTTGGCCCCGTGGTAACTGTTTCTGTAACAGCTTTGCTCTTGCGGCCCTTACGGCGCATCCTGAGGAAATCCTAATCAGCTATTTTCCACACCCGCAAATTGTAATATACCCACACCTTGTTTGATATATAGATCGTCGGAGTTTTTAGTGGTCAGTAGAGCGTAGGGGTGAATCGTATATTTCAGAGCCCAATAACCTGCGGAAGTTTCGTCCGTCATCATTGTAACATATCCAGAGCAGAAGTTCACGAAACAAAAAGTGTTTAGTGTATATGTCTATAACCTTGCGCTGTTTCATGAAATTGACTAGGCAAAAAGGCCTGTATCCAATATCCAAGTTACTTCCCCAAAACGCCATGCCAATCGGTAATGTACTGTACGTACATGTACATGTACAAGGAAAAAAATGGCTTGATCCAAGAACCAAAAAAAGGACATTGCAGTAAAATAACTATCGCTTCGCACCCATAAATCACTGGATTCAAATTCATCCACCCCAGGCGTCGCGTTCTTCATTGAATGACCCGTATGTCATGTTTCTCCCTGCGAGGCTTTCGGTGTCTGCCTCATTATCCTCATCGACTGAGTGGCCTTGTTCCATCGACTGCTGGGCCATGGGCCTGCTTTCGGTGCTTTCATGTTGGCCATTCGCATTTACGGACCGACCACTTGAATAGGATTAGACTTTTGTGGACCTTATGGTACGCTGTGGAAATTTGGTACTCACACTAAACGAGCTTCGTTAACTATGTTATGTCCTCCTTCTTCAGGCCTCTCAAACCGCTGGCGTTCGGCTTCTCCAACGTCATCCACGAGGTCAACTAGTTGGCTCCGTCTCAAACGGGACTGAGAGGAGATGCTGGAGCTACTGTGATGTTTGTTCCCGTTAATAGGCCGTTTTGGTTTACGATCTGACCTACGGCCCGATGAACTCCCTGACGCTTCATTGTCACCATGAATGCGTCTGTTCCTATGTTTAGCTGCTCTCTTCACATAGCTTGTTTCGGTGTGGTTTCGGCGCGGGGTTGAGACGGACGGCCTTGTCCGTCGTGGAAGTCGCTGGTCGGGTGGCACCTCATTGGCCGTTATCACTGGATACTGATGGATAAGTTAGCTATAATCACAGATTGTGCTTAGGGATGCGATTGCTTACATTGTAATCTCCGAATTCCAAGGCTCTCGCATTCACAAAGAGCCTTTCGTCTTCTTCATCGAGTGTCAAGTTTTCGGGATCATCATTATTAAGGCTTCCATTATTTGCGCTGCCTCTTTTGGCCCAGCCTTGGGAGCTCCTTCGACTGCAGGCTGGCGAGCTTAAGAGAGGCGTCCGACTTGTTGCTTCACCTGGTTTGGGAATCCAATATTTAGATTTCCCGCCCCTTTCATATCTCATACCATCCATCAGTCTGGCTAGACGTGACTCGGATTCCTCATGTGCCATTACATTATCACCGGAGTCAAATATCCTGTACTGATAGTTTTCTCCGCGAAAAGTTTCTTTGGTGTCTTCGATGAGATCCCGGATACCAAATGCATCCCGAATCGCGAACTTTACTGGCATCCGCGCCGCTGATACAGAGGTATCAGCATAATCATGCCATGAGAAGGCGTACCAGTGGGTAAGGGCAAAGAGAGGCATTTCGAAACAAATCAAGCTGTCTTGGATTGCTGCTGCAAGGTTGTCGGGACTATAACCTGCAACCCCATTGGGTAAAGCGCCAAGCCATTGTAGGATCGAGAGAAAAAACCCTTGCCAATATGAAGCAAAGATGATGAGTTTGACGCAAAGAAATTTAGGGACGGGGCGAAACGGCTTGAGATCATCGTGCATACACACCCAGAACAGTGCTAACGAGTAAAGACTAAGTGTGACGCTTATATTGTAAATAATCCCAGTCCATAGATATCCAGAGGAGAGACCAAGATATCCCTCTTGGTATGTCCCGGTGGCTTTCATGATAATGGAAGCCAAAGCAAGGATAGGTTTTAACCATGCATACTGTAGAATACCACGCTTTATCGCAAGGAACGTGTGTGGATCGGAAATGTCGACTTTTCGAAGAAAATGGTTGAGGGGCCAAGCATGCTGCACCGGCGCACGTCCGTGTGTCATGACTATAAGAGCTCGTTCTCCCCCAACTAAGTTGATAAGGAGTTGAAAAAATGTATATATCGTAAATGCCTTGTAATGTCACAAAGTCAGTGGAGCGCTTCTAGCAGGCCTCGGGGTCGAGCGCATACCTCATAGATATCACGGATTGGTACTATAAAAGCAGAAGTTTTCAACGAAATTATGCTCACCCACGACGATATGGAGTATATTGGAACCCTAAGAGACCGTAAGCAAGCTGCCCCAAATCATAGGAAAGGACATCATCCACCGACATCAAAAGTATCCTCACGACATATCGCTGAAGCAACGGTTTCCGATAATTTTTTCTGCACTCCACGTTATTATTCGGTAATATATACATTTCAGGCCGAAGGTACTGCTCACGTTTGAAGCCATATCGATCTAGGCAAGAAATCAAATCAGTGGAATGTCAGCAGAAAGAGGTTAGGGAGAGGAGAGGAAGGAGGGGGCTCCGGGCATACATGAGAGATATGAATGTAGCCACTAAAGATGCCACACCTGCAATGATGACTGTGACCTTAGCCAGACTAGACCCTGTGCCTCCAGAGGAGCCGGAAAGGCTCGTCATTGTCGGTGTGATAGAATGCATCATTCACGATAGAGATGCTATTTGGCCCATTGTCCCCCCTTGATCATTTGCGTGGGTGGATTAGCTTGAATCCAGCAACATAACAAAGCTCCGTCCGCTGCCAAGACGGATTTGATGTTATCTAGGACTATCGCTGTCGATTGGCGCCGCGCAAAGAGACTAGTATCGTAAATTGACAAATTGACGGGCGGGCTAAGGAGTTTGTCGTGTTTTGGGGGTCTGCGTGGTTAAGGCACAGAGTAACGCGGATGTTTGAGGTTTTGGCTGGAGCCGGGAAGCTTCGTCCCGTGACGTCCAAGCGTGCGGCTATCGTCATTTGTCTCGGCCTTCAAAAGTAACTCCTCCTTCATCTAGACTACTCATCACTACTCATCACCACAACTATGAAAATGTTTGGCCATGGTATCCGCGGTATGTTAGTATCACTTACATTATGCGTTTCTTGAATACCTGCTCTTGCGGAACCGTTTGCAGAGACATGCTTGTTGGTTCGCGGAGGAGAAATTGCCATGCGACAGTCGAACCCGCCAACGTTGCATAGCTCGACAAGATGGAAGGTGGCAGATTAACAGCGGAGTCGCTGTCTTCCGTAGTTCCTCAGTTTAATTGGTAAGGGTTTTGATCCCTTAGGTATTTTGGCACGGAGCTGATAACTGGCAGGGTGTTTTTAGTTGAACTTATTGTGTGTGGTGTTCTGTGAGTCTGGATCCAAGTCACTTGCACACGGGTATATTTAAAACTGATATTGCGACGTAGGACTCTTTTCTTCCTCTTTTACTTTAATCGCCTCTTCGCTACAATCGTTTCCTATCCAATCCGAGCGTATACCTGGCATTACTACGGGGTTTATGTCGATATCCATGCGCTTCAAATATCCTTGCTTGGCGGAAGGATCTTTTTTAAAGGGTTTCGATATCACGGAGAGAATGAGACAATATTAGTTCAATCGGGATATTTGACATGGAAGTACTGGCTTCGGTCTGTACGTAAGGTTGATCTCTCTCGGAGTAGCGAAGACGGTGCGGAGAGCTCGAGACACCCGGTGGGAGAATCGGATTCGGAGGAAAGCACCCGCAGCCCAAGCCCCAGCACCGCTCAACGGGGCGGTTGCACCGCAGCCAATCGCCTGCCCTGTCGGTTGGAGTTGACCCTGCACGGTCTTGAGTGGTTTGTTTATAATAGAAGTGCCGCTTACGATTCCATCCTTTCTGGCTTTGGATATACTCTGAGGAGGGAGCCTAGTGGCAGCGACAATGACCAAAACGATCATACTGGGAAAAATAATGACGACGAATTGGAGTCTCCTAACAGTGCGCAAACAGGCAAAGGCTCAATTGATAGCAAAGATTCCGCAAAATCCCCGTCTGGTGTTGGATCGACACCTTCCGAACGGTCAAAGATAGCCAATAACACTCGTATCCGTTCATCTCGTAAAGAATTGCCATCGCAAGAGTCCCGGAAATCATGTTCGTCGAGTTCAACTGAAGAAGTTTCGCGATCTAAACTTCTGGCTCTCCTTCCCCTGGGGTTGGTTTGCAATAAAGGGGCAATGGTTATGGGGAACGAAAATACAAAAACATTTCTGACCGCAAAGTTCGAGAGGGCCTCTGGGCATATTGATGCCAGAAATTCTGGTCCTCTGGATATGTTTAGACAAATATTCGAATTTCGCCTACGCCATCCTGTAGTTCAAATGAAACCAAACCCGGATTTTAAACAATCTCAACAAGCTGCTGCTAGCGGACTACGAGCATCAGATGGAGACCAAGAATCGGAGCGACATGAGCAGGGCCTCCACTCGAGATACCAACGCCACAGGCGTAGGATATGGCACAATCTTCGTGATCTGATTCCGTATTTCCAGAGTTCAGTCGAGTCATTCCACGTTGGTGCGGGAAAAGACACGCGTGGGGCTAGTTCTGGTTCTCCAACAAAGACCGGATTGCCAGGGGAATCTCGTTGGCTTGGTCTCACTCGGTACCTTGACGAAGACGATCGCGATGCACATGAAGGCTGGAGCGCTATCGAATATGGTCGGTTCTCTACATTAATCGATTGTCCAAGCCTGCGCTTCACTTATTATTGGGATATACCTGGGAAAGTGCCAAGGGGCGGAATGCATTCGCGACTTTCAGTTCATAAACTTTCCAATGACATCAATGGTGCAGATCCTCCGGAGTGGGGTATGCACCTATGTATCAAGGGTGGAACTATTAACTACGGCCCCTGGGCGGATAGGGAACGTGTCGGTATTCAGACGATATTTTTCCCAAATTTTTACCGAGATTCACAGCCCTCTCCACCCCTTGAAGCTGATGCTCCTAGGCAAAGCACCAAATTCAAATTAACCATCAATATTGAGCAAGATACTACCCTGCGAATTCCTACTAGAGAAGCATCCAAAGATTGGTTATGGAAAGGTCGGGTTGATGCTGTTGGGGGCGTTTCCAAATTGAAGGGCCAGAAAGAGAAAAAGCATCCACGAAATAAGGACGCTGAAAAAAGCACCCATGGCCCCGACATAAGGCCCTTCGGTTGGTTTGCCATCCGGATAGCGGCGAATTCCACCATCAGATATTCAATGGACATGGTCGTGTCGAATACGGGATACAAAAATCAACTGGAACTTGATCTTTGCGGGAGCAGAGTGACATCTAGTGTAAACCATGGCCTACTGTGGAGCTCTGGGGCACAAACGATTTCACTCGACCTGTCGAACCCTTTGAAGTGGAATATCCTGCACACCTGGTCCATTAACGTATACAGCCAAAACCTCGAGCTTTTCTTATTACGAGACCACATTTTCCTCCTCACTGATTTAGTGAACGACTGGATTTCGGGGCCTCCCCCCGATTTCTATACCTTTGTGCCTTTCCGTTACAAGATAAACTTTTCCTTTACGAACTTCAAGCTATTCATGAACGTCAACGATTCTAACATAATAAACAACCCATCCGACACTAATGATAACACCTTTCTCGTAATACACAGCGAGCACCTGACCTCTAACCTCACCATTCCTGTGGAGAAATATAGACCAAAAAGCAATGCTATAATATTCGATGTTAATTTGTCAAGTGGATCAATCGAGTTGGTGACGCCACTATGGAACACGCAGCGCGTCTTTCTCCAGGATAACTCAGTTGCAACGCTCAAGGCCATGAGCTTGACTGGGAGTTACAAGTATAATATTGAGACATCGACCGAGCTAACGGATAGGTTAACACTCGATATAGTTGGTGTTTCGCCCAAGCTTTGTCTTTACGGATTTTTAATCCGGTACTTTTTAATGATAAAGGAGAACTACTTCGGCGAACACCTGCATTTCAAAACACTAGAGGAATATCAGGGCTTGCTTGCTACTACCGACACGCCGGAAGAAAGTAGTGGCGTGGACCCTTCACCGAAAACAAACGACCTTGACATCTTTGTCCAGATTCATGCAGACAGTGGCAGCATCTTTTTGCCCGCTAATATCTATGACCGCACAAATTGTGTGAGGATAGACACTGTATCCTTTGATACCGATTTGAGGTTTACGAATTATTACATGGATATGGAAACATCATTTGGCCCTGCGGAATTCGTTATAGACTCAGCCCAGCCGGACGGTTCCCATATTTCTTCAAACACGCAGTTATTCTTGGATGGCTTGTCCATCTACGGTCATCGCCTTTTCGGGCTGCCGCCTACAGAACCAACTTATGTCTGCAATTGGGACTTTCGGGTTGGACATATTGCCGGAGAATGCACTCCTACATTTCTAAAATCCGCCGCATCAGCAATAAGGTTTCTCGCATTTTCTTTTGACGATGAAGAGAATGCACTACCGCCACTACACCCCGTCGTGATCCATGACGTGACATTTTTGAGAGCCAAAGTCAATTGTATACGGATCTGGGTATTGGTCGAGGAATTTGCAATCCTATTTAGTTCCGGGGTTGTCGAGCTTGACTTCAATGATTGGGCTGACCTGCAGTTTTCTGAGCGTCTTAACCTGAACTTGCCGGACCTTATTCTCGCTGTAGTAGATCGAAATGCTGCTATTCGATTGCGACAGCCTTCGCGAGAGACAGTTAAGACCCATGGTTATTTCGAAACGTCACTCTTGCTCAAGATGGTGGAGCGCAAATCAAACTTTTTCGCTGCCCGTGGGCTTCAACAAGAACACATCCGCGTGCATGATCAGCGGTCCAATAGGACGCCGTGGCTGCTTCACAGTGATGAAAATACATTCCCCCATCTTGCTATGGACACTAGCAACGCTAAAGTCAGTCCTCCAGCCATACGCCTACCTCTGATGCCAGAACCGATTCAGTCGATTCATACATTCTATCCCGACTCTTCGTCGTCATCCTCATTTCCTTACACAACGAGCGGAAAGAGTTCGATACGTTCCTCTCAATCTTCCGAATCAAGGCGTGCGAATTTCCCACACTTTAACCACGTGCGCCCTACGACGAATATACCGAAGAGCAGAATTCCCGGACCGGCTCCCTATGACTCTGGTATTAGGGATGCAAGAATTACTTCCAAGAGCCAAAGCGCTCACAGCCCTGAACAAGGAGTGCGAGAGCGGGATAAGACGCCAAGTTTCATTAATGGTATATCCAGCCCCTGGGCTATGCCGTACTTTCATTTCAATGGGATCGAGCCTGATGTTGCGGATGTTCCCACTCTCCCCCACGCCGACGCCTTGCCAGAACAAAGGGAATGGGATTTGGGTAGTGATATTGCAATTGACTCTAGGCCCAACTATGAGAATTCTACCCAAGTCTTTTTCCACTGTAACTTTAAACGCGGCCTACGTGGCTTAGGCTCTCCAGAGGCTCTTTCCGCGGTATCGTCGCTTTTTGATGAACTGCAACCTTCTCACCCAGTTGATATCATTGATAACCTCCAGGCTCGTGTCATTTCAGACATTTTAGCTCATGAGAAGGCGATGGCGAGTCCCAAAAAGAAATCCAATTTTTCACTCGTTTTCCCCCACTCGCACATCCGATTTATCAATTCATCCATGTCAATGGATGAAGATCAATTGGGCAACTTCCGGGACCAGTATGACTTGAAACTTACTCGTATTCGCGCTACATGCCGCACGGCTGTCGAAAGTAAACGGGATGATCACGTACAGCCTACCAAAACAAGTTTTGCCATACATGTAGCGGCCGATTCCGTTTCACTATCAGCTCATGGAGAGAAAATTGAAGCGCTTGATCGGAAAGGCTTGGTCCACTGCACGTTGAAAAATATAATTTGTTGGTCGGCGTCCGAACAAACCCAGCGCTCTCACATTCAGATTCAGGATATTGAAACAGTCACTTCAAGCAAGTCCGTTCAAGACTCGGCATTCCTGATCGACCGGACCACAAAGCTGGTCAACTCGATTGTAGCCCCTTTCCAGGAATCTTCCGCAGCTTATACAAGACGGCTTCGCTGCTTGGTTTACACCCTTACAAATCACGGTTCCCAAACTCCGGACCCGTTGTTTCTGACACGAACTTCCTATGTTTTGCGAGCAGCGCAGGATCATCTGAGGCTTCATGATTCTTGGAAAATTATTTCTCGATTGCGCAACATCTATAATTACTTACCTGCGGGTCAAATATCGAAACTGACTTGCGATTGCAAGGCCAATACAATTCCATATCCATCAGACGCTCGAACTACTGTCTTATCGAACTTTGACCGCTGGAGAACCTGGGACCTTGCGCACGTCAAGAAGAGCGCTGTGATGAAAGTAATTTGGGGGAACTGGGAAGATGGAAACAACAACTTACATAGGTCGGCAAACCAATCCTTCACTTTGAATATGAACAAGATAAGGTTCTGTTTAGACCCTGGTCCGAAGGAGAGCGAGTTGCTGCTCCAAGGCTTCTCGAGTTCGATGAGCGTGGCAATAAGTCCCATGAAGCAACCAAGCGCGGGCGACTACCGCTCTATAGCTGTGCAAACGTACTGCTCTAATATATCTCTGGGACTTAAATGGGAAATTTGTGAGCTTGTTGAAGGCATCGTTAAAATGGTATCAGGAAAACAGAAGGAGACAGGCGCGCCACGCGACGTATCGCATGAGGCAAAGCCCACCGCTAAGGGCGATGATATTCACTTTGTTTTCCTGACTGATGACGGATCCGTTGTGATTGACGGAATCAACATCAATGTCGCTTTACGCGGAAGTGGTATTAAGGGTTCAGTGATTCACCAACCTTCTGGGCAAGATTCAAGGAGTTCTACAAGTGTGGTTGTTAGCTCGGATGAATCTTCAGCGCAATTCAGTAGTCGCCTAAAAGACCTGATGATTTGGAGACTCATGTCCCCCAACGTTTTCGTATCGCACACGTCACAGGTCAGCGGGACACGGATTAAACATGACTGGAAATCCGCGGCTGCGTGCCAGAGGTTGCGCTACGATATGAACGAAGATCCGCTTGGTATAGTTCAAGTGGTTGATCGAATTGTCGAGGATGAAGTTAAATATATTATGGGGTTGGTTTCCGTTGTCGAACCATCGCAAACACAGCCCGAGGCACGACCCAACATCCCCAGGAAAAAGATCATCCATCGATTTCACGTCGCAATGTTTTTGGATGACTACGATATACAATTCTTGCTCCTTCCATCGCTAGTTTACGCCATTTCTGGGGAGGTCGCTCGACTATCTATTGCCCCAGCGAAAGGGTCCAAATTAGAGCTTGACTTTGACGTGAAAAATAATTCACACAAGTTTTGGACAGACAACGAAAGAGACTCGAGTATCATTTCAGCACTTGATATCCCACCAATCAACGGCCGTATCATGGTTGCTACACCTCCCAATCGTACGTCCGTGGATATCGATACAATTATTGAGCTGACCAAAGTCGATGCGGGAGCCGTGCGGAACCTGCTCGGTGCATTAAATGGACCAGAAATATCTCATTTATTGGCAGACTTGGAGCACGATACTCGGATTCTTATCCAGCACTTCGACCGTCTCGTTTCTCGCGGGCGTACTTCACCCAAAACGAAACCTTCTGACCGAGCCGCCCATGACCTCGTATATAAAGTACGACTCACATTGGCTGGTGTCGATATTTTTGCAACTGCTCCTGGTTTGAGCAGTAAGGATTACTCCGCCGACATGAACCTTACAGTCGGCTTGGTTCAATTCCATTTAGAGAATGCCTCTCTCAGTGGACCCATTCTCCATCACCCTGAATTCAACCTCTTGCTCTCTCGCATTACTTTCGACCTCAAGAAACGCGACAAAGTAAACACACAACCGTACGGCAGCTTACTTCTCGACGCTCAGATATTCGGAACTTCAAAGATAAATGATTACGGTGATGTTGTGCGATCTTACGACGTGGTCAACAACGGTTTACAAATAGAACTATATGCTGAAACAGCATCGATGATTGTTGACATCGCCGCCCACCTCCAGGAGAGACTGAAGACTCTCGATTTATCCCAGGAGGTCAAGCACCTCAGGAAACTACGACTAATAACTGCAACCGAAAAGAGACCATCCATGGAGGCCCGTGGCCAGCAACCCGACTCACAAAGTCTGTTCAATGCTATGTACTCCGTCGTCCTCGCTAATATCCAAGTGAGCTGGATGATTTCTACACCAGCCTCCTGCCACCAAGGTAGACAACCAGAGGACCTCGTATTTTCCATTCGCAAGGTAGAGCTAGCGACCAGAAGAAAAAGTGCCGCCCGTCTAAGAATTGAAGATATGCAGCTTCAAATGGTTCCTCTGCAGATGGATAAGAGGAAGCGGTCACGAAATTCTGCCCTTCTACCCGAGGCCGTGTTCAATGTTGCGTATCTGTCCAATGGAAATGAGCGCCGACTGGCATTCCAAGCGGCGGGTAAAGAGTTGGATATTCGAATGACATCAGAGTTCATTCTGCCCGCAAGCATTCTTCAAGATTCGATTGCATTGGCTAGTGAAAATCTGCGCAAAGCAATCAGACTGTGGAGCGCGGCAATCCCTCCGGAAAAGAAAAAGGCAAGCTCTAGCCCGAGAATTGTTAGGCTCGCTTCTCTACTTATCGATGCAGATTTCTCTGGGGCTGTGGTCAGTTTACAGGGCCGACAGGACGACATGGCGACAAGTACAGTTTCACCAACGGCGCGAAGTAATCGAACTGCTGGTGGAGGCAAGTACGGTCAGTATATCCAACAGGATACTGAAACTACAGCAACACTCCGGGCTCCCGGGGTTGCATTAAAGGTTCAATTCGAAGACTCTGGAGATGGAGAGCCTACGTTAAATGCAGAAATGAAGGTGGATGCTTCCACCAATGTCCTCCATCCCACCTTTGTACCTCTAATCACTCAGATATCTGAGAGTGTGAAAGAAATTGTGGGAGAATCAGACGGATCAAAGGATCTGTCCAGCAAAAGCCAGCCTGTCCAAGATCATTCCTTTGAGAAACCTCCGGACAAAAATGACCCTACAACCATCCTTGGACGGTGCAAGTTAAATGTTGGACTGCGCATTTGCAGGCAGGAATTCACTCTCAGCTGCCAACCAATCGCACGGGTTTTAGCAACTGCATGTTTTGACGACAGCTATATTACAGTCAACACCGTCCAATCGGCGGAACAGAGGCGTTTTTTTGCCATGTCTTTGGCATTTAACGCGTTACAGGCTTCGGTCAAGCATGTTTACTCGAGCGAATCCACTGCTAGCTTGACGGTTGACTCTATTGTTATGTCGATGATGAATAGTAAGCACGTCAGTTCTAACAGCGGGATTTCAGCAATCCTGAAGATCAGTCCTACGAAGCTTCAGGTAAATGCCAAACAAGTCCAGGACTTTCTCCTGTTCCGTGAGATATGGATTCCGCCCGAAGGTCCACCAAAAGGGCAACCAGTTAACCCCCAACCACCTGCGACTGACACGCAAGCATACCTCGTGCAGCGATATCAGCAGATGACTGCTACGGGCTCATTCCCTTGGAATGCAGTGATTGCGATAACGCAACTAGATATCTCCCTTGATTTAGGCCAGACGTTGGGCAAATCGGAATTCACTATCAAGGATCTGTGGTTATCGTCGAAGAAAACATCTGATTGGGAGCAGAATCTCTGTGTTGGATTTGAAGATATTGCTGTTGAAAGCAAGGGGCGACTTAGCGGCGCCATCGGATTGCAGGAGTTCAAGGTTCGAACTTCTATTCAATGGCCAGACTATGATCAAAAATCATACCAGACTCCCTTGATCCAAGCATCAGCAGGGTTTAATCGGCTACAGGCTAAAGTGTCTTTCGAGTATCAACCATTTTTGGTGGCGGATGTAACATCATTCGCGTTTTGCATGTACAACGTTCGGAACACGTCTGCATCCCAGAAGGACTATCTCGTCAGCGTTCTCGAAGGAGATAATTTTCAAGTATTATGCACCTCATTCACTGCCTCGCAAGGGCTAGCTCTCTACCAAACGCTCCAACGGTTTCTGCAAGAGAAACAGACTGCGTATCAATCCTCTTTAAAAGAGATTGAAAGATTCTTGCGTCGGAAATCCACTATCGGCTTTGGCGATTTGCAACAAACAGTGGGTACTCCATTGGCAAAGAATGTCGACGAGGATAGCCAGAAGATGCCGATATCACTGCACACCGAGGTGGTGGTACTTCTCAAATCCATCCACATTGGGGCGTTCCCGGGTACCTTCCACGACCACCAGATTTTCAAGCTCGTAGCCCTAGATGCCGAAGCACGTTTCTCCGTCGCAGCTGAGAATGGACGAATCCACAGCGGGCTTGGCCTCACACTGGGTCAGCTCAAGGTAGCATTATCCAGCGTCAGCCGGCCCGCGACAGCACAGGAACCAGCAACCGAGGACCTCTCGGTCCACGACATTGTAATGCGCGCAGAGGAATCTCGCGGGGGGACCATCCTCAACGTACCCCGTGTCATCGCAAGCATGGAAACCTGGCAAGCCCTCCACTCCAACCAGATCGACTACATCTTCAAAAGCTCCTTCGAAGGCAAAGTCGATGTCGGCTGGAACTACTCCCGCATAAGTTTCATCCGGGGCATGTGGACGAACCACACCAACACCCTCGCCAGCCGGCTGGGAAAGCCCCTCCCGCAGCCCACGGTGCAGATTACGCGCGAGCGCGACGAGGGCGGCGAAGGTGGGAAGGATACGGGCCAGGGGAAAATCACTGCGGTGGTCAACGTGCCGCAGTCGCGATATGTGTATACGGCGCTAGAACCGCCGGTGATTGAGACGCCGCAGCTACGGGATATGGGGGAGGCGACGCCGCCGCTTGAGTGGATTGGGCTACATCGGGATAAGTTGCCGCATATCACGCATCAGATTATTATTGTGACGCTAATGGAGATTGCAAAGGATGTGGAGGATGCGTATACGAAGATTTTGGGGTCGTCGTAGGTTGGGGGATCGGTTTTTGCTTTCCACTTCCTTCTTGCTGTTGCCTTACTTTATTGCCATCTCGAGGGAAGGTCTCTTCTTTTCTTCTTATTATTATTTATTAGTTCAATCCGTGTTCGTGTTTATATACCCTTTTGACTCATTGCCTTCTTCGTTGTTATTACTCCTACATCTTTCCTTGTTGTTGATGATCTGTTGTTTCAGTTTCACTCTAGATTGTTTTGGCTTAACAATGGTTTTTAATTTATTCTTTCTCTACTTCTTTCCCCCTCTTTTCTTCTTTTTTGAGGAGCCAAAAAATCAGGTGTTTTTAATATAAAACTATACATGTATTTTCGGTATTTTCGGGATAGGGGCATAGGGAATAGGAAACGGGAGTTCGTTGTTTGCTATATTTCCTCTGGGCATAGTGTCTATTACTGTTTCTCTTTCTCCGTTCCGTTCCTCCTGCTTTATTTAGTATTTAATAAGCTGCCACAGACTACGGAGTACCGTACCTCCGCTGCCAGGGTTGATTTATCAGCGGGACGAACAATGAGTCTCTCTACTTCGTCTTTCGGTTGCCCGAAACAAATAGCCTTGGAGGACAGTCATAATAAGATTTTACCAACGATTATTATATTCAAAATGAAGTAACTATGAGTGGGAAAGGGAGAGTGTGGCAATTTTACACGCGAGCGTGTGTGTAAGTACCACCGAGGTCACTCCCTGGCAGACGAGGGGCTGGAGGGAACCTTGCCAGTACCTACCTAAGTGGGTGAGTGGCTAACTTACGCAGGCAGTAAGTAAGCAGCCCCGCCATTTTCAGCGATTCCAACAACAGACAACAACAACAACAGACTGATGAGAGAGAAAAAGGACAACCGAGTTGCTGTTATTATTATTACTTACTACTACTCCGTCCGTACTACCTATACGACGACAACAACTACTGGAATGGGAGCAGAGTTGACTGAAGAACTGGTAACTAGAACTTAGAACTGGCAGAACGGGTGAGTGAGTTGCTTATTATTATTTAGTTAACTAGTTGTTAGTGTGGCTCGGCCGACTCGACTCCCCTCCTCGTTTCCTTTCCTTTTCCTGCTCGCTTTTCTTTTCTTTTTTCTTTTTTTTTTCTCCTTCCTCTCTCTTCTTCTTCCCCTCCTCCATCCTCCTCCTCCTCCTCATTCTCTCCCTCAACCTCCCAACCTCCCACTGAACTTTCTTCTTAACCTTCTGCTTTTTCTCCCTAGGTCTAGGTCGAGCTAGCTCTCGATTCTGTCTTGTGTGTTTCTTCTGCTGATTCCCACTCTGCTAAAGGATCAGAGTTAACCAAGGGAAAAAAAAAAAAAGAAAAGAAAAATATATTCTTTATCGCACAACCCCGCCTCTAGGGCCTTTTAACGAAACAAATCCGTCAAGATGGTCAAGTACGTTATACAACTCCCTCCTCTACTAGAACACCTATTCCAATATCTTCAATGTCTCTATAATGCTGTTTCTCATTGCTATTGAGAATGGCTTGTGTATCCTCTTTCCCCCCCCCCCCCGCTCGTCTGGCTACTGCTGGTGGTGTTTTTTTTTTTTTGTGGGTGATGTGGGTGGCTTTCTTATGCTGACAAATGTCTCTCTCCCACAGCTTCACCGTCGAGGAGGTACGCTAAATCTCTCTCTCTCTCACATACTCACTCCCTGGCAATGGCCTCATACCTCATACGGCTGCGTAGGGCCTGGTGTCCATATCACATGTCATGATAGATGGAGCACTGGTGTTAAAAATGGCAGCGGGGAACTAATGATGTGTTGTTGTTCTACTATAGATCCGTCAATTGATGGACCGTCCGGCCAACATCCGGAACATGTGCGTCATTGCTCACGGTATGTCGTCTCTTTTGGTTCTTATATAGGCATTGAAAGTATACGTTGCTAACGCACAGTGTATAGTCGATCACGGTAAATCCACTTTGACCGACTCTCTGGTCCAGCGTGCTGGTATTATCTCCGCCGCAAAGGCCGGTGAGGCCCGTTTCACAGACACCCGTCAGGACGAGCAGGACCGTGGTATCACCATCAAGTCTACCGCCATCTCCCTCTATGCACATCTGCGGGATGAAGATGATCTCAAGGATATCCCCCAAAAAGTCGATGGAAATGAGTTCTTGATCAACTTGATCGATTCCCCCGGTCACGTTGACTTCTCCTCTGAGGTCACTGCTGCTCTTCGTGTCACTGACGGTGCTCTCGTCGTCGTCGACTGTGTCTCTGGTGTCTGTGTTCAGACCGAGACTGTCCTCCGACAGGCCCTTGGTGAGCGTATCAAGCCCGTCTGTATCATCAACAAGGTCGACCGTGCCCTCCTTGAGCTGCAGGTTAGCAAGGAAGATCTGTACCAGTCGTTCTCGAGAACAATCGAATCCGTCAACGTCATCATCGCTACCTACTTCGACAAGGCTCTCGGTGATGTCCAGGTCTACCCTTACAAGGGAACTGTTGCTTTCGGTTCCGGTCTCCACGGCTGGGCTTTCACTGTCCGACAGTTCGCTGTCAGGTATGCCAAGAAGTTCGGTGTTGACCGAAACAAGATGATGGAGCGTCTCTGGGTATGTTGCTTGTCATTTATCATTAAAAAAAAAATTATTTTATTATTTTATTATCATAATAACCATTACTAACCCAATGTTTAGGGCGACAACTACTTCAACCCCAAGACCAAGAAGTGGACCAAGGTTGGCGAATATGAGGGCAAGCCTCTTGAGCGTGCTTTCAACCAGTTCATCCTCGACCCCATCTTCAAGATCTTCAATGCCATCACACACTCAAAGAAGGAGGAGATCAGCACCCTCCTCGAGAAGCTCGAGATCAAGCTTGCTTCTGATGAACAGGATCTGGAAGGCAAGCCTCTTCTCAAGGTTGTCATGAAGAAATTCCTGCCCGCTGCCGATGCCCTTATGGAGATGATGGTGCTCCACCTCCCCTCCCCAATCACTGCCCAGAAATACCGTGCCGAGACTCTGTACGAAGGCCCCGCGGATGATGAGGTCTGCATTGGTATCCGTGACTGCGACCCCAAGGCTCCTCTCATGCTTTACGTCTCGAAGATGGTGCCGACCTCTGATAAGGGTCGTTTCTACGCTTTTGGTCGTGTCTTCGCTGGTACCATCCGCTCTGGTCTCAAGGTCCGCATCCAGGGCCCCAACTACGTTCCTGGCCGCAAGGAGGACTTGTTCATCAAGGCTATCCAGCGTACCATTCTCATGATGGGCCGTTTCATCGAGCCAATTGACGATGTGCCTGCTGGTAACATTCTCGGGTTGGTCGGTGTCGATCAGTTCTTGCTCAAGTCCGGTACCCTCACCACCAGCGAGACTGCCCACAACCTCAAAGTCATGAAATTCTCCGTCTCCCCCGTCGTGCAACGCTCCGTCGAAGTCAAGAATGCCAATGACCTGCCCAAGCTCGTCGAAGGTCTCAAGCGTCTGTCCAAGTCTGATCCTTGCGTCCTGACCTACATCTCCGAGTCTGGTGAGCACGTCGTCGCCGGTGCCGGTGAATTGCATTTGGAAATTTGCTTGAAGGATCTTGAAGAAGACCATGCTGGCGTTCCCCTCCGTGTTTCCGACCCGGTCGTTTCTTACCGCGAGACTGTCGGTGGAACCTCCAGCATTACTGCTCTCTCCAAGTCCCCCAACAAGCACAACCGTCTCTACGTGACCGCAGAGCCCTTGGCCGAGGAAGTTTCCAAAGACATCGAGAGCGGCAAGATCGGTCCTCGTGATGACTTCAAGGCTCGCGCCCGTATTCTCGCTGACGACCATGGCTGGGACGTCACCGACGCCCGTAAAATCTGGTGTTTCGGCCCCGACACCAATGGCGCCAACTTGCTCGTTGACCAAACCAAGGCTGTCCAATACCTCAACGAAATCAAGGACTCCGTTGTCTCCGGCTTCCAATGGGCCACCCGTGAAGGTCCCATTGCCGAGGAGCCAATGCGCTCCGTCCGCTTCAACATCCTCGATGTCACCCTGCACGCCGACGCCATCCACCGCGGTGGCGGACAGATCATCCCCACCGCCCGCCGTGTCCTGTACGCTGCTACCCTCCTCGCAGATCCGGGTATTCTAGAACCCGTCTTCTTGGTCGAGATCCAAGTGCCAGAACAGGCCATGGGCGGCATCTACGGTGTCCTCACCCGGCGTCGTGGCCACGTCTTCTCCGAGGAGCAGAGACCAGGAACCCCACTATTCACTATCAAGGCATACCTACCCGTCAACGAGTCCTTCGGCTTCCCTGCCGACCTGCGTGGCGCGACTGGTGGACAGGCGTTCCCGCAATCTGTCTTCGATCACTGGCAGATCTTGCCCGGTGGTTCGCCGCTGGATGTTACCACGAAGCCTGGTCAGGTTGTTACGGAGATGCGGAAGAGGAAGGGTATTAAGGAGGTTGTTCCTGGTGTTGAGAACGTGAGTTTTTCCTTTTCCCTTTTTCCTTTTTACTCATACTATTTCATAAGTTCTTTGACTAATTTCATTCTTCCCTTTCTCGTTTCTAGTACTACGACAAATTGTAAAAAAAGGGCTGAATTTCAAAATTCTCTCTTCCCACGATGGAAAATAAAAATTTCCCAGATAAATAGAAACTGAACACCACTAACTGGAGGGTCAACAAATTTCAAAAAAAAAAAATTAAAAATTAAAAATTAAAAAAATTTAAAAAAAAAAATAATAATAATAATCATGATATCCGGAATCTTTAGTCCCCTCCACCCTCTCTCTTCACCCCTTCTCTTTCTTCATAACGATATTCGACGATTTGTTTTTTGTAAGAAAGAAACCAGAAAAAAATTCCTTACATTATTTGTCTGTGTGCGATTTGTCTTAGTTTTAACTTTTTTTTTAACTACTTCTTTTTATTTTTGTTAACTATTGAAGTTCCATTTTCCCTTTTAATTAAGTTGTAGAAAAAAGTAAATAAAATAAATAAATAGGCAGAGAAGCATATCTATCTACCCGTGGCCAATTTGCTTGAAGAAAAAAAAAACAATGTAAAAAGAAATAAAAACAACCATCAACAGCAATGACTAATCTAAGCGACGTACCACGTGATATGACATTCGCGCAACTTTGAACTTTGGTTGGCGGCAAATGGAGAACTTGAACTGATGAGCGTCGACAACAAGAACGGCACAGTCTGAAAGGATAAAACAAGGCCAAAGGGGATAACTTAAGCATAACAATGACAATGACCGGAATGCCTGCTTGTCTTTTTCAGGAATAAAAACAAGAAACATATCCTCCATCAATTGTTCTGTCTACGGACCAACCCCACATCGACATTTTTAACGCACTCCCGTTACCCTCCCGCGTCGCCGCGTTTGACCTAGGTTTGAGCGGGAAGAAGGAAAGGAAAGGGAAAGGGAAAAGAAAGGAAAGGAAAAAGGAGAGACTTGGATGAAATTCCCGTCATCCTCTTGAAGCAACGGTTCAGGTGGGAAACACGTACCGTGCGTGACACCTTACCTTCCGCGCAACAGTCGTTACATATATCACCGACCGACGAAGAGCGAACTCCTTTTCGTATTCCCCCCATCTTCTATCATCATCGCGGGTGCGCCAGAGAGTACAGGACAAAAGAGGAGGGGGCAAGACCTAGCGAGCAACCGAGGACATCACAAAACCCAAGGAACGCGAAAAAAAAAAAAAAAAAAAAAAAAAAAAAGAGATATTTAAATTCCGTGACGAGCCTGTCTTTTCCCACCGGAATTACCGATCGTTACCTTCTGTTCCCCGATACATATATATATTCGACATTCAGAACAAACTCCATTGTCTTCCGCCCTTTATTTTCGCATAGCTGCAGGGTCGCTTCTTCTTTTGTACAACCGAGAAAAAAGCGCTTAAACATGCAGTTTACGGAGGAGCAGGCGGCTGGGGTGAAGGCGTGGGTTGTGAAGAGGCTGGAGGATATGTCCGTGTTTTATTCCATTGCTCTTCTACCATTTTTCTTCCCGGGAGCACCCGTTCCGTGGTGCTTTGGTGAAGAATGCATTTCTAGAAACGGTGAATACTAATTTTAACTTTTTCCGCCTTTGCCAGATCCGATGCGGACTCCGATGTATTGGCAGATTATGTGCTCGCTTTGATCCGCTCTGATGCCCCCGATGAAGATATACGGAAAGCCTCAGTGGAGAATTTGGAGGATTTCTTGAAAGAGAGTCAGTAGTTTTTTACCTACTCCTTATAAAGCACGTCCTCAACTTGTCTAACTCTCTTTTCGGTCTTCGATATTTAGATACCGCCACCTTCGTCGATGAGATCTTTGCCAAATTCAACCCCAAAAAACCTGAACCTGTTCCAGCACAAGTTCAAAAAACGGGCCTGCAGCAACCTCCAGAAACCTCCACTTCCAATTTGGACGCTGCACCACAGCAGCCACAGCAACCACCATCACAGTCCATGCCACCCTTTGCGCAGACACAACCCATTACCCTTGGAACGATGCCCATGACTCCATTTGGCCACGGACAAACCCCCGCCGGCCCCGACCAACAAACCAGAGGCGGCGCCAGCTCAGCATCGAACTTCCATCGAAAACGCGCCTTCAACGAAGGTCCACAGGCCGGCGAGGACTATGATTCACATTACAACCTTGCCGATCGACCGTTCAAATCCATGCGGGGTCGCCGTGGTGGGCGCGGGGATGGTCGTATGGTTATAAATAATAATATTAGCAACGGGCGAGCCGGCCCTGTACATCTAAACCCGCCGCAGCAGCGCCAACAACAACAGCAGCAGCAGCAGCAGCAGCAACAGCAACAACAACAGGCCCGCGGCGGGTTCCAGCAAATGCCTCCTGTTCCCCCGCCGACTGGATTTCCCCCCTTCAACCCCAGCGATCCCATTGCGGCCATGATGACCCTACAGGCGATGGGGTTCCCGCAGATACCCGGCATGCCTCCGCTTCCTCAACTGCCCACGACGGCGAACGCGCCGGGCCCCAACCAGATGTCTGCGGCGGGTGCTGCTGTTTCGCCGCCCGCGCCGCCGGCTAGTATCCCGCAGAGATGTAGGGATTATGACACACAGGGGTTTTGTGTGTTGGGGAGTACGTGTCCGTACCAGCATGGGACGGATCATTTGGTGGCACCGGCGAGAGATGATGGTAAATATCTTATTTTTTTTCTTTTTTTCTTTACTCTTTTAGAATTGGGAAACTTTCATTTGCTGATATATTTTTTGTTATTGTAGCAGAATATGATCCGACGAAATCCAATATTGTCATGGATAGACCGCGGAGTTCGAGTGCTACAAACGGCCAGGGCTTAGCTGGGCCTTCACGGGGTGGTGATCGGGGCGGGCGAGGGCGTGGCCGTGGTAGGGGAGATAGAGGCGGCTTCAGTGGTCCACGACGGAATCGTGCGGAATTTTCACAAGCCGGACCAAATGAGGATAGATCGATTACCACGATTGTCGTCGAGCAGATCCCGGAGGATAAATTTGACGAGACCATCGTGCGCGATTTCTTTTCTGAGTTTGGTAATGTTGTCGAGGTTACTATGCAGCCGTATAAACACTTAGCCCTTGTGAAGTACGACAGCTGGGCTTCAGCACGGCGTGCCTGGGCTAGCCCGAAAGTAATCTTCGACAACCGGTTTGTGAAAGTCTATTGGTACAAGCCGGGATCCAAAGCTGACACAAACGGAGCCGGCGGCCATCATCCTCAATCCCCATTAGCTAACAAGCCAGATGAGAAACCCTTTGACCCGGAGGAATTCGAGAAGCAACAAGCCGAAGCGCAACGGCTGCACGAGGAGAAGATGAAGAAACGGAAGGAGACCGAGGAAGCCAGATTAACCCTCGAGAAGCAGAAGGAGGATCTCCTGAAGAGACACCAAGAGGAGAAGGCGAAATTATCCCAACGACTCGGCTCGTCTCAACAGCAGCAGCAGCAGCATGAAACAGACGGAACGAACGGCGCCTCACCTGCACCCGGCGATTCATCTATGGCAGAAGCATCGTCGTCATCTCCACATGGAGAGGAAAACGTCAGCGAACAGACGAAGTCATTGCGTGCGCAGCTTGCGGCGCTTGAGGCAGAAGCTAAAAGCCTAGGCCTCGATCCGGCGCTGTCGGACTCGCAGTACCCGGCGCGGGGCGGCCGTGGGAGGGGATGGGTTGGTGGTTATCGGGGTGGGCGAGGTGCCTTTGCGCCCCGTGGCCGTGGGGGTTACGATCCTTCGCTCCGGGGTGTTGGGACATATCGAGGCCGAGGCGGCGTGCGAGGGCGGGGTGGTGTGCTACGGCTTGACAATCGGCCAAGACGCGTTGCCGTATCTGGTGTTGTGTTTAATCCTGAGAAGGATGAGGCGCTGAGGCAGTTTCTTCTGGTATGTATTTTTTTTTTTTTTTTTTCATATGTAACAACCCGTCCATTACAAACATCTCTAGATAGGCTCTAAGGGAAAAAACAAAAGAAAAATAAAGGAAGGAAAAAGAAACTAACACCTTCCCACAGGGCATCGGCGAATACGAATCTATAGAACCAAACCCCGACCAACCCGATTCCCAAATCGTCTCTTTCAAAGACCGCTACGTCGCCGAGAAGCTCATGTACGGCACCACCGACATCCCATCGGTGGGCAAAGTTGAGTTCTCATGGGTCGCCAATGCGCCCTCGACGCCAGGGACCCGTGACGGTTCCGTATTTGCGCCACCGCTTCTACAACAGCAGCAGGAGCAGCAACAGGGGCACGGGAGTGGACATGGGCATGCGGCAAAGAAGGAAGACGAGGAGGATACGCATATGGGTAATAATGGTGTTTCGGGTAACGAGAGTGATCCGATGATGCTGCGGAAGGATGCGGGGGGTCAACATGAGGTTGATTATGACGTGGCGGAGATGGATGATACCTGGGCAGTTGAGTGAAGGAAGGAAGTTGATGGGTTGAGATACATAATTTTCCTCCTTCTTTCTCTTCATCTATGATCATTGTTACTACTAGCTTATACATTTTCTTTTTTTCTCTCTCTTTTTCCCATTTACTGATATTACTAGAATTGTGTAGGTATTTGCTTCGTGATATTTTGTTGTTTCCGTTCTCATTTCTATTATCTACTAACTCTGTATTCTATCGCTGTCTTCAGGAAGAGAAAAGATTTATTTTCGGTGGTTGCTATTTCTTTTTATATCTTTTATTTTTTATTTTTTTGCAATCTCTTTCTCCCTAGTGTTGCTATTTACTCCATCCGTTTCCCTTTCAGCTCCTCATCCTCTCGCTGCCCGTTTCCAGTCGCAAACTTTTGTATTTATAATGTAGAATTCTACCCCAAGCTGGTCCAGGCGCTTATATATATCGACATCGAGATTAATCAGCGCATTAGGCCAGTACTTATGCATTCTCAGTTCTTCTACTGAAGACGATACGCACGTAAATAGACCTGCTGCTGTCCTTCAGTGGGAGAGAAATACCGGATAGAATCCCATCTCTATAACTAGTGGGTGCAGAGGAGAGGTAAGATATGTTGGTATACATATACTCCTCAGACGAAAAGAGCGGGGAGCTGCACCGATTTGTACTCCGTAGTCAGCTTGGGTTTCAGGCCAGGGATTGATTATGATCGTCTGAGAATGAGATATGGGCAGTTACGCCGGACAAGGGGCCTAATAAAAGAACGTTAGTTGCTTATAGAGTCCGTCCATTTGGCTTAGACACCGTAGTCTGTTAATTGCCTCTCAAGCCAAAACAGAACAGTCCAAGGAGGAAATATTCCCCTGGCAGCGGCCCATCCCTCGCTCCAATAATGTGTACTCCGTAGCTCCTGTATAGTTACGTTACCCCGCTGTCCAAGAGTTTGCCAAGCGGGGAGATTGGGTCTCCATCTTCCGACAAATATATATCTATCATGTATATGTATATATATAAATATATATAATAATAATAGTATCTATATATACCCGGACACATATCCCCAGCTCATAAAAGTGGTTGTCTTTCGCCCTTCCCAAGTACCTAGCAGCTATTTTCCTCACTCCTACAGTAGCACTCTTCAACATCATAAACGCAGTTCGATAGCTACTTGTCTCCTCTACATTCCCGTGGAGAGTGTGTCTTCTTTAGAACTTCGGGAAAGGACCCCATGAGGTATATAATATAGACGCGCCAGCCTCATAATAACAATACCCGAGCCATGTCTGCGCGTCTCCAGGGCAAAGTCGCCGTTATCACAGGTAGTTCAAATGGGATCGGGAGGGGTATTGCGTTAAGATATGCTGCTGAGGGTGCCTACGTTGTCTGCTCAGATCTCGACCCCGCGCCGAAAGGTATGTTTGTTTTAACTTGTTCTCTTGTCACTCTTTGCTCGAAATGAATGCCTGGGTTTCGCATTTTGTTATTACCCTTGGTTGAGGTCAGGACGTATGAATCAGACTCCATTGGGTCAAGAAAACTCAAGCGTTTTGGGCTTGTAAATAGCCAGTTCAAAGGGCTTTTTCATGAAAATAGCCGTAGTTACCTGAAAAGCGCCTCGGTACTTTTGCCCTTCGCTCGTACCGACCATGCTACTTTTATTTCAACCAGGCACGCATCAATTGGATATACTATCAGGTTCAGCTGCTTTGCATAAATATCACAAAGCCATCGCACCCCGTCCACACAGCACTCTCAAGGGGAAGGAATCAGATAACCGCTAACACCCATTTTGACACAGGTGATGGTGACAAACCCACCCACGAAGCCATAAATGAAACATACCCTGTCGTTCTAGGCAGTATAGGCGCAACTCGTGCTGTATTCGTCAAAGCGGACGCCTCCGTTTCCGATGATGTAGAAACCCTGGTTAAGGAGTGCGTGAAAGCATTTGGAAGGTTGGATATGTAGGTCTTCTCCCACCCCCCCCCCCCCCCCCCGCGGACCTCAATACAACCAACTGTCTTCCACTGAGGCCCCCCTTTCTCTACACCCAACAACCACCGCCTTGCTTTTTTTACCTTGTGCAAGTAGTCGTAAGGCGAAAAGAAAAATCAAGTGTGAACAGCGCGCTAACAAAATGAAAACCATCAAATATTTATACGTGTATATAGTATGGTCAACAATGCCGGTATGACCCACGCAGGGCACCAAACTGCCGGAGCCCGTATTCATGAAACCCCCGAGGGGTCCTGGGATAGGGTCATGGGCCTCAACGGGAAGGGCGTTTGGCTTGGATGCAGTAAGTTTGTATATATATATATATACATAGACACCGCATCCCATCGTTCCATCACAATGCAATGCAACCAACCCCGTTATGTATAAATAATGCAATCTGACCAAAAAACCCACAAACGAAAGAATTCGCCGCGAAGCATATGCTAGCCCAGGACCCCCATCCGAGCGGTGATAGGGGCTGGATTATCAACATGGCCTCCGTATACGGGAGCGTTGGCGCAGCGAGCTCCAGTACGTACTCCGCATCGAAGCACGCGGTGGTTGGGATCACAAAGTCTGTGGCTTTGGAATATGCGAAGGATAGAATGTGTGTTCCCCCTTTTCTTTATTCCCCTTCAGTTTCTTCAAGCTATCCCCTGATTAAATTTCCGACTTTCTAATAATAATAATGATAATAATAATAATAATAAACAAATACATAGTCACGTAAACGCCCTCGCCCCAGGATGGGTAGAGACAGGTCTTATCAAGCCCTTCGCGGATGCCGCCAGCGAGAACCCTCTCAGGCGGGCATTCCACGCCCACCTAGTCTCAATGCATCCGTTTGATGCGCGGTTGGGCAGAGAGGAGGATATCACGGGTGCCGCAGTGTTTTTGGCGTCGGATGATGCCAGATGGATGACGGGGACTACGTTGGCAGTTGACGGGGGGTATGTGGCGCATTGAGCGGGGTTGAGATGGGACTAGATGAGATATAGAAGGGGTGGAATGGGGTGCGATGGGATGGGTGGGTGCAAACGCGGTGTGGTCGATATAGATGGGCCCCAACCCCCGTCATAGCACTATGAGATCAGAGTCAGTGAGATGAGAGAAACGTTACACATATGTAGCCAAATGAGTAAAGCCCAAGCCAATTGAATGATTTTGACTGGCAGGAGAATTAACTAGTGGTGATAGTTTTGAAAAACTTCACAGCATTCCAGAACAGTGACCTTACTCCAAAACTCCCAAAAGCAGGGAGGGCATAGAAAAGAAAGAAAACTCAAAACCAAGCACAAGTGCCTAAATAAACCGTAGAATAGCCACAGAAAGAGAAAATTAGCAAGGCACTAGAAATATAGCGGATGCATGCACATATATTATAAGTATTCAAGGCCGGTGATCAAGGAGCTTTTCATATTAAACAATGCAAAACAGAAAATAGACAGATAAGCCGGAGTCATCACAAGTGTACATACACAATGCATGCATAGCGGTACAGTTCAAAATTGAAAGAAGGTAAGAAGTGAGAGATCAAAAATACGGGTCATATCAGTTCTGTCATATCACGTCATATCGGGTCGTCATGTTTCGCGGTGAAGAAAATAATCAAAAAACATATGTACACACCATGAAACGGGATATAAAAAGAATATTCAAACGAATTTCGCAAAGAAGGAAATATATATCCTCAGGTGGAGAAGGGTAATTCCAGGTTTATTTTGTTGCTGGGTTTAAATTCCTGGCTGGATGAGGTCGAGAAAGGATAATGAGAGGGGAACGAGGTTGTTCCCACAGTAAGACTTTAAAAAACAAGAGGATAGGGAGCGTAGTGGGATCGTTGTTTCATAAGCGGAAATCGACCTCAAAGAACAGGTCCAGTCCGAGCTCTAACGTGAAAGAAGACTACTTTCTCTCCTCTTAAAACGTTCCGCTGTTCTCTTGGAAGGAAAATAACGGTAAATTCCCGCCACCAGGAAAAAGAAACCGTTAGCTCAACAACATCAGTAACCTTTCCTAGATATATCGGTGGTCGGGGCTTCAAAAATCTATCCACGCCTGCTCGGTTGTAATGTTTCCCCCCTGCCATTTTGGTTCATAAAGCGCGTAAGCCAGTCACCTTCTGACTCACTCTCGCTATCACCTAGTTCGTCTAGCATACGGTCAATCGCATCACCCGCTTCATGTTCCCGTAGGCCGCTAGGCCCATTTCTTGGATACGCATCACTCGAGCCGTTGCTCGTATCGTCATCGGCAAAACTAACCTTCCGGGTAGGACGGGTCACATTCGGGGTGCTATCATGGCGTATGCCAAGACCCAAACGGCTCTCAATGGACGAGGACTGTTGAGATGAGGATCTAGGTAAGCAAGGAGGAGGGAGGGTAAGGTGCGTGCCGCTATAATCACTTTGTTGCGTTTGCTGGGAACTTGGATGATAGCCTGAATTTTCGGGGCTTGACATGAATAGCAATGTTTCGATAGCGTCCTTCTCCATTAGAGCATTTTGAGATGGTGTCCGTTGCTTCGGGAATGGCATCGTCTTGGCAGCGGCGGCGGCGGCGGTGGTGGTGGAAGAAGGAGTCGCAGACTGGCGAGATAATTGAGGTTGCGATTGAGGCGGTGTGTCGAGAATAGCCTCGGTCGAAGTGGTTGTTTGGGTCGAGGAAGCGGAATATCCTCCATCTGTAAGTGCCTGACTTCGAGGATAATAATTATAGCTCTCGGAAGCGGTCTGTAATAGGCCGTCATTAGGATTTGGCCGGCGACGCGGTCCATTGCCGTTCCCAGATACAATATCAGCAGGTGGAGCAAGACGCGGTGTATTAGTGTTTGTGAGAGTAGCCGTGGGCGGAATATATGTCCTGGCATTCCTATTTGGCGACGAGGATTTGTTACGACGAGCAGGTTCTTTCATTGGAGAAATAGACGGAATCGTGGTAGTGAAATTAGGATCCCGAAGTTTGGACAATCCATGGTGCTGTGGAGTGCCGCTAATACTATGTCGACCGCGTGAGTGCGATGGTCCTCTAGGAGAGCGGAACGGGCTTTTGAAGCCTAACGATAGGGAAGACTGAGACGCAGATGAATATTCCAATCGTGGAGGTACTGTGTAGGCTTCTTCCAACTTGTGGATTGGCCAATCTTTCTCAACTTTCGCTGCTGCGTAAGATAAACGCGCACGAAGCTGGGCGGACAACTGGAGGATGACCGGTTAGCACAAAAGATACGCGGGATAGAGAGCAGTATTCTGCTAATCGAGTATATGATTACCTCCGCAATTCTACTACCAGTTGAATCAGTGCTCATTGTCCTGGAATGGCGCGTAGTCGTGACTGTTTCTGGACTTCGGAGAGAGGCTGGGGAAGCAGCCGACTTCACATCCCCGCTAGCCGTCCTCTTTTGTCCTTGCGAAACTTCGATGGCCGTGTTTGGCCCCGGTCGGCGATCAATTGGGGATTTTACAACGGTGGACTTGAGAAGACCAGCTGAGCGGAGCGATCCGATATCAACACTTCGGGAATGGGCATGGGCATGGGAGCTTGTGGGAGCTTTCGATGGAGAGCGGGGAAATGAGAGCGGCGCATAGTCGTGGTTTGAGAGTCCCGATAACGGGGTCGATGGAGTGAGGTTTGCGTCAATTGCATCAGCAAGGGAGGATTGGGTGATAGTGCTGGAGGATGTGTTAAGGCGAGGGAGGATATTGTTGTTCATAGCTGAAATCGGTGACGATAGCTTGTTAGTATCCGTAGCATTAAAATGAGTAGGATAATTCGGGTTCGTCATTTCCCTGTCGCTGTACAATGGGACGGCCGATTGAAAATTAGAATGGTCGTTGTTAGGGAGGGATATGTCGTTGACGGGTCCCGACGACGGAGCCGGAACAGGTGGCTGGTTCGAGTACATTGCACCCGCTGGGCTCCGAAAGCGTTAAGAATACTTTCTGTTGGAGATGGCCCAAGTTGGTAGAGGGCTAGAATAGGACGGAAAAGGAGAAAGGTACCCAGCGTCCTTGATATATTATTGCGGGGGTGATGGCGGTTGCTTTGGTAGTTGCTCTGATCGGATCGGCCGTCGCGTGGCTGGAGGTTTCTACGATGACTGTCGAAAATAATTCGTTCCACACAAGCAATAATGTCACGCGAAAAGCAGACGGCCCACAGTCTAGCTCAGACTACCTTAGGCTAAGCAAGATCTTTCTGCTTTTGACCAAGGCAGTCCTCAGCCACGTTTATCTGACCAACTGACACCCTTGTAGCGTAGCTCTCTGCAGCAGCCAGGTTACAGAGGGTTCGGCGCACGAAAACTAATGGGTCGGTAAGCGGACAGACAGCGAAGTAGCGTGTGCGCGAGTAAACTGAGCGAGACCAGCCATTTTCCAGCAATGACAATGTCGTCTGCAGCCGAGTTTGCTCTGCTAGCCACGAGCCTGACACTGTGCCTCGAGATATCTCTTCAACACATGCCAATCGTCGCTCTGCGTCGCTGGACAACATGTCACGGATGAGGTCTCGACTTGCCGGATCGAGACGCGTCGCGGCGCGGTCATGTGCGCTAACACGTGACATGGAAAACGAGGTCACGTGTATTTACACCAAGTTGAAGAATGATGTCGAGGAGAAATAACAAGCTGGGCCGTTTGTATAGGCATATATCTAAGCTAATCCTTATGTAATAAATCACATATAAACGCTGGCATCCCAACCGCTGCTTTTGTAGCAGAGGGAGAAAAAAAAAAAAAAAAAAAAAAAAAAAATCCGGCCAAAAGAAAATGTCATCGTGGCCTAGTAACAAATCGAAAGCCCGACAAGTAAATATAGAACGCCTCCAATACAGTAGTTTTAACACTTAGATTAAAACCAGGGATGATTCAATAATCATCACCTTCTTTTCTTCCCCGTTCTCCCTCCCTCTCCACCATCATTCTTCCGCTTCTTCCCCTCCCGCTGCCAATACTCATCCCGCTCCCGCTTTTCTCTCTCCGCTTTCTTCTCCGCATTCTCCGCAACCTTGGCGCGATAAACCTTCCTCCGCTCTTCCTGCGCAGCTTGTCTCTTCGCGATCTTCTCGTTGCGCATGGTGGTGAGCTTCTGCAGCAGGTCGCGCGCTTTCTTCTCTTCTCCACCCAAAACCACAGCGCGTTTCTGCAGATATGACTGACTTTGACGCGGTCTCATCTTCGTAATCTGAGATTTGAAAGGAAGTTCTGCAGCTAGCTGACGAGGGACGCGGAGGGGATTGAAGTGGCGGGTGGGGCGCTCGATTGGCCTATATGCGGAGTCCTTTTCAAGCGGGGTGGGGATATTCTGCTCACGGCGAACTTCTCCTGTCAGACGCATGCCTTTCCAGCCGTGTCCATCTTCGTCATCCAACAGGTTGGTGACGGGATTGTAGTATCGGTGCGGCTTGATGGGATACCAAGCACGCAGGAACACAATATCGCTCATGAGGATTTTGTCCTCAAACGTGGCTCGGAAATGGCCCTCCGGGCGGCTCAAGGCGCGCTTAATCTGGCCGCGGATTCCGGAAACGGTGCGAATGCTGGCGCCTTCGAATTTGGCAATTTCGATAGCGGATGTAAACATATCTTTGATGAAGGCTGTGTTCCGGAAGATCTTGTACGGGTATCCGGTTAGTTTGAGCTTCTTCACAATCTCCGTAGTCTCGTCCACATTCAGAACAACTCCTGTAGCCGCTATTCGGAACCCTGGGTTTTTATTCGAGAATGATTGCACACAGCAAAAACCAGTGTTGGGAGCTACGAGAGGACCGTAGAAAGTACCAAAACAATGCATATGCTCAGGGGTATATTTCAACATGCGATTTCGTGTTCGGGAATCGGAGATGCTGTATACGGGGGTAGTCTGGAATCGACGCCAGCCAAGAGAAAATATGAGGGGATCGTTGGTCTTCAGGATTTTCTTGTGCCATCTGTGTCTTTTAATCCTAACCTGGACAAAGCCAAATCGATCTTCCGTAGGTGCCAGGCCCCCAACAATAACCGGGAAGCGCGGGTTAAATCTTGTTGAGAACTCGCACGGAACATTTTCTAACACGATTCTGGCATATGTCCCGGCTTTGTACCCCTCCGCCCTCGCTCTGGATAGTGCATCGAGGGAATCAAATTCCGCCCGGTTGACATCAAGCTGCTTTTGGAGCTTGGCCTTTTGTGCATCATACCAATCGTCTTCGCCAAACTCCTCCTCATCCTGCTTGTCGCGTCCATCTTTGGCTTTCCCAAAACCTTCGCGATCCTCTTCTTCGAAACGAAGTCGTAGCTCCTCTTTTCTCTTCGCATTTCGTTCTCTCTCCGCCTCAAGATCTTCAGGTTCGTCGTTCTCGTCGCCCTCTTTCTCTTCCTCTCCATTGACGACCTTACCGGTTTCTAGGTCCTCGAACACACCGTCTCCTTCGTCATCCGAATCATCAAACTCTCCGTCCTCATCGTCATCTTCACCTTCATCCTTACCATCCGATCCGTCACCCTTGGAAACTTTAGCACGGGCAAACCGACGTCGGATGGTTTGGATATTATCATTGTCTTCCCATTTTTTTTCAAGCTCCTCATAATCAAATACGGGAACAGTTCTATCCTCTGATTCCTCTGTGTCCACATGCGTTTTCTTGAAAAAATCGTCCTCCTCCTCGTCCTCGTCATTCTCATCATGTTCATCATCATCCGCCCCGGTCCATCTATTGACAACATCCTGAGGGGTTATCGACTCGTCATAAAGCATTCTTGTGAGGTCCGCAACACGATAAGGAATCCTTTTGCCAAATGCAGCCTTGGCATTCGCAGCCAGGTTTTCCTTCCAGCGTAGGGTTCCATCATCGACTTCATCCGAATCGTACTCGAGATCACCTTCGCTCTCCAGTTCCTGGTCCTCAACCGAAGATATCGATCCAAGATCAGAATCACTATCTGCAAAGGCGATATCATCCTCATCACGTCGAGCGGCGCCATTTTGCCTTTCTCTAAAATTTGTCTCAAAATCAGCCGGGGGCATGACCTCGTCCTCATCCTCCTCGTCCTCTTCTTCCTCTTCTTCTCCATTTCCCTCCGCACTATCATCTGACTCGAAGCCTTCATCTTCGTCCCCCAAAACATCCGTCCCATGTTCCTGATCGTCCGTGAATCGGACCGTTCTTTTTTGCTTCCGTCCAACTTCCCGCTTTTCATCCTCATCTCCACCAGCAACTGCCTCTCCATCCCTAAACAGCCGGACCCCAGACTCCGCCTGCCCGAGTAATTTCCGTTCCCCTTGTAATCCAACAACAAGTTGCTCCCCAAGGCCCCTCTCCTCATCGCCATCGGCATCCCTGTCAAAATTAGAAGTCTTAATATCGATATACACCGCATCTTTGTCAACGAGCACACCACCGACATCAGACATGGGCGCAAAAAGGAGCTTCTGTTTCTCCCCCAGCCTTCTCCGGCTCGACTTGCCTGTCGCCTTCGCGATTTCCTGGTCCATGAAGGGTGTTGGGCACGGGTCAGGTAGGGCTTCTATGGACGAGACACTCAGGTCCCCAACACCGGGCACATGCACCCGCGCACCTACCGCGGGGAAATTTGTACCGCGAAGATATCCATACAACGCAACCGTCCTATCACACTTGGGATTTTCCTCAATAGCTGTCGGTGGCGTGATATCCAGGAAGCGATCAGCGAGACAATAAGGGTGCGAGTTCCTCCATATAAGCGGCCTCGGATTTTTCATGACAGACAAAAACCGCGACAGATTATGTATCTCTCGATCCGGGTACCGCCCGTTAATAACGCCAGACAAATAAAACAATTTCGCGCCCTGGTACAATTCACTCCAGAAGCGATGTTTTAGCCGCTTCTTCGCCTGGCGGAGCGTGCTCTGTTTCTTAAAGAGGTCGAGATGTGTGAGGATCCCGAAGACGTTCCCAGGCATCCCGCTCGAAGACAGCGCGTTGAGGAATTCCATCGTCTCCATCTCAAAGCCGTAGTTGCCATCGATCATCAGCAAGACAATATCCGCAATCTTGGCGACATCAATCATGCTCGCCAGGGAGTCGGAGGGGCATTCGAGGAACGTTAACCGTCTTCGTTTCGACGTTACGACAGTGAGAGGCCCGGCTGGGGTGCTCAAGCTCTGCTTCGTATATCGCTTAATGAGAGATTTGACGAGAGTGGTTTTTCCAACCTATTTTTGAAAAAGATTCCAGAGAGATTAGCATCCACGTATCCAAACAAAAATTAAGGCCTTTATCTCAAGAACCAGTCTAGCAAACATACACCCGGAGGCCCAACCACCGCAACGATAATCGGGGGCGCCTCTTCGGGCAGGCGATCCACGAGCGGGACATGGAGTCTCTTTTCTTTAATCTATATATTGCCCCGGGGACGGTTAGTTGGGAGCAGCAAAATGGAATTTAAAAAGTCCGAACGAGGGGGTTCGGGAGGGGCGCAACGAACGTCATGAGACCTAGCGGCCTGTTTCTGTAGACGACCGGCATGCGCGACAGCAAAAGCCTTGGGATTTGCGCCTGTTTTGTTCAAGACAAGAAAGTAATACATATATTAGCTTATAGCTCCGTTCCCATAAAGTGAAATCTAAAAACCTCCAACGAAGGAAAAGAGTTGCATACCAGCTTGATCCCTATTCTTCTTTTTCTTCTCCTTCGATTTCCGATGTGGTCTGTTCGTCTGCTCCTCCATCTTGAAAAAGAAGCAAAAACAAAACAAAAAATAAAAAAAATAAAAAAAATCTTGCTCTCTCAAGAAAAGTAAAAAAAGAAGAAAAAGCCAAAGGGATTGAAAACAGAGCTGTTTGTATCTCCTGTTATCCCTCACCCAGATCCCGCTATGTCCAAAATTTTTGGTTTTCTCTGGAGAAATATTGGTTGGGTTTATCCGAGCCGGCTAGCCGCGTTTGCCCAGACTGGATTAGCGCGACTTGCCTTGTGATTGGTCATTAGAAGCGCCACAACAACTTAAAGTTCCTGAGGAAGAACGCGTATACCAGCTTAGTTAAATCAGGACGGAATACGGAATAGAGAGCCCCTTGAGCTTGTGGTGCAGGTTGATTAATTTATTTTACATTATTTAGTTTCCTGATGGAGCTTTGAAAGGAATTGGTACGCCCATTGACACCATTAACAACATGTGAGTCGTGACAGGCATCAAGCTTGTAGCTCCTGTTTGTTTATCCCAATACATGATGGTGTTCACCTGTTATGATATGTTTCAGTGAAAGGAAAGAAAAAAATAAGTATGTCCAAAATATCAAAGAAGTTGGTAAAACCATTTTAAAAGAGTAGGTGATATATCTGCTGATGGGAGTGGGTTACACCTTAGTTTTGTGAAAATGGGTGCATAACAACTAACCAGCAGAGAGGGCTTATATAGTCCATCGAATATCTCAACTCTGATAGTAATGGTAAAAGAGCGCATCCTCATCCAACCAAATGAATGTATACATCTATCCCAAACTATGTAACTAGTCATTACGGTATGCATTCGCTCCTCTTATTTCCAAGTCCATATAATACCCAACAGCAGACCACCAAACTTTCCGCTACTCCGCATCATCCAGACCTTTGTACAGTACAGGTAGCCTATCTATCATATCCTCCGGGCGAACGGCCACACAGTTTTATGGATGTGAGATTGTGCCAGCCACCACCCGTAAGAAGAGGGAGTATGTAGGCCACGCACTGTGCATCTATGGGTATTGTGACTCTCGAATTGTTGTTGTAATCATAAAACCTAACAGGATGACTGCGGCGAGGGCGATGGCGAGGGCGAACATGACGGTGCTCACAGAACAGCCCAAGCTGCTTCTGACCCCTTATCGACGCGCAGTGATCCTTCTGAGAGAAGGTAAAATACTCCAGAGAATGCTTGAGGTTGTCGATGAGAGATGTCCACATTTTATACCTGAAGCAAACACGTCTGCATCCTTTCGCTACAATTGTATCCGAACATTGTCTTGCTATCTCACGACTGTGTCTGAAGATGACCTGGGACACAAGAACAGGCCGGTCTTGTGATAGATATAGAGAAAGGAAAGATTGAGGGAACAGACCATTCCAAAACAAGAGGAGATTCACTAGAAGTACATCATTACTGGGCACATCATTCAGCAACAAGTGTTGGAAAACACATGCAATCATCTATCGGTCACTGAGGTGCAGGCAGGGAATCCACATGGAGAGGGCTAGGTGAATTCAGGCTCCTGAAGGCAGAAGGCCGGCGAGGAACGAGGGGGAAGGTCAGGGAATATGATTGGAATTCACGGCAGGCTATGCGCGAGCCTGCCCAGTGAAGAATCATCCTAGACAAGCTTGGAGAAATGGGCGAGAAGGTTGGCAAAGGCCAGGAGAGCGCTCAGGCATAAATAGAGCAGATCTCCCTCAGCGAAACAGCTCTCTGTAGCCTTATCTTTTCCGACTTCTACTAAATGTTCCCCAATCTCATCCCTTCCAGTCTTCTGCGGTCCGAAGATGTTCGCGATGAGAAGGGATATCTGTCCAACTTTGCTTGGTTGGTAACAAATTTGTGAGTTGAATTGGGTAAGGAATTCTTACCAACCGTATTCACTAGTTTCGTAGCTGGGGTGCAACCCAGATGTGTACAAAAGCAATCTTGCGCTGCATAACGAGACCCCCTTTTTTTGACTATTGTGGAAAGTTATTTCTGTAGAGTGGTAATTAGCAAAGTAATCCACCGAATGAAATTGGCGACAATAATATCAACACCATGACTGTTTCGTTTCTAGGGCCGCGCTAGGATGACTGACGTTCAACTCTGTCGCATGCACCACCTAGTAGTGTAGATAAAATGGAGATAGCTTGCGTTTTCTGCAAGAACTTCTTGGAGATGTCCTGTCGGATAACTAGTACAAGTGGTGGCCCAAGAGTCTTGGGAATTATATATATATATATATAGACACATGTCAAAGGCTCAAAGGTTCAAAAGTTAGTTAGGAGAGAGAGTTTGGTTTGCTTCGTTAGCTTAGTTGACTATTTGTATATCTGAGATGTAGTGCCCGTTCGTACCAACATGATAGTTGAATGGCTACCGTACCTTGCTTCTACTCCGCATGGCCGTCCTGGCTTCTGTGCTCCATTGAAGTCTTTTGAAGGACTTGAAGCAGAGCATCGATTTCAGCATCGTATTCTTTCTTACCGTGTCTTCGATAATCATTATCGATGGCAGGCGACACTTCACCAGACTATAAAGCTTTGTTCTTGCAGCATCATACTCTTTCCACATTTTTCTTGTGAAGTTTCATAATTGTTCTAATGAGATGATTGCGCATGATACAGCCCAGCCCAAGCTACTACTAACAGCACGCCGGACCTTCAACATAACCCATCCCGTGCCGCCTATCAACTTTTGTTATTAGTATTATTCTGGAAGATAGTTTACCCACCAGGGCAGTCACCAAGTATTAGCACCGTTGTCTTTGTCATTGTGAAATGAGCAAATGTCTGGGTTACCTCGACGGGGGGATGAGAAACGCTTTATATACAATTTGTTGCGGGCTCAAGGGCATCTCATCTTTGGGTCAAAATCGGCCACGGATATGTCTAGGTGCCAAGCTAAAGCAACCAATTGAAGCAGTTGGCTCTCAGCAGGCCTTCCTCTTTGAGTATTGTGCAGGAAGATTAGTTCCTGTCAAAGAAGGCGGGGTAAAGCACAGTGCTCCCGGCGTTGGCTTGGTTGAGAAGATTCTTCCTCAGGCATTCTTCTGAGGAGGATAGAGACTGGAATTCAACCAGTCTTGTCCTCAAAACGTCTCGCTCTTTCTGCGTTTGCCAAACCCATATCGACCCAGATAGAAAGGGAAAAGAAGCCAAATGGGTATTGCTGACAACAAAATCAGGACCATAACTCCAGATAAAACATCCTGAACCAAGGAAACTCCGCGTCGAAAGATTGTAAGATTTTGGCAACCCATTTGTCCCAGTCATCATCCCATCTGCTTGCACACCATTTCCACGGAGTATTCCCAGTAGCCAGGGTACCATCCAGCTAACTCCCAGTCTATGAGAGTCACTTCGTATTGGTTGGCATTTGAATTTGCGTCGCTGGGAAGCCGTCTAAATAACTATGATGTTTTTGCGCTGAAAGTCCGCACACGAAAACGTTGGGTTGTGGCCGCGGATATGTGGTGCGGGTATCAGCGGTCGCAAGATATTTCAAAGCCGGAGCCTCATTCAATGCAGCTTCAGAGGTTGAAGGGACCATTGATGGAGGGTGTAGGCTGTGAGGACCAGAATATACCATGCAGAAGATGGCATTTCCCAATACTTCCAAAGTACCCTGGTGAGAAGATGCCGCGTAGTTCATCAAAATACCCTCTGAGTGTCATGGCAATCTCAGATTTCTCATCATGGGTCAAGTATGCCCACTGAGTATCCAGGCTGTCTGTCACCTTTGATGTATTCCTTGACAACATAATTTGTTGATGACTCGGGTTCATTGTAAAGTGCATAAACCCGTGGGACCTTAACTTTGGTCGCTTGTTGGACATTTAGCTCTTCCAGGAGGTCAACCTGGTCTGCCCTGCCGTACTTGACAACAAAATGATCACTAACTTTAACCACCCTGTACCCGTTGTGGCTGATTAGAAGAGGGGCTTCTCTGGATCTCAGCTGGTGTTGGGAGGGAGAGAACATGGCATATCAAGGAGCAAACCAATTCCAAGCCCTGAGCTAGCGCGATCTGGGTATAACTAGCTCAGGTGTGAATCAGGCGAGGTAGAATGAGTACTTAATCTCTAACTATATGATGATGATGATGATGATGATGGCTTCACTATTATTACTCTAGACGGATTTTGCAACCACTGCGCGCAACAAATCCTTGGCGCAACAAAAATCCTATTATTATTGCTTAGTTATCCACGCGAATAGATGCGGGGGAGGGGAAGGGACAGGAAGCAGAGGGAGGAGAATGGCAGTACACATTGTACATGTACATGTACATGTTACAATAATGATTGAAAATGTATGGGATGATGATCTCTATTATTGAGTGCATACATAAATGCACTCAAGACAACAGCAGCATCTGCAGTAGTGATCAGCAATGGAACCAGTGGAGATAGACAGGTAGTTAATATGTATTCAACAATGTCAAATTCAAATCCAGCAGATTCAGAGCAGAACATCTGTGATTTCAATCTTACTATTGAGTTTAGATTATATTACTACTATATTATTATATTACAATTATATTATTGATATTATCATTGTTATTATTGTTATATTATATGTAAATAATCAAGGTGCCGGGAACTTACTTGCATTCTTCCATTGATTCCTTGGGATAACTAACTAACTTAGTTAAATAATGGTTAAATAGGTCAAACCCTCTCCCCGTCTGCCTGGTTCCTCCCGCCTTTATAACAAACATCCTTTCTCTTCCTCTTTATTTTCTCTCTCCCTTTTCCCTTCCAAGCTTGTTAAACTTTTTCTTATCCGTTTGAGTAACCAAGACATTCGCGCAAGCATTCGGTCATAATCAACCCAACTTCTTGTTCTGTTCCTAGCTTCAACCCCACAACTACTAACCTATCCAACCTCCAACCTTATCTATTTAAGGCCTATATCCCTCACCTTCTTCCCCTTCTTTCTTCTTTTTTCTTTCTTTTTCTTTTTCTTCTTCTTCTTCTTCTTCTTTTCTTTCTTCCTTCAACCTTAATTCCTATCCGAAAACCCCCTCTACCAACCACCAACTGCCGTGCGACAGTCAGCACCAATAATCCCCAGTCCAAGTCAAAGACCAAACAAGTTCAAGACCCAACAGATATCTACATCAAGAGCCACCATGCTCTTCAACGTTGGTTATCCCTCGTCTCCCCTTCTCGACAGCATCCAAGTAACCTATAGGCATCAACTAACGCTTACTCCCTTTGCGCGTGACAGGTGACTCTTAAGAAGGACGCTCCCCCGGAGGAGTTGGAAAGGTATGTTCCCGCATATACATACAACTCCCTTTTTCCCCCCCTCCCCCGTCATGCCAACTCCTACCCCTCCAAACCCGCCATCTCTTTTTACCCTTGGCGAGTGCCTTAACAATATTTACCTCCGCAATAAGAAGCTCACGAAAAAAAAAAAACCTAAAATCCAGAGCCAAGGAAGAAGCCAGAAAATCCGGCGGGACCATCAAGCACGAGTACACCTTGATCAAAGGATTCACGTACGACCTCCCTACAACCAACCCTTTTCTTTTCCTGATGCCTTTCGCTCTTCTCCTTCTCCATACATACATACATACATACATACATGAACCCATACAAGCACAACTACGTCCATCTACAAAGGATGCGATTAGCCTTCTACACCCCCCCCGGACTAAAATTAGCACAACCAGCTAACCACTTCATGGATATCACACGTCCTCTTAGCGTTGAGTACCCCGATGACCACATCAAAGTCCTCGAATCCACCGAACACCTCCACGTCGAGCAGGACGGTGAGGTCCGCACACGATAAACAGCCAGCCCCCGCTACAACCTTAACTTTCTTTCCTTTCCTCCGCAGCTTAAAAAAAAAAAAAAAAAAGAAAAAAGAAAAGAAAAGAAAAAAAAAGAAAAGAAAAAACTTCAACAGAAAGGGAGGAAAACAAACCAAAATTCCTTTTGCGATACCCTCGATATCTTCTTGTAGAGGGTGGAGGGGGGGGGAGGGGGGAATGGAAGACAGGGCAGGGGTGATGGTGGGATTTTGAACGAGAGGAGAAGAGCAAGTGCATGCGTGTCTCGGATGATCAGAGTACGAGGAAAAAGCGGGTGAGGAGAATTGAGTTAATTGTTATATTTATGGGACATTGGATTATGGATATGGATTTTAATGGATTTTATGAATTTAACGTGTTTTTTGCGATTATGCGATCATGCGAGTATGGACGTGCGATAGGTTATATAAGTTATGCAATGTAAAGGAAAAGGAGAAAGAGGGAAAAGATAACAGAAAAGAAGAAGAAAAGAAAAAAAAAGAGAGAGCTGTTGTTTTTCTTTTCTATGTATCTTTTTTTTCTTTTTTTCTTTCTTTTTTTTCCCCCTTTAATGATGTCATGGGATGAACAGCACAAATGAGACACTTTTCAAAACTGAGATTGAATAGTTAACTACTTGATATGTTTTTTTGCTGCTCTTTCTTTTTCTCTTCTTGAGTTACTTAATGTCTAGAGAGAATTCTTCACTTGCTTTGCAGATGATTTGACTGTGCTTGCAGTTAAATTAACTAGCTATGCATATCTGATCTTCTCTCCTCTTTAACTCTCATACGGAGTAACACAGAAATGAAAAGGATAAAAATGTAAAAAGAGCAAAAAAAAAGATATGAAAGGATATGAAAAGGAGAAAAAAATAAATAAATAAATAAAAGAAAAGATAAGAAAGAAAGAAGAAGAAAAAGAAGAAAGAATAAAGAATAAATTTAATCAATGACCTCATATCTTCACAGCATCCCATCATCCCGCACCACCCAAAGTTCAACCACCCTGGCCAACCCCTCATCCTCCCTCTCACTATCCTAACTATACTCCTCTCTATCCCTACCCCCTACCCTACATAACGCCATAACTAAACTAAAATTGTCTCATTATATATGATTTAGCTCCTCACTCTAACTTCTTGCGGAACCCTCACGCAGTCGGAGTCGAGCGACGACGAGCGGTCAAAAATGCAATCCCCACGCTATGGATATCTCACCCTTCCCCCCACCCCCCCCACGCGGATGATCCACAGATGCCGGGGAGCTTTCTCGAACGCCTATGGACATCTCTTAAAAATATCTGACCTAAGCATAATATGCAGAAATGCAGAAAGGAAATATGAGTTAAATGATATTTGTGAACGCAAGATGTAATGTTCCGCAAAAAGTTATTTCTCTGGATTAAAAAAAATGCATGCACAAATATAGAGGTGGATTCCTAGTACCTAATGGTGGGA